AAAAAAAAAAAAAAAGAAATAACCCATATACAACCCACATGTCCACCAACTTATAGATACTAAAATGAAGTATATGAACACCACAACATAGAACCTTGATATGCCAAATGAAAGAAACAAGACATCAAAGACTCTGCTGTTTGATTCCATTTACATAAAAGACCAAAATTGGCAGATACACTCAGACAGAAAATAGGTTAGTAGGGGCTGGGAAGGTGGCTCAGTGGTAGAGTGCTTGCCTTGCAAGCCTGAGGCCCTGGGTTCGATTCCTCAGCACCACATAAGCAAAAAGAAAAAAGCCGGAAGTGGCGCTGTGGCTCAAGTGGTAGAGCGCTAGCCTTGAGCTGAAGAGCTGAGGGACAGCGCCCAGGCCCAGAGTTCAGGCCCCACTACCGGACCCAAAAAAAAAAAAAAAACCAAAAAACCAGAAAATAGGTTAGTAGATGCCTATGTTCATGAAGGGAACAGGGAGGAACTAGGGTGATGAAAATGTTTTCAAACTGATTGTGGTAGCAACTGCACAACTGTGAATACACTAAAAAAAAAAAATCACTGAACTGTACAGTTTTGGGGAGAGGGTTGTTTTGCTTTTATATTTTTTTAAATAGGTTCTGGCTATATAATACAGGCTGGCCTCAAACTGAGATCCTCCTGCCTCAGTTTCCCAAGTGCTGAGATTACAGATATGTATCACTACACCTACCTGTACTATTTAAAACTGAAGTGGAAGATATGTGAATTCTATCTCCTAACGCTGAGTTTTTCAGTTCTTTAAAAAAAAAAAAGGGGGGGGGGGCTGGGAAGGTGGCTCAGTGGTAGAGCGCTTGCCTTGCATGCATGAGGCCCTGGGTTCGATTCCTCAGCACCACATAAGCAAAAAGAAAAAAAAGCCGTAAGTGGCGCTGTGGCTCAAGTAGTAGAGCGCTAGCCTTGAGCTTAAGAGCTGAGGGACAGCGCCCAGGCCCAGAGTTCAGGCCCCACAACTGGACCCAAAAAAAAAAAAAAAAAAAAGAACCTTCCTAGGCACTGGTAGTTCACACCTATAATCCCAGCTACTCAGAAGGCTGAAATCTGGAGGATCTAGGTTAAAAGTATAAGCAGAAGTCTGTGAGACACTCTGTCTCCAAAAAGGGAATATGGCTCCAGTAATATTGTGTCTGCCTAATAAAGACAAAAATAACAAAAAAAAAAAAAAAAAAATAACAAAACCAAGCAAAAAAAAAAAAAAGAGACCAAAATGTTGCTCAAGTAGTAGAGCATCAGCTGAACAAGCTTGCGGTCCTGATTTCAAGCCCCATGTTCACAGCAGCCAAACATACATTAAACTTAAATTGAAGTAAGGAATACAAGCACTTCTCAGTCATCTCTACCTCTATGTTCATAATTTTTTTTTGTTTTTTTTGCTTTGGGGGTTTTGTTTTTTTGGGTTTTTTTTTTTTTTTTTGCCAGTCCTGGAGCTTGAACATAGGTCCTGGGCACTGGCCAAGTCTCTCGGTGCTCAAGGCTAGTTAGTGCTCTACCACTTGAGCCACAGAACCACTTCTGGCTTTTTCTGTTTATGTGGTACTGAGGGATGGAACCCAGGGCTTCATGCATGCTAGGGAAGCACTCTACCACTAAGCCACCTTCCAGCCATTATGTTCATAAATGTTTTACAAACATAACTTAAACTCTAGCTTAACTGATAGCTTCCCAGAATTACACTCTTGCTGTACTCATTGAATTAGCTGATCAGAGTATTAGCTCTTTCCCTTTTCCTCACTAGCGATGTGCTCCTAGAGTCATTAGAGTGCTGTGGTCAGGACATACAAATGAACCTATGCAGTTTCAACGCTAAAGAGTTCAAACACATGTAGTCCTAGCTACTCATCAGGAGGCTGAGATCTGAAGATCACAGTTGGAAACCAGCCAAGGAAGTAAAGTCCATGAGGCTCTTTATCTCTGATTAACCACCGAAAAAGCCTAAAGTAGAGCTGTGGTTCGAGGGGTAGAGGGATAGTCTTGAGTGAGTTCAAGCCCCAAGACAGGAACAAAAACAAAAGGATAGAATATGTGAAAAGATACACATGACATGCTAAACCAGTAAATAACCAATTCAAACATATACAAAATTTTCACTAAAAGATTAAAAGTTTTAAGAAAACAAAGACAAAAAACACTGCATAATCCAAAGACATATTTGGAGCTTCATGTTCTCTACATGAATATCCCAGGCCTCCTTCAACTAGAATTGAAATTTGAACAAGATTCCCAGGAGACACATTTGACATTAAAATTTGAGGACTATTATCAAAAGATTGTTTTTTAGCTGGACCCAAGTTCACACCAGTAATGCCAGCTACTCAGGAGGCTGACAGCTGAGGATAATGGTTCGCAGCCAAACCAGGCAGGAAACTCTATGAAATTCTTATTTTCAATTAACCAGCAAAAAAGGTGTAAGCAGAGCTTTGGCTCAAGTAGTAGAGTGTCAGCCTTGAACAAAAAAATGCTAAGGGTAGCTGCCAGGCCCTGAGTTCAACCAGGAGGAAAAAAATCTTTTTTTTCTTTCTCTCCTAAATTAAGATAGATTGAGCTTGCGCTAGACTAATACTTTGAAAACCTGACATACATACAGCTCTGGTCCTGGGCCAACTCATCCTCGGATCCACTCTTGCTTCTTCTGCTTCATTCGACTGCAGAGGAAGTGATCCCTGCAGGCCGGAGCTCCCAGGGAGCAGCTGTAGCATCCAAGGCTGGGCCAGATGGACCTCTGGGTCCGGGTTCCACTGCAGTCACTGTACATCTCGTCCCTTTGTCCCTGGGCTCAGTGGTGGCAGCGGTTTCCTGTGTGTTGCTTCATCTCCGGGTTGCCTCACTGACTGTAGTGTGCATTCTCAGTTCTCTAGCACCTGTGTGCCCACCCCCCCACACACACACACCCCCCCCATTAAACTCCCTTTGGCTCTGTTTCTTTTTCCACCCAGGACAGCCCATACCACCTGGGTATTTCTATTACATACCACATTTACCAGAGGAATTTTGTGAATGGCCTCTTTGCTACAGAAGGGAGCTATTGCACATGCCATAACCCTCACATTTCCGACATTCTGAAACTCGCAGGCAACCCAGAAGGAAGTCAGCCTTAAGCTATCTGTATAGCAGATGTGACTATTCAGAAAAGCAAGTCCTCTGGGTGTATTTTTAACACTGTACCCATCACTCCCCCTCAACCAGAACAGCTGGTAGTGCGGCTATTGTTTTTTTTTGGGGGGGGGAGGATTAAAGAGGAGAAAGAAAAAAAAAAAAACCTGAAGTCACATTGAGATGAATCTCTCCAGCAGACCACACAGTCAGTCAGTCAGTCTGAAGGTCGGTTCTATCGGGCACCAGGCACTACCTGGCCCACACCGGGCAGAACCCTGCCCTGAGGGACCAGACATCAAGAGCAGGCGCTCCTACCGGAACCATCTAGGGCTCCCTGGAGATCATCCTGACCTGATCTTTCACTCCATGCTTGGAAAATTCCCCAGTGGTGCGCTCTTGCCCAAGGCCAAAAAAACCAACCTTTGCCTTTCCCACTGGCCGGCCGGCCGGCCCTGATCCACCCTTGAGGCTTCGGCCAAATCCCACTGACGCCCTGACCATTTCCAGGGGTGACCAAATATGGGGAACGGCGGCCCTTCTCCCCCAAACCCCAGTGTGTCCCTCAGGACCCCATCTCCAACGGGCCGTCTTCACCCCTGCCTCACCTGTCCATCCTCTACGCTTCTGCAGCACTTTCTAGATCGTCGTGGCTAAGCATAGGTGTCGCCCCTTTCCTAGTCGGAAAACCTTCCGGTGGAGAAAGAGCTTTCCAACGCGGGATCCGTTTCCAGACCCCTTGGGGCTCTGGTGAAGTCGGCCTCTCCAGGCCGTTTCTAAGGCCAGACACCGAGGATGACAACAAACCACAGTGCTAACTCACTGGGTTGGGACCCGGCGGAGGAAATGAGTGGGCGCGAGCCCCGAGCCAGCCCGGGGGACCCGAGGAGTCCCCGCGTGCCGCGCTCCCTCCGCCCCGCGCGTCCCGCCGCCGCCGCCGCTCCTGGAATCGCTCCGGCGTCCGTCCGATGCCCATCTGCCAAATGACAAACCTATCCGGGACATCGATTAGCGCCCGAGCCGGTCCCCGGGCCAGGAAACGGAGGCCGGCAGAAGATACGGCCAGAAATGGCTCCCACGGCAAAGGGACCCACCGGCCCCCGAGGGGGACACGCACTGCAGCGGGGCCGCCGGGGCCGCGGGGCGGAGGCCACCTGTCCGGCCACCTGCCCGAGGACGCCCTGCGGACCGGGGGAGGCTCGCTCTGAGCACAGAAACCACCGGGACGGGACGGGACGGGACGGGACGACCGCGGTGAGCGGGACCCTCGCCGGGGAGACAAAGGGCGCGACCCGGCGCCCGGCGCGTCTCTCCGCCCCCAGTCCCCGCGGAGAGCCGGTGCCCGGCGGGTGCGCCGCCCGGCCGCCCCGGGGAGGACGGGGCGAGGGTGGGGAGGCGACCCGGCCGCCCGCGAGGCGAGGGGGAAGGAAGACCCCCCCTACCCCGGAGGGCACCCGACTTCCGCGGGCGTCACAGGTGAGGCCACGGGGAGGTGCCGGCCCCCCGGCTCGGAAACGCGCAGACCCGGGGGTCCCGGCGCAGGCAGGCCTCCTCCGGTCCCCGTCCCGCGAGGGACGAGCCGCGCGACCCCGGCCTGCGGGCCTCCGCCTCCTCCGGGCCTCCGCCTCCTCCGGCCCCGGGCGGCCCCGGCCCCGCGGACGCCCACCTGCGCCCCCCCCCCGCTCCCGCGCCGGCCCGGCCCGGGCCCCGGCCCGCTGCCGCGGCGAGGCGCGCTCGGCCCGGACGGCAGCGCCCGCGGGACCCCGGGCCGGGCCGGGCCGGGCCGGGCCTGGGCGGCCGCTCCGGCGGACAGGGCCACGGGCCTCGGCGGAGCCCGCGGCGAGGGGGGCGCGCTCCCGGCCGCCGCGCGCCGGGCTCACCTTCTGGCGGATCTGGCCCGACGTGGAGACCTTGCGGATGAGCTTCTGCGGGGAGCCCGGCTCGGCCTCGGGCTCGCTGTCCGACGACTCCTCAGGCGGCGGCGGCGGAGGAGGCTGCAACGGACCCGGCGGAGGGGCGCCCGCCGCCGCCGCCATGCTGCCGGGCCAGCGCGCGCGCCACGGGGGGGGGAGGCGGGGCGGGGGCGGGGCCGGCGGGCGGGGCGGGGCCTGGGCGGGGGCGGGGCGGGGCGATGTCCGGGGCGGGGCCGGGGAGGTCCTCGCGCGCCCCCTGTCGGGCGGCGAGCGGCTGCAGCCGGCGCCGGGCCAGTGCTCCTCCCGGCCCTCTCCCAGGGGCGCCCGGAACGGGGGCGCCCGGGCCGGCGTCTGTGGGTTGTTCTTGGTTTCTGCTTTCTGTGTCCCTTCCTTTTTTGAAAAAGCCTCTCACATCAGAATGCAAGTGACCCCCGGGAGGCTGGGGACCACGTTAGCCAAGCAATTGGGAGAGGCGGTCTGAGGCTGGCCCGCTGCGGGGGGGGGGGGGGGGGGGGGTGGAGGGGGGCGGGGGGGAGGCGGCCTGAGGCTGGCCGCTGGGGGGGGGGGGTGAGGCAGCCTGAGGCTGGCCCGCTGGGGGGGGTGAGGGGGGAGAGGCGGCCTGAGGCTGGCCCGCTGCGGGGGGGGGGGGGGGGGGAGGGGGGGGAGGTGAGGCAGCCTGAGGCTGGCCTCTGCGGGGGGGGGGGGGGGGGGTGAAGGAGTGAGGCAGCCTGGGCTGGCCCGCTGCGGTGGGCTGGGGGCGGGGGGCAGGAGTACCGGGATGGGCTGGGGTTGGGAGAGAGATGGAGAATGACAGGACTTCCCTAAAGGATACGGGAGGAACTGGGTTTCCAGCAGAAACCATATTTGTGCAAAGACCCTGAGGCAAGAGAGAAAGGAGCTCAGAGCGCAGATGGCATAAAGATAGGGGCCTAGGGTTGAAAAGGTCACGGCAGGTTTCTTGGACCAGATCTGCAGCTGACCTTTCTGGTGGAGGCCTGGGAGCCACCGGAAGCCCTGGAGGGACTTAAGCCAGGTACTGCTGCGTCACATAGCTGGGGCCTAGGATTCAAGCTTTGGTGCAGTTTGGGGGGCAGGTGGCCACCCTGAAGTACTGAGTGGGGCTGAGAGGTAGGCAGACAAGGGCAGAGACCAGCCCTGAAGGGAGGTAGGGTGAGCGGCAGGTGACACTGTGCTTCTCCAGCAGACGGGAGGCGGTCAGCTAGAGGATGGGATCGCTGGGTTTGGAACGTCTTCGGGATTATCCAAATGAGGACAGATGTGGTGTCACCCAGAGGGAAATGCTGTCCGTCCATCCGTGTGTCCCGCTATGAGGGGCCATCCATGGGGCTGCGGTCACACCTTCAAAGGGCTAAGAGACACCAGTCAGCAAGCTCAGTCCCTCCTGCTTTCCATCACCCCCAGAACCTCCAAACAAGAAGGCACACAGACAAGAAGGTCAAAGAATGGTCCTAACAGCCAGGATAGAAGATGACCAGGCCTGGGGCTGGGAAGGTAGCTCAGTGGTATGCATGCCTGAGGCCCTGGGTTCGATTCCTCAGCACCACATAAGTAAAAAAAAGAAAAAAGCCGGAAGTGGTGCTGTGGCTCAAGTGGTAGAGCACTAGCCTTGAGCTGAAATGCTGAGAGACAGCGCCCAGGGCCAGAGTTCAGGCCCCACGACCGGACCCAAAAAAAAAAAAGAAAAAGAAAAAGAAGATGACCAGGCCTAACACAAGAATTCTGTGGGGCGGACCTGAGAAAGCCCTGAGAGAACACAACCGCGCTGCCTGCGCCGTAGCCGCCGGCCACGTGTGGCTGTGCTCATTCAAGTCCCAATTAAGATTAATTTTCAGTTCCTCAGTCATACTGGCCACATCCATGTGCTCCGGAGCCGCATGTGGCTTGACAGCTACCACTCCAGATCACACCAGGGCAAAACACTTCCATCACGGGACAGTGACAGTACACAAGGCAGCGACAGCTCCAGTGCAGAGCAACAGGCACAAGCAGAGACGCTGGCCCTCAGCCATGCCCCACAGTCAGCATTTGGAAAGACGCCCTGACATGGGAGAGCTAGGTCCCTCTTCCCACTGTGTGCCACAGAGGTAGGATTTGAACTGGGGTCAAGTGATTCCTTAGTCTCCAGTTCGGCAGGGTTCCTTGGCCAGGAAGCAGAAGCCTATGGGAGTACATAGGTAGAAAGTGGCCCAAAGTGGGTCCACTTTATGTGTTGAAATCCAGCCCCCAGGCACTCAGAACACAAGGTACAGGACGTACAGTCCTTAAAATGTAATTACCTAAGATAAGATCTTTAAGGTAGTCCTTAATCCAGTCTGACTCCCATTAAGGAGATTAGAACACAAACACAGAACTCGGTGAAGATGACTTGGGAGAAGACCACTGTCTGAAAACCCGGAGGAGAGGCCTCGCCCGCACCTTGGTCTCAGCTTGGCAGTAGTATCCCATTGGTTAAGTCACCTTGTCTGTGACGTTATAGGCAACTGTAGGAACTAATTCAGACACAAAAAGTGTCTGCATCCCCACAGACCTAGGGCTTTTCTATCAGTATTATCTGAAGCTGAGGTGTAGTTCAAGTTGTACAACACTTTCCTATGTATGGATGTGTATATATATATATATATATATACACGTATATAATGCAAACATGTGTAGATATATAATATAAATGTGTGTGTGTGCAGACACACAAGTGGAATGGTCTAGCTTTAGAGATAGAGCTTTTTTTCTTCCAAGGGCTATTTAAAACATGATTATGAGCGAGGAGCTGGTAACTCATGCCTATAAGCCTAGCTACTCAGGAGGCTGAGATCTGAGGATAGCAGTTCAAAGCCAGCCCAGGCAGGAAAGCCCATGAGACTCTTATCTCCAATTAACTACTAGAAAACCAGAAGTGGCACCTGTGGCTTGAGTGATAGAACATTGACCTTGAACTGAAGAGTTGAGGGACAGCACCCAAGTCCAGAGTTCAAGCCCCAAGACGGACAAAAAAAAAAAAAATACCATGATTATGGGCCATACAAAATTATCAATACAGGGCTAGGAAGGTGGCTCAGTGGTAGAGTGCTTGCCTTGCATGCATTAGGCCGCCCTGGGTTCTATTCCTCAGCACCACATAAGCAGGAAATAAAAAGCTGGAAATGCTGCTGTGGCTCAAGTGGTAGAGCACTAGCCTTCAGCTGAAATGCTGAGGGACAGCACCCATGCCCAGAGTTCAGGCCCCACGACCGGACCCAAAAAAAATAAAATAAATTATCAATACAGGGGCTGGGAATGTGGCTTAGTGGTAGAGCATGCATGAAGCCCTGGGTTCAATTCCTCAGTACCACATAAACAGAAAAAGTGGAAGTGGCGCTGTGGCTCAAGTGGTAGAGTGCTAGCTTTGAGCAAAAGAAGCTCAGGGACAGTGCCCAGACCCTGAGTTTAAGCCCCAGGCCTGACAAAAATAAATAAATAAATAGATAGATATCAATAGAGGTACCTGCAGCCAACCAGAAGCAGTACGTGTCTGTCCTGTGGTGTACTAATTTTTTTTTGGGGGGGGGGTATCCAGTCGTGGGGCCTGAACTCTGGGCCTGGGCACTGTCCCTCAGCTCTTCAGCTCAAGGCTAGCGCTCTACCTCTTGAGCCACAGTGCCACTTCCCGCTTTTTTTCTTTTTTTGCTTTTGTGGGGCTGAGGAATCGAACCCAGGGTCTCGTGCATGCAAGGCAAGCATTCTACCACTGAGCCACCTTCCCAGCCCCTGTGGTGTACTAAATGATTGTGCAAGTCTATGCAGCCCATAGGCCCAAAGTTCTGCACCCCTGATGGAGATAGGAACAGGAGGAAGAAATGGAGCTGCAGGGGAAGAACGAGTTAGAAACATCAGGGAGCAGTGTGATCTGCAATTTAGAGATCTGGATAGAAAGATCGGGAAAGAAGGGAATTTTCTAGGAAAATAAACAGCAACCAAGAAACAAACTGAGGGAACAAGCAGGTGAGTTGAGAGATGACAGGATGTAGGCCACCCAATGGCAAGGGGCAGGTGGCAAACAGCCTCTGCTAGCCTCTCTAGCAAGGACTTCACCCCACAGACTCCATCCAGTTAACTACTAAAGATCTGGAAATGGTACTGTGGCTCAAAGTGGTAGAACACTAGCCTTGAGCACAAAAGCTTAAGAGACAGTGCCCAGGCCCTGAGTTCAAGTTCAAGGTTCTGGACCAGTGCATGCATGCACACATGCACACACACCACCACCAAAGCAGAAATCTCCTTGTGTGTCGGGGCAGAGATTGGTGCAGAAGGGGGAAGACTGGAAAGCAGGGAGAACATGAAAAGGAGTTGGACTACTCCAGGCAGTGCTGGATGGGCAGCCAAAATGGTGGCAATGGAGAGGGAGATGATAGAGGAGAGAAGACCCTTTGGGTCTTCCTGGAGGGTGGGGGGAGATAGCCTCACTAAGCAAGAGCACCTAAAGGTGAGCAAGATGAGTGTTCTAGGTGTGTGTGCATGGTGTAGCCTGTTAGAAACTCTGGGTTGGGACTGGGAAGGTGGCTCAGTGGTAGAGCGCTTGCCTTGCATGCCTGAGGCCCTGGGTTCGATTCCTCAGCACCACATAAGCAAAAAGGAAAAAGCCGGAAGTGGCGCTGTGGCTCAAGTGGTAGAGCGCTAGCCTTGAGCTGAAGAGCTGAGGGACACGCCCAGGCCCAGAGTTCAAGCCCCACGACTGGACCCCCCCCCCCCAAAAAAAAAAAGAAAGAAAAAGAAACTCTGGATTAAGCCGGACAGTGCTCAGGCCCAGAGTTCAAGCCCTATGACTGACAAAAAAAAAAAAAAAAAAGATTCAGTAGAAACTAATGACATCTAAATAATCATGAGCTTTACCTTAATAACATGTTGGTACCAAGGCCATTGTGCCAACTGATGTAGATTGTTAATAACACAGGACCTCTCAGGACTATCTCTTCTGTAAGTTCAAAACTATCTGAAATTGAAAATATATTACAAAGAACTGTATTAAGCTTGGTGTAAGAATAATATTGTGTTCTGAAGGCAAAGGAGCCTTATTCTGGCATGATTTTTTTTTTTTTTAAACACGCGAGGAAGCCTTTTTGTATCCTTTGAAGGCACAGTGCTGTTCCCTAGGAGATCCGGGGAAAGGCTGAGCCATCAGCTCCGCAGAGTAGCTTGCAGGAAAAACACATTCCCTCGGGTGTCTCTCTGACAGCATGAGTCACACTGTGAATCATGTCTCAGGAGATGTTGCGCCCCGACTTCACCCCACCTCCAGGGCATTATCAAGGTGGCAGTAATAACACACCTCATGTCTGACCCAGTCCATTCGGAGACGTGTCAGGCAAGAGTGTAAACCTGTTAGAAAGAACAGCTTCACAGTCCACCTGAGAACACGGGCCAGTCATTTTTCACCCCTAACCTGGGTTACTGTCCACACTTGGGATGGGACAGTCTTTATTTACTGCACATGACGCTGTAGTTTCTCTCTCCCCTGTTCCCAGTCTTATGAGAACCAGAAACCACTCCACACATTTCTAGATGTCCAACTCCCACCTCTACTCCCCTTATCCCATCCCACACCACCCCAAGATCGATATTCGGATCTGTGAAATAGGGAGGAATATAATTTTTTTAAGTTAAAGGAATAGGAAACAAATACCCTAAGTTATAAAAGTTAACTGTACATGTGATTAAGCTGCAGAGAACTAAATACACACAGAGACAGAGGTTAAGATTGAGAAGATTGGAGTCCAACGGGCATACTGTGGATCGTATCAATGTCAACCTCTGCCTTGTCATATTGGACGGCTATAATTTTATAAAGTATTAACCAGGCCAGGTGCTGGTGGCTCACATCTGTAATCCTAGCTACTCCAGAGGCTGAGATCTGAGGATCGAGGTTCAAAACAATCCTGGGTAGGAAAGACTGTGGGACTCTTATCTCCAACTAAGTACTAAAAATCTGAAAATGGTACTGTGGCTCATAGTGGTAGAACAATAGCCTTGAGCACAAAAACCTAAGGGACAGTGTCCAGGTCCAGAGTTCAAGTTCAAGGCTCTGGTTGGGAGTACTCCTCCATCCCGGCCCCCTCCCAAAGCAAAAACAAATGGGCCAGGCACCAGTGGCTCACACCTGTAATCCTAGCTACTCAGGAAGCTGAGATCTGAGCATCACTGTTCAAAGCCAACCTGGACAGGAAAGTCCATGAGACTCTTATCTCCAATGAACCACCAGAAAACCAAAAGTGTCACTGTGGCTCAAGTGGCAGAGGGCTCACTTTGAGCTGAAGAGCTCAAGGACAGCGCCCAACCCCAGAGTTCAAGCCCCATGATCAACAAAAATAAATAAATAAGTGGCAGGAATCCCCTGGACCTCCAGCCCTTTGGTTGCTGATTGCAGAATTTGACCTACTTTCTCAGCCACCATTTTCTTTCTTTCTTTTTTTGGGGGGGTAGGTCCTGGGGCTTGAATTCTGGGCTTGGGTGCTGTCCTTGCACTCTTCAGCTCAAGGCGAGCGCTCTACAGCTTGAGCCACACTGTCACTTCTGGTTTTCTGCTGGTTCACTGGAGATAAGAGTCTCACAGACTTTACCGCCTGGGCTGGCTTTGAATCATGATCCTCAGATCTCAGCCTCCTGAGTAGCTAGGGTTACAGGCATGAGCCACCAGTGCCTGGCTTGTAGCCTGCTTCTTGATCTGCACCTCCCCCCATCTCTGAGGGCCACATATTCAACCTGCCACAGATTTCCTGCCTCTCTGGAGGTCTGCATGGCAGCAAAGTCAAGGCTTGCTTCCTCATTGTGGCGGCTAGCAAGCTGCTGGTTTCCTGTCCTGCTCCCTTCCCAGGCTGGCTAGCTGTCCATCATGAACAAGCCAGCACCTGGGGGCCCATATTGGACATTCTAGAACCAAAATAACTTGAAGGGCTGGGACAGTTCTGACATCTGATCCCCAGGGCTTGGTTTCCCAACCCTTTCCTCTGCTCTCTCACTGCACGGTTCCAAAGGTCAGACCCATTCATGTCCACCCTTAGTATGTCTTGGCATCCAGCAATGCAGGACCAATCATCTCATCTCAACTGGTGCTGCACAGTGAAGGCCCAGCCCTGACACAGCCGGCCAAGAGTTCTGCCGGGAGCGCCCCCTGCTGGAAGCAAGAGAAAAGCTCATCATGACACAGCCATGACTCCTCAGAGCTTGTGCCATCCTAAAAGCCCCCAGGGCTGTCAGTTGTGGGGCCTGAACTCTGGGCCTGGGCGCTGTCCCTCAGCTCTTCAGCTCAAGGCTAGCACTCTACCACTTGAGCTACAGCACCACTTCCGGTTTTCTTAGTGGCTTATTGGAGATAAGAGTCTCACGGACTTTTCTGCCCGCGCTGGCTTTGAACTGTGATCCTCAGATCTCAGCTTCCTGAGTAGCTAGCATTACAGATGTGAGCCACCAGCACCCGGCACTATTATTATTATTATTATTAGCCCTCATTCCTGCCCATACTAGGATGCCTCAAAGTCAACACACAGATCCAAACCTTGCTTCACCTGTGTGGGCCCCATGTAGGGTTCCCACACACACATTGGACCGTCCACATCCAGCCCCAAGGCTCAAGCAATCTGGACCGCTACTGGACAACTCCCGATGTTGGAGCCTTCAAGCATAGGCAGCTGATGCCCTGTCCAGTCCTCCAGTGCTGCTGAGTCCCAGAAACCCAATCCGAAGAAGTTCTTCCTACATATAACCCTCCTCACACCCTATCTTTTGTGAGCATGCTGAGCTATAGAGAAATCTGCAGACCTCCTGACCCCTTTTATGTGCCAGTCCTGGGGCTTGAACTCAAGGTTTGGGTGCTGTCCCTGAGCACTTTTGCTCAAGACTAGTGTTTCACTACTTGAGCCACAGGTCTACTTCAGTGTGTGTGTGTGTGTGTGTGTGTACAAGAGAGAGAGATAGAGATAGAGAGAGAGAGAGAGAGAGAGAGAGAGAGAGAGAGTCTTGGGGCTTGAACTCTGGGCCTGGGCACTGTCCCTGAGCTCTTCAGCTCAAGGCTAGCGTTCTACCACTTGAGCCACAGCGCCACTTCCAGTTTTCTGGTGATTCATTGGAGATAAAGAGTCTCACGGACTTTCTTGCCCGGCTGGCTTTGAACCGCGATCCTCAGATCTCAGCCTGCTGAGTAGGTAGGATGACAGGTGTGAGCCAACGGCACCCAACTTTTTTTTTTTGTCATGGGGCTTGAACTCTGGGCTTGGGCACTGTCCTTGTGCTCTTCAGCTCAAGGCGAGCGCTCTACCGCTTGAAACACAGCACCACTTCCGGTTTTCTAGCAGTTTATTGGAGATAAGAGTCTCACGGGGGCTGGGAAGGTGGCTCAGTGGTAGAGCGCTAGCCTTGAGCTGAAGAGCTGAGGGACAGCGCCCAGGCCCAGAGTTCAGGTCCCACGACCGGACCCAAAAACAAACAAACAAACAAAAAAAGAGTCCCACGAACTTTCCTGCCTGGGCTGGCTTTGAACCGCGATCCTCAGATCTCAGCCTCCTAAGTAGCTAGGATTACAGGCATGGGCCACCGGCTCCCGACTCGCAACTTCTATTTCAGTTTTTTGGAAGTACGTCTCACAAACCTTCCTGTCCAGGCTGGCTTTGATCTGCAATCCTCAGATCTCAGCCTCCTGAGTAGTTAGGATTACAGGTGTGATCCACCGGCGCCCAGTCTACAGATCCCTTTTATTTGAAACCATAAGCAGCGCCACGCATCTCCCAAGGTGCCCCGTGGCTGCCAAGTGGCCGCTCAGGCTCCCTGGCACCAGGCTGGTGGGTCTCATGGCCAGGAGAGGGATCCCTTGATGGAAGGAGCCCTTCTCCTTTCATGTTTGATATCAGTATAACATTCTGACTAGAAAGCCTATTGGTTCACAGTGAACTCCTTTTCCAGAACAATCCATCCCCAGGGCTGGGCTCTGCACCACTGGCCATAGAGTGTCGGTCCTTATGACCAAAGCTAAGCCTATTGGATTCTTTTTTTTTTTTTTTCCAATCCTGGGACTTGAACTCAGGGCCTGGGCATTTGTCCCTGAGCTTCTTGTGCTCAAGGCTAGTGCCCTACCACTTGAGCCACAGCGCCACTTCTGGCCTTTTTCTGTGAATGTGGTACTGAGGAATTGAACCCAGGGCTTCATGCATGCTAGGCAAGCACTCTACCACTGAGCCACATTCCCAGCCCCGCCTATTTGATTCTTCTTGCCAAGAACTGTAAACTGGGAGAGCAGAGACTGGGGCACACAAATGGCAACACAGACCCAGATAGCAGGCCCTTCATCTTCTGGGCTGAGCTTCTGCTGGCTTGTGCCCACCCAGACTTGGCTGCTCAGGTTTACCTTCAATAAGGGTTTCTTACCACTCCATTCCAGGCCCCCTGCTCCCCGCTTTTTGTGTGTGTGTGTGTGCCAGTCCTGAGGCTTGAACTCAGGGCCTGGGCACTGTCCCTGAGCTTCTTTTGCTTAAGGCTAGCGCTCTACCACTTGAGCCACAGCTCTACTTGCAGCTTTTTCTGTGTATGTGGTCCTGAGGCATGGAACCCAGGGCTTCATGCATGCTAGGTGACCACTCTACCCTGAGCCACATTCCCAGCCCTCCAGGGCCCTTCTATTACATCAATTTCCTCTTTATCTTAACCACGTCCGTACTCTATAGAAACTTAACCTACAGCCTAGAGCTCAAGCATGGCCTGGATACCAAAGATGAATCAGTGATAAAGGTTTTTTTTGTTTTGTTTTGTTTTTTGCCTACACTTGTTTCCACATCAGTTTGTTCCCAAGGGGGTCCTGGAGAGAGGATTAGTCAAGAAATTAATCCCCCCTTCCACACAATACATTTTCAGAGAAGCAACTTGTATATACTAGAAACCTGGGAAGCCCTGGACCCACCAGGACCCACTAGGTGAGCACAGAGACTTCTGGTGCCCTGTCACCTTGTAGGGCCAGGGCTGGCCTTTCTTCTAGACATTTCGCTTACCATTCAGTTCCAGCAGCTTTTCTGTTGGTGACACCAGTCCAGTTCCCTAGCAAATCAGCCTGACTCAAACTCTCAGGACTCAAAACACAGCTTTATTTCTGGAGGGAGATTTGTACTTTCATATCTAGCATAACCAAAGGAGAACTGGAGCTGGGGGGGGTGGGGGACGCAAAAAGGGGGGTGCCTGAGCTGCAGCATCAAGAAGCATAGCACAGCCATTTTCAGGCATCCGGAATGACTCTTCACTCATCCTGCACAGCCTCCTCCTTCTTCCCTTCTGTGCCTTCGGAATCTTTCAGATTTTGGCGAGCAAACTCCTCGAAAACCAGGTTTTCATCCTGCACACTAAGAGAAAACAAACATTGTGATCAGTGAGTCCTCTTTGAAGCTGAGGATGAAATCTCCAATGAATTAAAACCCTTGATCTTTTTTTTATTGCAGCAAAGGAAATGATCAAGGTTTACCCAGAATGAAGCAAGGAAGCATGCCACTTTGCTCAAGGGTTTTTTGTTGAAAGACTCCTTAACAAATTAAAATAGAAAAACAGCCAGCACCAGTGGCTCATGCCTTGTAATCCCAGTTACTCCAGAGGCTGAGATCTGAGCATGGCAAATTGAAGCCAGCCTGGGCAGGAAAGCCAGGGAGACTCTTATCTCCAATTAACCAGCAAAAAGCCAGAAGTGGAGCTGCAGCTCAAGTGGCAGAGAGCTACAAAAGCTAAGGGAAAGTGCAAGACCCTGAATTCAATCCCTAATTCCAGACACACACACACACACACACACACACACACAGAAAGAAAAAGACCCATAAGAAATGTATCCATGTATGCAGGGTAAATGGGTACACATGCCTTAAAGTTCTTGTGTCTAAGCCCTTGGGAGCAAAGCGACACAGGAACTTGTGCAGACATCAGCAAAGGGGCCTGCATGGGAAGAGACATCACAGGATACAGGTAATCAGAGCGGCATTCAAATGGCTTACCTTTCCTTTGCTGTAAGCCAAAGGTATTGGGGGAGAGAGAGGGAGAGAGCGATTAGCAGCACATCTCCTGGAGTTTGAGTGGTAATAAAAGCTAGAGACATGTAATTGCATGTGATTTACATGCTACCCATGAGCTGTGCTACCAGAGTTGCACCCCACAAACCAGCCATCACTTTTAACAGGGTACTACACCCTTTACACCCTAAAACTGCACCTCCAATTACCATTGCACCTCTAAGGCCCTTTCTCTGATGGTCCTCACCTTCTGACATTGCTCATCATTTCCAAATATTTCTGCCTAAGTTTGGACACACTCCAGGCCACAGCCGCCAGGGACAGGCCTGACCATGAGGCTCCAGGCAGAAGAGCTTCCCCCTGCCCCCCCCCCCGCCCTCAAGGCTGACCTCTGGGCTCTGGCCTTCACTAGCACCCAAAGGTTGCTCTAGAGCTTAGGGCCACCCACCCCAGGCCCTTCCCTTTTCAAATTCTGCTGACATGTTGCCCTTTCAGCATCAGGTCAGGTTTTCCTGTGTTGGAATTTCCACCACATTGAGTGGGCTTTGTTCTTTTTTAGTTTCCTGTCCACCTAATAAATGTCTGGCATGGTTAAAAGCTACTGAGGGGGCTTGGTGGTAGAGCTTGCCTAGCCTGAATGAAGCTCTAGGTTCCATTCCTCGGTACCATATAAACAGGGAAAGCCAGAAGTGGAACTGTGGCTCAAGTGGTAGAGGGCTAGCCTTGAACAAAAGAAGCTCAGGGACAGTGCTCAGGCCCTGAGTTCAAGCCCTAGGACTGGCAAAACAAAAACAAAAGCTACTGAGGGACAGGTACCAGTGGCTCATGACTGTAATCCTAGCTACCCAGGAGGCTGAGATCAGAGGATCAAGATTTGGAGCCAGCCCAGGCAAGAAAGTCTGGGACATTCTTATCTCCAGAAGCAGAGCTGTGGCTCAAGCAGTAGAGCACTAACCTTAAGAGAAAAAGCTAAGAGACAGCGTCCAGGCCCTGAATTGAAGCCCTAGGACTGGCCCAAGATTTAAAAAAAAAAAAAAACAAGGAAAAAGAACGAAAGCTACTGGAGGTGTGGAAGGGCACTGTGGACGGGGCTGATGTGAATCTCTGCTTTTATACTTGGGCCCACTTGGAAGCCAGCAGGGCCAGCACCGGCAGAGGTACCTTCGAGAGTCCCTGGGACACAAGGACCCCAAAGACAGGCTGGTACCCCACAGTGCTCAGCATAGATAGGCATTAGCTGGGACCCTCGGCTCTGAAGTCTACCACGGGAGGATCCTGTCAGCACCCTTGGACTGGGTAGAGAGGCAAGAGAGAAGGGATAATAAAATGTGGGGGAGGCTGAGGGTGTGACTCAACAATGGAGCACCGGCTTAGCAAGCAAGAAGCCGTGAGTTCAAACCCCAGTAACACCATAAAAATAAAATGGCACCAGGTACTGGTGGCTCACCAGTAATCCTAGTTATTCAGGAGGCTAAGAGCTGAGGAGCATGATTGGAAGCCAGCCTGGGCAATAAAGGCCATGAGACTTTCATCTCCAATTAACTACTAGAAAACCTGTAGTGGTATTGTGGGTCAAAGTGGCAGAGTGCTAGGAACAGCGCCCAGGCCTGAGTTCAAGCCCCGTGACTGACACTTGAGCTACAGTGCCACTTCTGGTTTTCTGGTGGTTTATTGGAGACAAGAGTTTCACAGAGGGGCTGGGAAGGTAGCTCAGTGGTAGAGTGCTTGCCTTGCATGCCTGAGGCCCTGGGTTCGATTCCTCAGCATCACATAAGCAAAAAGAAAAAAGCCGGAAGTGGTGCTGTGGCTCAAGTGGTAGAGTGCTAGCCTTGAGCTGAAGAGCTGAGGGACAGCGCCCAGGCCCAGAGTTCAGGTCCCATGACCGGACCCCCCCCCCCCAAAAAAAAAAAAAAGAGTTTCACAGACTTTCCTGCCCCGGCTGGCTTCAAACTGCAGTCCTCAGATCTCAGCCTCCTAAGTAGCTAGGATTATAGGCGTGAGCCACTAGTGCCTAGCAAGGTGAATGTTTTATTCTGACAGTGTGAGATGCCTAATGTAAGGACCATTGTGACTGAGTCATAATGATTAGTTCCATAAGATGAAGAAAAGTAACTCCATTTTTCCTAAATCAAGTTGCAAAGTTTGTCTTAAGGTCCAGAAAGCAACCCCATATATACTGTGACATGCCCTTGGGTGACAATCTTTATAATTTCCATAAAAGACACATGAAAGCATCTTTCCATCCAAAATACAGCTGAAGTGAAGGTATGTGTCAAGTGGGAAACCCCAAGGCTGAGTGAAAAAGCCAAGCAGGAGCACAAGGCCCAGTGTAGGAAGAAAACAAAACATTCTTTGTTAGGATAGCTATAAAGAGTTGTCATGCACACAGGTTCATTGTTCTTTTCATTCCTGTCCACCAATCTATTTTTCTGTAAGTGGAGACTTTTGCCTCAGAATTTCTGAATTTGCACTTAGTTTGTTTTTGTCATTGTCATGTCAACTCAGGGCCTGGCACTGTCCCTAAGCTTTTTTGCTCAAGGTTAGTGCTCTACCATTTTGAGCCACAGTGCTACTTCCAGTTTTCTGATGGTTAATTGTAGATATTCTCATGGGCTTTCCTGCCCAGGCTGGCTTTGAGCTGCAAATACTCAGATCTCAACCTCCTAAGTAGCTAGGATTACAGGCATGAACCACCAGCACCAGGCTACTCTTCTATTTTTCTTCTTAGCTAGGAATGAAACCTAGAGTCTGGCACATGCTAAGCATGTGCTCTGCCAGTGAGCTAGCTCCTTCACTTCTCACTTAAGTTTTCTTTACTCTCTTTCTGAGACAGAACTGTTGCTATGAAGCCCAGGTTGGCCTCGAATTCATGATGTTCCTACTTCCACCTCCCAAGTGCTGGAATTAAAGAAATATACCACCATGCCCAGCCTCTCATTTAGCTTTCCTTAAAAGTGATTCCTCAGGCTGGGAAGGTGGCTCAGTGGTAGAGTGCTTGCCTTGCATGCATGAGGCCCTGGGTTCCATTCCTCAGCACCACATAAGCAGAAAAAGCTGGAAGTGGCGCTGTGGCTCAGGTGGTAGAGAGCTAGCTTGAGCTGAAGAGCTGAGGGACAGCACCCAGGCCCAGAGTTCAGGCCCCATGAACGACAAAAAAAGTGATTCCTCACAATTGAATACATATATCATCCAACTCATTCCTTTACAATGACAGTGAGATGATTTTTGATATGTTCCCAAGCTCCTGCCTCTATTTTTTTTTTTTTTTTTTTGCCAGTCTTGGACCTGAACTCTGGGCCTGGGCACTGTCCCTCAGCTCTTCAGCTCAAGGCGAGCGTTCTACCACTTGAGCTACAGCGCCACTTCTGGCTTTTTCTGCTTATGTGGTACTGAGGAATCGAACCCAGGGCCTCATCCATGCGAGGCAAGCACTCTACCACTGAGCCACCTCCCAGCCCCTTGCCTCTATTTTTTTACTTAGCATCGATATAGGAGTTGATGCATTTATAAATCAAATGAGCGAGGGTAGGACCCCAGCCTGACCCTCTCCTAATGTTTTCTGTAGTCTCATTATAATCACCACTTCTAAAAGCATATATCACCAGCCAGGTGCTGGTGCCTCACGCCTGTAATCCTAGCTACTCAGGAGCCTGAGCCAGCCTAGGCAGGAAAGTACGTGAGACTCTTATCTCCAATTAACCACCAGAAAACCAGAAGTGGCATTGTGGCTCAAGTGGTAGAGTGCTCGCCTTGAGCTGAAGAGCTCAGGGACAGCGCCCAGGCCGAGACCAGGGGAAAAAAAAAAGTATATCATCTTATGAATGCCTGGAGAAGGGCGAGCTCAGTGCTGAGCAGATCTTGAAACCCCATGGATGACAGCTGGAGACAGGCTGAGTCCAGAAAGTCTAGGTTGCTGGGCACTCATGGCTCACGGCTATAATTCTAGCTAGGATTGCATTTCAAAGCCAGCCTGGGCAGAAAAGTCTGAGATTCTTATCTCCAGTTAACCACCAAGAAACTGGAAATGGATCTGTGGCTCAAGCTTGTGTACAAAAGCTTAGGGACAGCACTCAGGCCCTGAGTTCAAGCCCCAGGACAAGCACCAAAAAGAAAAAGACTAGGGATGAATACGTAACACATCTGCTAGTAGTAAATGGCTAGAGACTGACCTGGGTCCTCGGGCTGGGGGTGCATGAGGCGGAATGGCAACTCAGTGGCCACTTCACTAGAAGGAAAGAAGAATGCAGATGGATAAGTACATACACACACACACACACACACACACACACACACCCCTACAGATCACATTCAGAAAGCTGCACTGCAGAGATTGACAAAAGACAATTCAGTTGGATTTAGAACAAGAGGAAGCAAGAGTGAGGAGGTGGTTGAGCAGACATTAGAACTGCGGGCTCTGGAATGCGGTCCAGGCACAGGGAAGCAGCCAGTGTTTTTAGGTCTGCACACCTCTGGTCAGTAATTGCAGTGACGTATTGTGGGGAGAGCTAGTGCGAAAACTTAGTCAAAGTGTGTGAAAACCTAGTCAAAGATTAGTTTTTAAAATATTCTTAAGCTGGGCATTGGTAGCTCAGGCCTATAAGCCTAGCTATTCAGGAGGCTGAGATCTGAGGAATGCAGTTTGAAGCCAAGCTGGGTAGGAAAGTCTATGAGACTCTTATCTCCAATTAACCACAGAAAAAGCCAGAAGTGGCACTGTGGCTCAAGTGGTAGAGTGCTAGCCTTGAGCAAAAGGAGCTCAAAGACAGTGCCCAGGCCCAGAGTTCAAGCCCCAGGATCAGAAGAAAAAAAAACAAAAAACAAAACAAAACACATAGGGCTGGGAATGTGGCTTGGTGGTAGTGTTTGGGTAGTATACATGAAGCCCTGGGTTCGATTCCTCAGCACCACATGAACAGAAAAAGCTGGGTCTGGGAATGTGCTTGGTGGTAGAGTACTAGCCTTGAGTAGATGAAGCTCAGGGACATTATTTAGGCCCTAGGTTCAAGCCTAGGACTGGCCAAAAAAAAAAAAGTGTGTCTGTGTGTCTGTGTCTGTGTGTTTCTTAGTCTGGTGCCAGTGGCTCATGCCTGTAATCCTAGCTACTCAGGAAGCTGAAATCTGAGGATTGTAGTTCAAAGATAGCCCAAGCAGGAAAGTCAATAAGCCTCTTATCTCCAATTAACCACCAAAAACACTAGGGCGTTCTCAATGGACCTAGGTAGTAGGGATGGGTATATAACACTGTAAGTACACTTAATGCCACTGAGTGGAACACCTTAAAATGGTTAAATGATAACATTCCTGATATATCTATTGTGTCACACTCACACATGCACATATATACACGTGACAGTTGTGTTGCTAGTTTTTAGGGGCTGCAGTGTTAGTTGCACATCCTTGTCCAGGGGTAGACCTGTTTACAGTCTCCCTGGCCTCATACCTACTAGCCACACACCAGAGGAAGTGGGCATTACACACAGCCACTCAGACACTAGCTTTTGCTGGCTTCTGCTTAGTCCCCCTCTCCCTGCCCTTGGCCTCCTGGGCGCAAGGGAGGAGAAGAGGCTTACCTGGATGTGAGCTCTCCCAGGAATCTAGGAAAGACAAAACAAAAGCTCTGGTGACTGTCATCTCATTTCCCCCACTCAGGAGCAGAACGCTTCCTCCCTCAACAACTCACAATCCGGGGATGGCTGCACCCAATCATGTCCAAGGTCAACCCCTCCCCTGTGCTTGTGACCTACTCTCTTTCTCAAGAGGATTGTCCAAGAAGCAGAATCACCTTGGTTCAAGTGCAAGCCACAGAATCAGGATTCCCCAGGCCCCCCAGGTGTGATGGTTCACACCTGTAACCCTTGCACTCTCTCAGCAAGCATCAGGAGCTACACTCACCGTGGGCCACTTAGAGAGATGCTGTCTCCAAACAACAGAATCTCCCAGCCACAGCCACCAGAGGCCAATCACAGCTGTCCCTGTGCCTGCCCCTCCATAGCCACAGGGCATTGGTTCTAGGGCCTCTGTGGACAATATTCATGTCTCTTAAGGAAAATGCTGTAGTATTTGTGTATAACCTTCACGTCTTCCTACATACTTGAAATCATCTCCTATAATACTGAATACAAGTCAGGTGCCGGTGACTCAGACCTATAATCCTAGCCACTCAGGAGACTGAGATCTGAGGATTGATGTTCAAAGCCAGCCTGTGGCAGGAAAATCTGTGAGACTCTTATCTCCAATTAACTTCTAGAAAACTGGAAATGGTATTGTGGCTCAAAGTGGTAGAGCACTAGCCTTGAGAGAAAGAGCTCAGAGACAGTACCCAGGCCCTCAGTTCAAGCCCCATGACTGACAAATAAAAAAAAGGGGCTAGGAAAGTGGCTCAATGGTAGAGTGCTTGCCTCCTATGCATGAGGCCCTGGGTTCGATTCCTCAGTACCACATAAGCAGAAAAAGCCAGAAGTGGTGCTATGACTCAAGTGATAGAGCGCTAGCCTTGGGCTGAGGAGCTGAGACAATGCCACACAACCAACCAAAAAAAAAAAAAGCAAGCAAGCAAGAAAGAAAGACTGAATACAATGCAATGCTATATAAATAGTTGTGAAACTATATCATATAGGGAATAACTAAGACAAAAAGTCTACATATCCAGTACATATACATTTCTTCCCAAATACTTCTGACTTGTGCATGGTTGAACTCATGGGTATGGACCCAAAGATACTTGTTCTTCTTGATGGCTAAGTGAAATTCCACACAGTTTTTAGATCCATACAGGGAAAAGGGAAGAAAGCACCAATCTACTTTGAAAATCATAACAGAGCGCAAACATTGTACTGATCAGACATCAGAGCAGATATATTCTTTTTTACCCCTGGTGAAATCTGGGTAACATTTTACCTACTTAGAAACATGGTCACATGCATGAACTTGCATTTCACAGCCAAACTAACCAGGGTTCATGAACATAAAAAGCCAGAGTCTTTGGCAACAGGATTAGGAAGGAAAGTGAAAATTTAAGTTGTTGTTTTTCATCTTGGTGAGATTAAAAATACTGATTTCACCAAAAAATAACTAAGATTGTTTCTTAACATTATAGGTATATGCTGGGTGCCAGTGGCTCACACCTGTAATCCTAGCTACTCAGGAGGCTGAGATCTGAGGATCATGATTCAAAGCCAGCCCTGGCAGGAAAGTCCTTGAGACTCTTTTTTTTTTTTTTTTTGGGTCCGGTCGTGGGGCCTGAACTCTGGGCCTGGGCGCTGTCCCTCAGCTCTTCAGCTCAAGGCTAGCGCTCTATCACTTGAGCCACAGCGCCACTTCCGGCTTTTTTCTTTTTGCTTATGTGGTGCTGAGGAATCGAACCCAGGGCCTCAGTCATGCAAGGCAAGCGCTTTAACCACTGAGCCACCTTCTCAGCCCCAGTCCTTGAGACTCTTATCTCCAATTAACAACCAGAAATCTGGAAGTGGTGCTGTGGCTCAAGTGGTAAGGTGCTGGTCTTGATCTGAAGAGTGCAGGGACAACTCCCAGGCCCAGAGTTCAAGCCCCATGGCCAACAACAACAAAAAGACTCTGGGTATCAACACTCTTGTATGGAAACAAGACAGAGCTGGGAAAGCTGGCAAATTAAATCTCCCCAAAGATTCCAGACTATCTGGGAATCAGCAGGAGTGTGGAGGACCTTCCTTGCTGTCTGCCTGCCTGCCAGTCAGCCCTGACAGTTCTCACCAAGATGCAGCAGACCAGACCCTGGCTCCAGACACTTACCCTGACACTGTAAGCTTCACCTTGATGTGGTAAGACACCAGGATGCCCAGAACAGTCCGGTCTATGCCTTCCTTAAGGCTGCCCAAACAGAAAGGAGAAGGATGAGGGGAGTGCTAGGAAGCAGAGCAGAGAAGGGACCCTTCCCTCTTCCTCCAGGTCCACTGACCTGGTCACTCTAGCAGGGCCTCAGACATGAGGGGCAAGTAGTCTAACTCTGAGATGGCAACCGTTAACCACACCCGTCAGATCAATAAGAAAACGGAAGTTCTCAGCAGGCTCCAGTCACTTGCCCAGCACCACCCACTGGGTAGGAAGTGAGGCTGGGTGGGTGCAAGGCTGTACCCCTCGGGGGAATCATGACAGCATGCCAGGGAGGGAATGAGAGCCCTGCTTGGGCCCCCAGGTCTGTGCACTGTGCCTTTAACACTATTCCATCCTGTCCTGCTGGGGTGCCAGTGTTCAGACACCGGGGGACAGGACATCGTCAGCCACGTGGATGGCCATTCTCCGGGCCGAGGACTCACATGGTGCTGGAGGCCAGGTTTGTATCCTCATGCTTGATCTTCCCATCCAACGCAATGCCTCTTCTCTCTCGATTGTTAGCCAGCAGGGGCACCAGAGTCAGCGTCTTGGTCAAAGTGCCATTTGGTGGCACTTTTTCTCTGAAGAAAGAAAACACAGGACATTTATAACCATCAGAGTCACTATCTCAATCCCACAAGACGCTATTTGCCAGGGAGCATTTTCCAGGATCAAAGTTCCCTGGCGACTTACCAGGACAGGGACACGATGTCAGTGGAAGCTCAGCATACACAGGCTGAGTGACAAACAATATTGCACATTTCCTCGAGACCCTCAGCCTACTGGTAAGAGCTGAATTTATAGAACATTCTATGCAGTTATATAACACTACTGATGGGGCTGGGCACTAATGGCTCATGCCTGTAATCCTAGCTACTCAGGAGGCTGCCATCTAAGGATAATAGTTCAAGGCCAGCACATGCAGGAAAGTCCCTGAGACTCTTATCTCTAATTAGCCACCAGGAAACCAGAAGTGGAGCTGTGGGCTCAAAGTGGTATTGTGCTAGCCTTGAGCAGAAGAGCTTAGGCTCTTCAAGCTCCATGACTGGCCAAAAACAAAAAGACTACTGCAAAAAAAAAACCTAACAGGCATGGTGTCACATATCTGTAATCCCAGCACTCAGGAGTCTGAGGCAAGAAGAGTGCTAGGCCAGCCTGAGCTACCGAGTGAGTAGCTTAGTCTCAAAATACAAGACAAAGCCAAAACCAAGTTATGACCAGCTGTCCAAAATTCAGAGAGCCCAGACAGTCTCTTCCTGAGCCCGGTGAACAGCAGGTCCTCTATGGAAGGGTCACCAACAAGACCATATGGGAAAGGTTTATTTTTTTCTTTGTATTTGTGTGTGTGTGCGCTAGGACTGCAGCCAGAACTCTGTGCCTCACATTCTCAATTTGCTTTTTCTGTTCAGGGTTGATTCTTTACCACTTGGGCCATATCTCTACTTCTGGATTTTTGCTGGTTAATAAGAGGTAAGAATATCTTGGATTTGTCTGCCCTGGCTGGCTTGGAATTTCAATCCTCAGATCTCAGTTCCCTGAGTAGCTAGGATTGCAGGCTTGGGCCACCAGCACCCTGCTGAACAGGTCATTTTGTACTCAAATGGTCACTGTTAGGACAGTCAGCATGTGGCTGATGGTGGGCTGGGAGCTGCACAAGGCCAGAGCCTCGTGAACAACACAGACCAGGCTCGTGTGTGTGTTCAAAACAGTACACGTGCTCCCTGCTGGAGACGATCCATCAGCAGTTGGGCTACAGGACCCTCATGCCAAGGGCAGGTATGGGGCAGGCGCAGGGACACAGAATCACTGGGATCACAAGGCCGCATCTAAGCTGGATACCTGGCCCTGTCATTCATGTGCCTTGTGCTGAAGGCTCTTGCTTCCTGTCTGCCCTAGCCATGCACCCACCGGTTCTGAGCCTGCAGAGCCCTGGCTGCTCGCAGCATACCATAGCCTAGTGCCCAGCAGAAGGCGGCAGGGTGTGGCCTGACCATGTCACTCCATGAGGATTGCTTCTTAAGCAAGTCCCGAGACGTCTTCAGGGCTGAACTGCTCCCAGGGAAGACTTCCCTGGGGAGTTTAAAGCAGCTTTGGCTTATCCTGCTTCTGGTGGATGCAGGAAGATCTTTATAGAATTTCGCTGGAGCCCACCGGTGACCCACATTGTCCCATCTGACTCTAGGTGGAATCTCTAAGAAGCTTGATTACAGCAGCAGCAGTGACAAAAACAGAGTGTTAAAGGGACTGAGGTAGGCGGGGTCCTTGGGGCTGGCCTGGGTGATGAGGAGCAGCAGTTTGCCAAATGACTGTGCCAGGTCTCTAGGGGTCACCTTCTAGGGCTTTTTGGGGCCTGGACTTGGACAGCAGGCAGCTGCTACAAAGTCAGATCCGATCTGACTTGAGGAACTCCAGGAGTAGTGGGGTCTGGCACAGTCACTCATACTGAATGACCTCTAGTCTGAGATGCACTGTGATGATCTTGATTGTCAGCTTGAGGGGACTGATGGACAGGGACATAATTCAAGGGGTAGAGCTTGAGCCCCTGAGTCCATATTCCAGGATAACCTTCCCCCTCCCACAACTATACATATGTATGCATATGTGTGTGTATACATTGTATATATTATAGGTAGATTTTAAAGAAAATTAACCAAAGCAGAAAGTCTCACCCTGAATGTGCGTAGTACCACCCCATGGGCTGGGGGCCTAGGTGAAACAGGAAAGCTCACTGGGCCACCCCTCCCTCCTGGCTGCCATATTGAGAAGTCTGCTCCACCACACCGTCCTGGCCGTGATAAACTGGAACCTCAAAACGGAACCAAAGTGAATCTTGCCTTTTTTCAGTTGTCCTAAGTATCTGTCTCAGTGACAGAAAGCTAATCAGCAGCAGACACGATCTGGCCTAGCTTCCAATCTCCCTCCCAACCCTCACAGGAATCTCAGAATGGCTTCCAAAGCACCCATGGTTTTAATAAAGGACGCGACAACGGAGTCTAGATTGGGAGAAAATCTGGAACATTTGGCCCAGTCTTGCTGAGCGTCTGTTGAAGACCAACCAGGACCTCCCCCCCCCCCCGCCCCCCCAAGAAGGCAAATGTGTGCCCCTGGGCCTGGCTTAGGGAAGTCTGCTAATGACTTGTGCTTCTTTCCTACTTCCTTCCTTTGTAGACTTATATTTAAACTTCAGCTCAAATTTGTTTTGAGCAATAGTTTACTCTAAGTATTACTTTTAAGTATTATGTAATATCATCTCAGTAAATCAGCTTATCTTTTCACACTGTCATCCTACTACTCCACACCCTAAACTTCCTGTAACCCTGGTGACTGTTCTTGTGACAGTGCTTTGAACGCACCAGTTAAGCAAAAAGGACCTTCCAAGGAGAGGAGAGGGGTATAACTTCTCTCTCTCTCCCTCTCTTTCTCTCTCTCCCTCCCTCTCTCTCTCTCTCTCTCTCCTGGAATTAAATGAATCTATCTGACTTGGTGGCACAAATCAAAGCCTGCCCACAAGAAGAAGTCATCACAGGATTTTCCTTTGGTTTTGAAAAATCATTTGCCACAATGAGCTCACAGCAGAGCCACCTTTCTAGTCCAGTTGTCACTGGTACAGGATTTTCAAGCCAGGTGCAGTGACTCAGGACTGTAATCCTAGCTACTCAGAAAGCTAAGATCTGAGGATTGTGGTTTGAAGCCAGCCAGCCCAGTCAGGAAAGTCTTAACTCCATAAACTACTCCAAAAAAAAGGTGGAAGTGGAACTGGGACATGAGTGGTACAGTATGAGCCTTGAGCAAAAAAGGCTCCAGGATAGAACCAAGGCTCTGATTCAAGCACCCCCCCAAAAAAAAAAAAATAAAAAAGATTTTCAAGTGTAAGAGTCCTGGCTTGGGCAGCTGCTTTCTGACCATCCGACAACTCATGCCAAGATTACCCAGAAAATCCCTGTTGTCCACCAGGTGATACCCCCACCTTGATTCCTCTCCTCACTTCTTAGCAAGGATGCCCAGCATCTTAGACCTCCTATGGGATGGGCCCCATGCAGTGGATTAAAAACACCGCTAAGCTGCTAAACTTTCTTTGCAGTCCTCCAAGTGAGAAAAGGGAAGGAAATGGAAGACAGGGAGGCTGGGGTGGTGGTGGTGGTGGTGGTGGTAATGTTCTAGTTCCTTCTTTAGTTAAGGAACAAAGAGGACCCTAACAACAAAGGCGGGCTACCCAGGAAGTGGAAATACAACCGCTACTTACTGTATTTCCTCTGTGGCCACCGGCTTGGCGTAATAGTCACTGGAGTAGAGAACCACGTTGGCCACTTGCTCCACTGCAAAGGGAGGACACAAGCCAGGTGATGAGCCCTGGGGCCCTGGTCATGGGTGTGCGGCCCCCAGCTTCTCCGGGGATCCAGCCGGGTTTCTCCATCTGCTTCCGGCTCCTCCTGACTTAAAGGCTGCCATTTCCAAGTGCTGTGCTCAGGTCACTTCTCTTCACGGATAACTTGTTCTGTGCCAACTTTGGACTCAGCCACACTGTCAGGCCTAGCTCTGGGATCCCCTCCTCTGCTCCCTCCTGTGAGTGTCCTTGATCCTGCTCTCCAAACCCAGCCCCTTTCCAACATCCCTCCCACTTTTTTTTGTGGCTCATGGGGCTTGAACTCTGGGCTTGGGTGCTATCCCTGAGCTCTTCAGCTCAAGGTGAGCGCTCTACCACTTGAGCCACAGCACCACTTCTGGTTTTCTAGTGGTTTATTGGAGATAAGAGTCTCACAGACTTTTCTGCCCAGGCTTTGAACAGTGATCCTCAGATCTCATCCTCCTCGGTAGCTAGGATTACAGGCGTGAGCCACTGGCGCCAGCCTTCAACATCCTTTATCTTACCTAACGATCATCAGCATTCACATTCTCCAAGCTTTCTAGGAACCAGCTAGAAGCATAGGACTGAACTAAGGATGTAACCTAGTAGAAAGGAGGGTAGGCCCTTTGGCCTGATAATGGGCTCAAATTTTCTCTGCTTAGCCGTGAACTGTGAGGTGAATTCTTAAACTCCTGTAACCCTCAATCTTCCTACAAGTGAAATCAGTGATAATTACATCTAACTCACAGGGAAGTTGTGAAAATTAAAAGAATAAGTTTGGCTGGACGCCAGTGGCTCATGCGTGTAATCCTCGCTACTCAGGAGGCTGAGATCTAAGGATCATGGTTCAAAGCCAGCCTGAGGAAGGAAAGTCTGTGAGATTCTTATCTCCAATTAACCGCCAGAAAACCAGAGGTAGCTCTGTGGCTCAAGTGGTAGAGTGCTTGCCTTGAGCTGAAGAACTCAGGGACAGCACCCAAGGTCAGAGTTCAAGCCCCATGTCCAACCAAAAAAAAGAATGAGTTTTGGACCAGATGTGGTAGCTCACACCTGTAAGCTCAGCTACTCAAAAGGCAGAGATCAGAAGGACTGAAGTTCAAGGCCAGCTCAGGAAAACAGTTATCAACACCCAATTATAAACAATTATAAAAAAGATGCTTTAGGTAGGAGGATTGAAGTCCATGGTTGACTGTAGGAAAATCATGATACCCTACCCCAAATAACTAAACCATTTAAAACAAAATAACTAAAGCAAAAAAGGGCTGAGGTGTAACTCAAGTGATAGAGCCTTGTCTGGCAAGCACAAAGCCTTGAGTTATAAATTAATTAAAAATAAAAAGATGACTTGTATTCTCTTTAAGACTAAGTTTGAGGGATAAAAAAGAAACAATGTGGGACTAGGAATGTAGTTTAGTGGTAGAGTGCTTGCCTAGCATGCATGAAGCCCTCGGTTTGATTCGTTAGTACCACATAAACAGAAAAAGCTGAAAGTGCGCTGTGGCTCAAATGGTAGAGAACAAAAGAAGTTCAAGGACGGTGCCCAGGCCCTGAGTTCAAGCCCCAGGACTGGTACAAAAAAGAAACAAAAAGAAAGAAAAAAAGAAACAATGTATGCATTCAGCACAGAGCTCAGCTGATAGAAAGGTATTAACATTTTGTCTCAGAAAATTCATCATCTTTTTCCAAGGTTAGTAGCTTTGTTGTTACAATTCATATAACTTTGAAAAACAATTCTATTGTGTGTGTGCACACACACATGCATGCGCATATATTTTCAGATAGGGTTTTGCTACTTATCCATGTCTGGCCTCAAACTTATCATCCTCCTACCTCAGTCTCCTGGTGGCACATAATCAAAGTACCAAATAATTCTTTCTCCACGCTGTTGCTGAGGTTGAAGGTTTGTTCCTGTCCTCTTACTTTGCATGCTGCAGTCTGAAGGCCACAGTGACAGTATAAAGAAGTCGGGGAGGTGACTAGGTTATAGGGTGAGGCACTCAAAACTAGGATTAGTGCCTTCGTAAAGAGGCCCCTTCCATCACGAGTGGACACAGTAAGATGGCACTCAGCTACTTGGAAAAAGCCTTCACCAGACTGGAAGCCTGGCAGCACCTTATCCTTGGACCTTCCAGTCTCCAGAACTGCCAAAAACAAGTATTTGTAGTTTATAAGTTTGTGGTATTTTGTGAGAGTTGCCTGAATGGACAGACACCCACTAGTATGAGAACCAGTGTATTAGATGCTACATGTAACACGTTACATAACTACAGGACCTAATAAGACCAAAAGGCATATGAACTAAACTAACATACCATAAAAATGTAAGTCAAATCTTGGGAGCAGGGCGATGGACCACACAAGAGGCTGAAATCTGACTCTTGGTGCAAAGCCAGCCTGGGCAAGAAAGTCTATAAGACTCTATTTCAATTAACTGCCAAAAAGCTGTAGCTCAAGAAGTAGAACATTAGCCTTGAGTACAAAGGTTCAGGACCATTACCCAGGCCTTGAGCTCAAGCCCTAGGCTCACACTAAAAATTTAAAAAAAAAAATGAGTTTAGAGGTTACTCTTCCAGGTCAACCCATTTTGCACCTTGATGTCCTGAGCGATGATGTAGGAATAACACATGGTCATGGAAGTACATGACTAGGGTCAGCCATCCCAAGAGGCCATGGAGGTGACACGTCACACTTCCCCACTTACAAAGCATTTGCCTCTGGGCGCTTTCCTTCCAGCCCCGGGAGGAGTGAGGAGGCAGCAGGGAGCTGCCCCTGTCAATTCTGAGACTTAGCTTTCCATTCAGGGCCTTTCCTGCTATTTGTGCTGCATTTGTCAACAAAAATCCTCACTGGTCCCTTCTCATGAGATCTGGCTCTAGTTGGAAAGGAACTACACAGAACCGTGAGAGGATCGGGGTCTTGTCAGCCCCAAAGAAGACTTGAAGGTCCTACTGTTAGTCACGACAGAGAGGAAGAGAGGACACAGAAAGACCTTAACAGGACTGGGAAGGTGGCTCAGTGGTAGAGCGCTTGCCTTGCATTCATGAGGCCCTGGGTTCAATTCCTCAGCATCACATAAACAGAAAAAGCCAGAAGTGGTGCTGTGGCTCAAGTGGTAGAGCGCTAGTCTTGAACTGAAGAGCTGAGGGACAGCGCCCAGACCCAGAGTTCAGGCCCCATGACAGACAAAAAGAAAGGAAAGAAGGAAGGAAGACCTTATCAGACTACAGTAGCCCTCAGAAAATATGATCAGGCTGAGGAATTCTAGAACACCCTGCTTTCCAGTTTTCAAAAGAAGTTCCTACAGGGAAAGCACAGAAATGAAGGGACAAGGGGTGAACAAAGCCAGCAGTGCTACTCACTGGACACTATTGAAAATGAACAATACAACTTGTGGGGGGGGGGGGGGTGAGAGGGAAAACTAGGAGAGAGTGAAGGAAGGGGTGACATTATCCAAAAAGAAGTGTACTCTTTACCCGACATGTAACTTTAATTCCTGAATGTATCACTTTTATACTAACAATTTAAAAAAAAGGGGGTTCCTACCTGAGACTTTGATTTTCTTCACCGTCTTCTCTGTGTTATTGGTCACGGTCACGGTCACAGGGATGGCCTCTCCATGGAAATACAGCTGAAAAGGCAGGAGGTGAGTGGGGCAGGGGGCACCTTTCAGCTCAGGGCTTGGCTCCTCCCATTTTTTCCCTCCTTTATTTAAATCAAGACCGTTTAATCGTTATGCATGCGTCTCTCTTCCTCTTCCCAGTTTCCTGTCTGTACCCCAAAGATGGCTGAACCCAGGGCCTTGGGCTCCTGTTTGGCTTTTGGCTCTTGTGCTCAAGGCTGTGGCTGGTGAGCACCACTTGAGCCATACCCTTCTGGTTTTTCTTTTTTTTCTGGTGCTTCCCTGGAGATAAGAGTCTCACAAACTTTCCTGCCTGGCTAACTTTGAACTGCCATTTTGAGATATCAGCCCTCTAAGTAGCTAGGTGTGAACTACAAGCACCTAGCTCTTAGGGCTTTCTAGAGTCAGCCTTTTCCCAAGAATCAAGGTGTCTAAAGATGAGGTGATAGCAACGTTTCCTCTAGAGAAAGGTCTAGAACAAAATCTGTACAGGAGGATGAGGAAGCCAGCCATTTACAAACTGGTGCAGGAAGAGCAGTGTTAGGAATTGGGGAGGGGGCAGTGGTTACCTCTTTGCTGAGGGAGACAGAGAGGTTCAGTGGCTTGTCCGACATGAAGAACTGCCAGGAAGACTCCGCACAGGGCTGGGGGCCCATATCAGGTGGAGCGTGCTGCACCTTCCGGATGAGCAAGCGCACAGAGCTCCTGAGGGAAAAGGCCCGGGAGTCCAGATGAGTGTTGGCTACAGCTTGGCCTCCCCTTTCCCCTCAGACAAGCTGAGGGTTCAGGAGCACTCCCGATGCCCTCAGTAGAGGAGGGAAGGCACCGGCCTTGTCCTGAATCACCTGTCTTAGTCCCTTCTTTGTGTTTGTACAGGCCTGAGGTCAGGATCCCCCCAGTGGCCTCCTTCATTCACTCTGTCAGGCTGTCAGACCAGGCTTCGGAGTGCTAAGTGACCTAGACACCTTGTGATTGCTATGGTAAGCACATAAGAGATGTGCATGCAGGACATGGGGACTTTGAGGGGACAGGAAGAGCCAGGGGAGGGATCCTATCTGGATAAAGAAAGAAAAGAGAGCCAGGCACCAGTGGCTCACACCTGTAATCCTACCTACTCAAAAGGCTGAGATCTGAGCATCACCAGCCCAGGCAGGAAAGTTCATGAGAACCTTTTTTCCTTCTTTTTTTTTTTTTTGGCTGATCCTGGGGCTTGAACTCAGAGCCTGGGCTCTGTCCCTGAGCCTCTCTGTGCACAAAGCTAGCGCTCTACCATTGAGCCACAGCACTGTTTCCAGTTTTTTCTGTTTATGTGGTACTGAGGAATTGAACCCAGGGCTTCATGCATGCTAGGTAAGCACTCTACTACTAAGCCACATTCCCAGCCCTTTCCCCACAATCCTTACTTCTTGGGGATCTTGTCCTCTTCTCCATCTGTGACGTCTGTGGCAAAAGCTTTCACCTCAAAGTCGACCCCACAGCTCTGTTGAAGATGAGAACAGACAGGGCGGGAGTTAGTACCGCCCTTCCCCCCCCACCATGGGGATGGGGGCCCTATCTTTCAGGCTGTCTCTGAAAGACTAGATGTCGAAGTGTGCTGACCATGACCCGCTGACATCGGCATGAGGACGGGAGTGCAGGGAGCTCAGCCTGCAGACCCGCACAGGTCCTCAGATCCTCTTTGAACATGCCTCTGTTACAGACTTCTGGTTTTCTACAGCAGCGGAACAGATAGCAGGTGCTCACAGGGCTGGGGCGGAAGCTGCTAATGCCGGGCCTTCTGGGGGTGTGAGCACCCTGACCCTAGCAGCCATCTGCGGCTCAACTGCAGCCGAATGTGGCCAGCAGCCATAGTCACAGTGCCAACAACTCGTCTGGGATAAAACCTCTTCATTTTTGAATGAAAGCTTCTTTTTTCAATTTGGGAAAAGGGGCAGAGGGAAGAAGGGAAAGTGATGAAGAGGTGAGTGTAAAAAGGAACATCGTGAACGTAAGTGAACATGTCAAAAAGTAGCCCCTTCGTGCAGCTAGTTGATGTTAGTTAAAAAAAGAAAAAAGAAACAAGAAACCACTTTAACGCCTGTAATCTTAGCTACCCAAAGAAGGTTGAGATCTGAGGACTGAGGCTCAAAGTCAACCCAGGCAGGAAAGTCTATGAGACTCTCAATTCTAGTTAACTACCAAAAAGCTAGAAGTGGAGCTGTGGCTCAAATGGTAGAGCACCGGTCTTTTTTTTTTGGGGGGGGGGGTCCAGTCGTGGGGCCTGAACTCTGGGCCTGGGCGCTGTCCCTCAGCTCTTCAGCTCAAGGCTAGCGCTCTACCACTTGAGCCACGGTGCCACTTCTGGCTTTTTTCTTTTTTGCTTATGTGGTGCTGAGGAATCGAACCCAGGGCCTCAGGCATGCAAGGCAAGCGCTCTACCACTGAGTCACCTTCCCAGCCGCCAGCACCGGTCTTGAGCAAAAGAGTTCAGGGATAGTGCCCAAACCCTAAGCTCAAGCCCTAGTACTGGTACCAAAAAAAAAAAAAAAAGCCAAAAGTGGAGTCAGGTGCCAGTGGCTCACACCTGTAATCCCAGCTGAAAAAGAAAACAAAAAACTTTTTTTTTTTTGGTCAGTCGTGGGCCTTGAACTCTGGGCCTGGGCGCTGTCCCTCAGCTCTTCAGCTCAAGGCTAGCACTCTACCACTTGAGCCACAGCACTACTTCCAGCCTTTTCTGTTTATGTGGTGCTGAGGGATTAAACCCAGGGCCTCATGCATGTGAAGCAAGCACTCTACCACTGAACCACCTTCCCAGCCCTGAAAACAAAAAACTTTTTTTTTTTTGGTCCGGTCCTGGGCCTGAACTCTGGGCCTGGGCGCTGTCCCTCAGCTCTTCAGTTCAAGGCTAGCGCTCTACCACTTGAGCCACAGCGCCACTTCCAGCTTTTTTTCTTTCTGCTTATGTGGTGCTGAGGAATCGAACCCAGGGCCTCATGCATGCAAGGCGAGTGCTCTACCACTGAGCCACCTTCCCAGCCCAACAAAAAACTTTTAAGCACACATGGGTCAAACAAATGTATCTGCCAGAAACTTTCAACCCTCAGATCCCAGCATGACTTCTGGGTCTCCCACACAAGTCCTTAACAACCTGGCTCATCTCAGAAGTAAGATTTAGAATACAGCCTAGAAAATAGAAACACATGTGCAAAATCACACTCATGATGTAATATTTAGTTGTGCTTTGTGTAATACACATTCTGTTTCTATTCTATTCCATTCATCCCAGGTGTTTACTTGGTTTTTGGTGGTACTGGGGTTTAAACCCAGGGCCTCATACTTGCTAGGTAAGTGTTCTACCACTTAAGTCACATGTCCAGGGCTGGGAAGGCGGCTCAGTGGTAGAGCGCATGCCTTGCATGCCTGAGGCCCTGGGTTAGATTCCTCAGCGCCACATAAGCAAAAAGAAAAAAGCCGGAAGTGGCGCTGTGACTCAAGTGGTAGAGCGCTCGCCTTGAGCTGAAGAGCTGAGGGACAGCGCCCAGGCCCAGAGTTCAGGCCCCACGACTGGACGCAAAAAAAAAAAAAGTCACATGTCCAGCATCCATCCTAGGTTTTCAAATGTGTTTTTTATTTCTTTCTTTCTTTTTATTTTTTGGTCTGTCATGGGGCTTGAACTCAGGGTCTGGGCAGTGCCCCTGAGCTTTTTCACTTAAGGCTAACACTCTACCACTTTGAGCCACAGCACCACTTCTGGACTTTGCTGCCCCACCTGGCTTTGAACCATGATCCCAGATCTCAGCCTCCTGAGTATCTAGGATTACAGGAGTGAGCCACTGGTGCCTGGCTTGCTTGCTTTCTCCCTTTCTCCCTCCCTCCTTTCTTTTTTCTCTCTCTTTCTCTCTCTCTCACTTTCTGTTTCTTCTTTTTATTTATTATTATTTTTGAGAGGCTTACTGAGGCTTACACTCAGGGTCTCATGCTTGCTAGGCAGATGCTCTACTGCTAAACTATACCTCCAGCTCTTAAATCCCAGCTCTAATCCCCAAACTACGAATAGGTCATGACCCCACAATGATAAACTCTGCCCTCTCCCTTGTCGCCTTCTGTTACTGTCCCTTATAATCCATGTTATTATGGTCATATCTTAGGACTCTGGCCCTAGGGTCTGTGAGTGCTCGCACCTTTTGCGCTCTGTCTGTTTGTCTGTCTGTCTCTCTTTTTTTCTTCTCTCTCTCTGTCAGTCATGGGGCTTGAACTCTGGGCCTGGGTGCTGTCCCTCAGCTCTTCCACTTGAGCCACAGCGCCATTTCCAGTTTTCTGGTGGTTTATTGGAGATAGGAGTCTCACGGACTTTCCTGCCCAGCCTGGCTTTGAACCTTGATGGATTACAGGCATGAGCCACTGGTGCCCAGCTCTTTTGCAGGCAGAAGGAAGGAGTGGAGGTGGAAAGAGAGTGCTTTACCACTTTGAGCCACTTCTGATTTTCTGGTAGTTAACTGGATATAAGTGTCTCACAGACTTTCCTGCCTGGGCTGGCTTCAAACTGCGATGCTTATATCTCAGCCTCCTGAGTAGTGACATTATAGTGTAAGCCAACAACCCCCCCGCTTTAACAATATCCTCCCTTGCCTCTCACATGCCTATGGTCATCTAATTTGGCCTACTGTTACTTATTTTTGTCTACTACTCTCCATTAACACGAGACCTGGGATGGGTCAGGTCTGCTGTTCATAGGACGTTCATGGCTAAACACTGCTGAGATGAGGGATGGGTCCAAAGTCATATTGATATCACCACTTTCATGAATGCTTGACATTTCCCATGTTTCAAAGTTATTGATAAACGTCTACTCAGGTCTGGGCACTGGTGGCTCACTTCTGTAATGCTATCTACTCAGGAGGCTGAGGTCTGAAGATCCTGGTTTGAAGTCAACCTGGCATGAAAATCCAGGGAAATTCTTTCACCAGTTAATCAGCAAAAAGCTGGAAATTTTTGGAGCTATGGCTCAAGTGGTAGAACACCAGCCTCAAGCAGAATAGGCTAAGGGACCTGAATTCAATCCACAGAACTAGCACACACAAATTCTGTTGAGGGATCCAGGCATGGTGTTGCATACCTATAATCTAGACTCTTGGAGTCTGAGGTAAAATTGTGAGTTATGAGACCTGTCTGAAAACCAAATTTATTGGAGGGATGACAAGAAATGAGTCTATGACATTTCTTCTTTTTGTTAGTCCTGTGCTTGAACTCTGGGTCTGGGCTCTGTCCAGTTTGCTTAGAGATAACATTCTACCATTTGAGCTGAAGTGCCACTTCCAGATTTTTCTGTGATTAATTAGATTAATTAATAAGAGTCTCACACAGACTTTCTTGCCTGGGCTGGCTTTGAACTGTGATCCTCAGATCTCAGCTTCCTAAGTAACTAGGATTACAGACATGAGCCTTTAGCATCCAACTCCATGACATTTTTTTTTTTTTTTGGTCCAGTCGTGGGGCCTGAACTCTGGGCCTGGGTGCTGTTCCTCAGCTCTTCAGCTCAAGGCTAGTGTTCTACCACTTGAGCCACAGGGCCACTTCTGGCTTTTTTCTTTTTGCTTATGTGGTGCTAAGGAATTGAACCCAGGGCCTCAGGCATGCAAGGCAAGCGCTTTACCACTGAGCCACCTTCCTAGCCCATGACATTTTTTTGAACTTACCTTCCCAGTATCTTGTGGAGCTGGCTGCAACATCACTGAACAGGGCAAATAGTCAGGAAACTGTTAAGAAACAAATGAACAGTTCTCTCAGAGGGACTCTTCTATACATGACATCGTAATATGTCAGCATTACACAAGATTGGAAAATGAAGACAATGAGCAAGAAACAAGAAAAAAGCCTGTTCACCTACAGTCCTGGCACCTAGCTGAAGGTCAATCCATAATCTTCCCAAAGTGGCCTGTATGCGCACAGATACATGAGGAGATGTGCAGGTGCATATGTCCTCCAGAAATGGGACCAAATAATGGGACATCTACAGTCTGCATTCCTCACGTTCAGAAAACTTCATGGCTATTTTCCCACATCATGAAATACATCCCTATACTACTACTTCCAGGGTTTAACATCTCCTTAATGCAGCCACTTATATGACCCATACTTTCTTTGGTATTGTAAATAACACAGTAATAAATAAGCTTCATACAGTTTGGCATACATTTAGTCAATTAATTCCATATACTACATGGTGAGAAAGAAAGTTGTCAGAGACGGGTGTGTTGGTGTCTCAAGTCTATAATCCTAGTAACTTGGGCTGGGCATCAGTGGCTCATACTTGTAATCCTAGCTCCTCAGGAGGCTGAAATCTAAGGATCATGGGTTGAAGCTAGGATCCCGCTCTCAGCCTCCTGAATAGCTAGGATTACAGGCATGAGCCACTGGCACCAGCTCAAAAGTTTCTGCCAGATGTTCAAGACAGTTAAGCAGAAGGCCCTGGGCCCCATTCCTAGTACTGGGGGGTGGGATGATTATTTCATTTCAGGATGTCCTATCCCATATGGAACTACTTCCTGCTTAGAGCTCCCTGGGGCCAACTAAAGAGCCAGTTTCTTTTTATAGCCAATGAGAGAAGAAAGAACATATGCTCATCTAATTAGGTGGTCAGACAAAGGGAAATATCTAAAGGGCAGGTTGAAGTGGTGCCTTCAAAGGCAGGGAAGCTATTTTCAAGGGTTTAAAAAAAAAGACAATCACAGACTGTGCAATCTAGAATTTCTTTCAAGGATGCAATTTAGAGACCCACAGAAGCAGGTCCTCCCTCTGTCCCCTTCCCTGTGCCCCGCTCCTGTGGGAAGATGCCCAGGATAAAGATGGGGCCAGGAGAGCAGGCAGTGAGAGCTCACCGTGAGCAGAAAGGGGTATGCGTTGCCCCCCAGCTTCTTGAGCAAGCTCTCCTGCAGTGGTGTGGGGGCGCCGGCAGCCCCCGCAGGAGGATACACTTGGACCCGAGAGAAGTACAGGTCCCTGCGGAAGGTCAGGCCCATCACGTCGATGTCTTCCTGGCCGTAGCGGAAGGCGCAGGTCAGAGAGACGAACACTGGGAAGAAGACACAGGTGGACTGAAGCTGCCTCACGGGACCACAACCATTGATGCAGCGGCCCTACCTGAGGAACTGGTCGACCGCATCACATGGTCAGCCTCAGCCTGGAAGGGAAGCCTGGAAGAACCATGCCATCCATACTACGCAATTAGAAGCCTCAGGGTCTGCCCAGGGGGTGAAGTCCTTACTCTGAATGGCAAGGCCACAGGTTGGGGAGGCATTTCTCTGGCCATCACACAATGGTTCCAGGATGCCAGGATTCTGCAGACAGAGAGCTGCCATCTACCAACCCCTGCAGCTTCCTCCATCCCACCCCTCTCCTCTTCACCCAGGATCACAGGGCCTAGGGGCGAACTTGCTGGGGTTTAGAAGGGCCAGGTGTCTGCTGAGACAAGGAAGAGAAAAACTGGAACAAAATAGACAGGTGTGAGAATCAGATGGGTCCATGGGCCAAGGTGGCAGGATGGTGGTGGTGGTAAACCAACCCCCAAACTCTTCTCCGCTAGCCTTTGTGCACTGCTCTGCAAGTTATAAAGTATTCTTTTAAGTCACCACTTTGGAAAACTCCATATGGTTAAAGACTTAAACAATTGTGCCCGACTGGACCTAAAGAATGGGTAAGAAAGAATATACAGAATGCTCACTAGATATTTTTTAAAGACATGGAGTGCACAGTTTGGGAATGCAAAGCACATCCGAAGTAGCACTTCTAAGTCTTCAGTGACTATCGGGAGAGGATTTGATCTATGTCAGTCCCAAGGGCAGCTGGTGACTCACCCTGGCTGGTGACTCAGAACACCCTGTGACCACTTGCCCCCGTTCCTTCTAGTGTGAGAGGAAAGCACCTGGCTAGCCTGGCTGTGTGTGTGTGTGTGTGTGTGTGTGTGTGTGTGTGTGTGTGTTGTTGTTGTTGTTGTTATGCTAGTACTTTTTCTTTCCAGGCTCATGCTCTACCACTCGGGCCATACCTTTACTTCCAGCTTTTTGCTAGTTAATGGGAGATAATAGTCCCATCGCCTTTCCTGCTGGGGCTGACTCTGAATCACAATCCTCAGACCTCAGCCTCCTGAGTAGCTAGAATTACAGGTGTGAGGCACTAGCCCCTGGCCTTGGGACTGCCTGGCTTTACATCTACCCTCGGCGCTCCAATAGCCCAGGCCCTTTCTATGGCGGAGGGCAGGGGTTGTCCAGAGCTCAAAATAGGAGCCCCAGCAGCAGCAACCCCAGAAAAGTGAGGGTAAGAGGGAGAGACAATTCCTGCCATGCTCCCAGGCCCATACCTGGCATGTTCCAGTGGGCACATCTTGGGTTTAGAACAATGCCTCATGGTTGCCAGTAGCAACCCCTCAGAAGGCATATTTTGAATGCAACTGAGTCAGCAGCGTTATCATCCCATAACTTAAGACGAGTCTTTTCTACTTCCCTGTAAGCTACTGTCATTAGTATCAAATGACTCCACACACACATCTCAACTCAGATGTCAGGAGCCGGGCGACACTGCAAGGAAGCTCAACAATAAGTTCTGGGTCTGTCTCCCTGCCTCTCAGCAAGCATGGCTTCCTCCCACAAATGCCATCCCCACCAGCCAGCCAGATCATTCCAGTGCTGCACACAGGGTGAAGGACTCACCTTTCTTTCCCTTCACAAGGTCGGGGTCCACCAGTACCACACCATCTAAAGCAAAAGGACAGAGCCATGAGGCTGAGACCAAGGGACAAAACATCTCACAAAACTGCATTCTGCCTTATCTGCTAGTTTGGCCATTCTGTTTTGTTCTGTGATAGTCTTGTTATATAGCCCAGGGTGACCTCAGATTCTAGATCCTCTTCTCTCAGCCGCTGAGATAGGATTGGATTACAAACTATAGCACCAAGCCCATTTACAATATGGTTTCCTTCCCTTCCTCTCTCCTTCCCTCGTTCCCTCCCTCCTTCCCTCCCTTTCCTTCTTGGGGTTTTATTTATTTATTTTTTGGGCGGTCTGGTCATGGGGCCTGAACTCTGGGCCTGGGCGCTGTCCCTCAGCTCTTCAGCTCAAGGCTAGCGCTCCACCACTTGAGCCACAGTGCCATTCCGGCTTTTTTTTTTTGCTTATGTGGTGCTGAGGAATCGAACCCAGGGCCTCATGCATGCAAGGCAAGTGCTCTACCACTGAGCCACCTTCCCAGCCCATGGTCTTGGGGTTTTTAATTCAGTGATTAGGTACTGTTTCTGAGCATTTCTGCTCAAGGTTAGCACTCTACCACTTGAGCCACAGTTCTACTTCAGGCTTTTTGCTGGTTAACTGGAGATAATAGTATCTTGGAGATTCCTGCCTGAGCCTTGATCCTCATATCTGAGCCTTCTGAGTAGCTAAGATTACAGGCATGGCCACCAGCACCCAGCTACTTGAATGTTCCTTCAAAAATCCTTCAATACATACTGATTAGTTGGTTAACTTCTTTCCTTACTCAACTTTTTTTTTTTTTTTTTTGGGTCCAGTCGGGGGCCTGAACTCTGGGCCTGGGCGCTGTCTCAGCTCTTCAGCTCAAGGCCAGCGTTCCACCACTTGAGCCACAGTGCCATTCCGGCTTTTTTCTTTTTGCTTATGTGGTGCTGAAGAACCGAACCCAGGGCCTCAGGCATGCAAGGCAAGCGCTCTACCACTGAGCCAACTTCCCAGCCCCCTTACTCAACTTTTTTATTTTTCAGTTGTAGGGCTTGAACTCATGGCCTGGATACTGTCCTTGAGCTTTTTTGCTCAAGGCTAGCACTCTACCACTTTGAGCCACAGTGCCACATTTGGTTTTCTGGAAGCTGTTAGCCAACCCCTTCTCTGAGGGTATTTAGGGTGAATTTTTCCATTATAATTAATATTGTGATGAATGTTCTTAGATATAAATCTTTATAACTCTCCATGATTAAAAAATCTATGATTTAGTTTTTGACAACATGTTAGCAAGTCATTTGCTAGCTTTTGACAACTTTCCAGAAAGGATTTTTTTTTTTTTTGGTGTTGTTTGGTTTTTGCAGTGCTTCGATAAAACCAGAGCTAGGCATGTGCAAGGCAAGCGCTCTGCAGAGCCTCACCCTGGCTCCCAGAAAGCACTTTGCCAAGGGACATTTTCTTACACTTTTTCTCTTTAAATGTGTGTGTGTGTGTGTGTGTGTGTGCGCGCGCGCGCGCGCGCGCGCACGCGCGCATGAGCTATCTTATCACCATAAAAGTCTCCCTTGGGGAGCCAGGCACTGATGGTTTATGTCTATAATCCTAGCTACTCAGGAGACTGAGATCTGAGAATCACAGTTCAAACCACTCTAGGCAGGAAAGTCCATGAGACACTTATCTCCAAAAAAAGCCAGAAATGGACCCATGGCTCAAGTAGTAGAGTGCTAGCCTTGATCAAAAAACCTCAGGGACAACGCCCAGGTCCTGAGTTCAAACCCCAAGACCAGCAAAAAAATTAAATTAAGAATTGGATCTCAGATTCAACTTACCCACAGGTTCTACTTGGCTGATATGGTCTATGTAATCTCTTTTCCCCAGGTAGATGGTCACCTGTGGAAAGAATGGATGTACATTCTACATGACTAAACTGGATGGTAAAGGCATTGGTTAAAAAAAAGTAACAGCCAGGGGTGGGAAGGTGGCTCAGTGGTAGTGTTTGTTTCTCATGCGTGAAGCCCTGGGTTTGATTCCTCAGTACCACATACACAGAGAAAAGCAGGAAGTGGCACTGTGGCTCAAGTGGTAAGGTGCTAGCCTTGAACAAAAAGAAGCTCAAGGACAGTGCCCGGGCACTGACCAAAAAAAAAAAAAAAAAAAAGCAACAGCCATCAAATCTTTACATCCTTTCCCATAGTTTGCGTTCATTTGCTTGCTTTGTTTTGTGTGCTAGAGGTTAAACCAGGGCTTTACGGTGTGCACGCAAGGCAGTCTACCCTTCCATTCTGTCCCCACAGCCCTTCTCATTTGTCTTGAAACAGATGTCACCTGCTCTGCAGCTCCTTAGTCATTTCCTTCTCTCCCAGTTATGGGCAAAGATGAGAAATTTCAGACTTAATGTGCTTTGACCTCAGTCTCACAGCAGCTTCAAAGAAATCCTCCTGTCTACCCCACCCCTACTTTCCCCCCAAGAAGCCCGGGTCTTATATGAATCAGGACAACTTGCTAAGTTAATTGACACTTTAGGATTAAGTTGCATCTAATGGGCCTCCCACCATCTGTTAGCATTGGAAGCTCTTTTCCTAGCTGTGGGGTGAAAAGTTCCTTCTGCTCATTTCAGAGAATTTTGCATTAAGCAAAGAGTTCAGGAGTAGTCACTGAAATCTCACTGGCTAAGCTGGGCATGGATGAACCTGAACCCATGCCCTGGGGCAGGAGGGGGCAAAGCTGGATGGGAAGGAACAACCAGGTCTTGACTTGGCTATCATCCGGCCTGCCCCATGCCCCTGGTAGCCAAGATCTCTTCACCTATTGGAGGGGCTGGGCTGCTTCCCCACTGCTTCAACCACAGACTGCAAGCGCCTAGAGGTGAGAATCCAGTCTCCCATGACCTTTTCAACCTTCAGTGTCCAGGAGAGTGTCTGGATCAAAGGGATTCAGTCTGTGCTTGCCAGGAAAAGTAGGCGCCTTCCTTCCTTTCTTCCTTCCTTCCTTCCTTCCTTCCCTTCTTTTGTCTGTTTTGGTGCCAGTCCTAAGGCTTGAACTCAGGGTCTGGGTGCTGTCTCTGAGCTTTTATTTATGCTCAAGGCTAGTGCTCTATCACTTGAGGCACAGCTCCACTTCTAGCTTTATGATAGTTACATGGAGATAAGAGTCTCGCAAGCTTTCCTGCCTGGGCTGGTTCCAACCGCGATCGTACGATCTCAGCCTCCTGAGTAGCTAGGATTACAGGCATGAGCCACCAGTGCCCAGCTAGAAGCGCTTCCTTCTAAAGAGACCGAGGCAGAGAGTACAGCAGTACTCAAGGCCCAGAGCAAAGATGGTGTCTCTGGAATTGCCTATGGCTTCTTCTACAGTGCATGGCCACCGGATGGGGATGCAGACTGATGGGTCTTTAAGAGTCTGAGCCTACAGCATCTAGGAAGATATGGAAGCATTATAAACAGGAGGCAATGAAAGACCTAAGCTTAGCTCATCCAGTGCTGCATAAAGGACTCCACTTCAGCTCACCTTCACTATGACTCCGAGATAGGCACTGACCCCTTTTTACAAGGGAGAACAAGACTTAGATCATCTTAGCAGTAGAGTGGAGGTAGGTTGACCAGAGGAAGTCCAATAGGCAGCCTCTTTGTGGTTAAGAGGAGAGAGAAGTGAAGAGAGGCAGGGGAAGGGAAGAGAAGAAGGCAGATGGACATTGGGAATGTTTGTTTCCTCTCCAGCCCTGGCTGTGAGGGACAGGGGTGTGGCTGAGGAGGTGAAGGAGGTCTGACTTGTTTTTACCCTGACAAAGACCTCACAAAGAACTGAACAGCTCAAGCTGGCAGGGGTTGATGGCTGAGGCTCCCAAGCTATGAAACCCACAGATCAAACAGTGGTGACCCCTGGAGGAAAAACACCTCTTCCATTGTACTCTAAGAAATAGGCAGATAGAGAGGCAGGTGACTTGATGTGAGATTGTAAGGGCTTGCTGGGCACCCACCCCACATGCACCCCTTCTACCTGAATAAGTCACGGTGATCATACCAAGTACACTCTCCTCCAGAGATGTGTTAGGAAAGGTAGGGCGAGCCCAGCACTGGTGGCTAGCACAAGGTATTGAGTCTTGATTAGTCTGACCCAATTCTGAACTAGCTCTGGTTTATGGCTGGCTCAGTTTGGGGGCTTTTAAGAATGGTTTTCTAGTCCTTAAAAGACATCCTAGAAACACAAAGAAGAAACACAAAGAAGAAACACAAAGGCTCTGATCATATAAAATAATATATATCAAATGGGCAAATGGTTAAGTAGAAAACTCTGTGAGGGCTTGGAATGTGGCTTAGTGGTAGAGTGCTTGCCTCGCATGCATGTAGCCCTGGGTTCCATTTCTCAGTACCATATAAACAGAAAAAGCCAGAAGTGGTGCTGTGACTCAAGTGGTAGAATGCTAGCCTTGAGCAAAAGAAGCTCAGGGACAGTACCCAAGCCCTGAGTTCAAGCCCCAGGACTGGCAAAAAAGAAAGAAAAAGAAAACTCTTGTGATTATGATTTTTAAAGATTTAATGAATTTGCAATTTCAGAAAAATCTAACACATATTGAGAAGAACTCCAGGAAATGGAAGCAAGAGGTTTTTTGTTTTTGTTTTCTTTGGTTTTTGTTTTGCTTGTTCATTTATCTGTCTTTGGGAGGGTATGGGACAAATAGTGAACAAATGCAACAGTGGTATCCACAAGACATTGTGGAAAATTATACAACTTGTGGGTGGGGACAGGAGGGAAAGAGTGAGGAAAGGAGTGACACTGTCCCAAAACAAAGAAGATTTACCTGACATATAACTGCAACCTCTCTGTACATCACCTTTTTTTTTTTGTCGGTTGTGGGGCTTGAACTCTGGGCCTGGGCGCTGTCCCTCAGCTCTTCAGCTCAAGGCGAGCGCTCTACCACTTGAGCTACAGCGCCACTTCCGGTTTTCTAGTGGCTTATTGGAGATAGGAGTCTCATGGTCTTTCCTGCCCGGGCTGGCTTTGAACCGCGATTCTCAGATCTCAGCCTCCTGAGTAGCTAGGATTACAAGTGTGAGCCACTGGCACCCGGCTGTACATCACCTTTATACCAATAAAAAAACGTTTAGAGCGAGATCCTAGAAAGCCACAGTCTCTTCCTTCTGCATGCCCTCAAGCGAGACACCGGGAGCTGGGGCAACTCCCTTGCCACCAGCCTAGGGAGGAAGAAATCCCAGAAGGCAGAGTGGAGACCACAGAGGAACAGCGGAAGAGCACATCTCTCTGTCCTGGAGTGCACAGCGTGTGCTGTTCATAATATTTGATATCGATCACTGGTGACTACAGGTATAGAAAAAAAACAAATTTTTTTTTTAATTGAAAGAATATCTAGTTAGGGATCAACAGGGGGGAGGGTGGATCATAGAAAACCCCAACCATTTCTGTCCTCTTCTATAAGAAGATGGGTGGGTTGAAGTAGGGTGGACAGACACAGGTGGGAGAGGAATTTGGCAGATGGCAGGTTGACGTGCATCCAGAACAAAGACTTGGAGTACTTGAAAACGGTGATACTTCACAGCTAGGTAGAGAGACTGAAAAGAATGTGTGAAGCTCGGACCTGGTGGATGGCACCAGAATGGTTAGAGAATTTCTGTGGGCCCAGCCGGGCTTCTGAAATCAGCATGAGGCTAGATCCACACTGACGAGTGTCATAGTGCTGGACACTGGGGAGGACAGGACAGTGGCCAGATGGATACTGCAAACTGACATGTGCTATTAATGTAAAATACAACCTATTTCCACAGCTTAGAAGATGGGATGTGAAGTATGTCCTGAATGGAAGTGGAGGTGTGGCTCAAGTGGTAAAATACCAGCCTTGAGCAAAGAAAACAAAAAGGCTAAGAAAAAGTGCAAGGCCCTGAGTTCAAGCCCCAGTAGTGGCACAGAAATGAAATGAAATGTCATCAATTACTTTTATAATGCTCACCTATTGAAAGATTAATTTTATACTGGGTTACATAAAATACAGCTTTAGTATTACCTGTTTATCCTTCTTGTCTGAGACACGGTTTTGAACTCAACATCTGATGTTTTCACTCACTGGCTAGTGTTCTACTGCTTCCAACCCCTATTCTTACTTTTTTGCTGGTCCTGGGGCTTGAACTCAGGGCTTGGGTGCTATCCCTGGGCCTCTCTGTGCTCAAGGCTAGAGCCCTACCACTTTAGCCACAGCACCGCTTCCAGCTTTTTTTAGTTGATTGGAGATAGGAGTCTCATGGGGACTTTTCTGCTCAGACTGGCTTCAAACTGCAATCCTCAGATCTCAGCCTCCTGAGTAGTTAGGAGTACAGGCATGAACCTGGCTCTAGTCTTATTTTTTTTTTAATAGTGCTAGTAGAAAAGTTAACCTAATATACTGCTTTCAGGGGCTGGGAAGGTGGCTCAGTGGTAGAATGCATGCTTTGCATGCATGGGTTCGATTCTTCAACACCACATAAGCAGAAAAGGCCAGAAGTGGTGCTCTGGCTCAAGTTGTAGAGCACTAGCCTTGAGCTGAAGAGCTGAGGAAGAGTGCTCAGGCCCAGAGTTCAGGCCCCAAGACTGACAAAAATCTCTCTCCCTACTGCTTGCATTGAATGATGCTGAGCTAGATCACTGACCCATAGAAGCCTTCAAATGGAGTCAGGAGGCTTCATCCACAGACTGGAGAAGGGACCTCCATCAGGTCTCCATTAGTTTTCCCATGCCAGCAAGTTCACAGCCACATCTGGCCCATCCAAAAGGCTTCCCAACGGGCATCATCCCTGCCCAGTATGTAGGCCACAGTGGAGAATGGTAGACACATTCCCTTGTCCAGTGATCCTGAAGATCCATCTGAGGTCTGATATCTTGTATGTTGGGGCAGGTGCACAGAAAGAGAAGTGTCACATCCATCCAGTCCCTAGGCTTTCCCCAGGCTGGTGACATGACTGACAAAGGGCCAAATAAGCCACAGGTATTAAAAAGACAGTCATGGGTTCAAGGATGGAAAGGAAAAGAAATAAAGTTAGGTTGTGAGTATAGCTCCCTAGAGATCAGAAGACTGAAGGTGCAGGATCAAAGTCTGGCTGAGGTTGAAGAGAAGGTGTGTGTGTCTGCAGTTCACTCCTTCCTTCTTGTCCCATGCAGAGATTGATACGAAACGAAACCTAGAACTTCCCCAGACCTCACAGTGCTCTGATATTGATCCTATCTACACTTTAATAAGCCCAATGTGTTGATTTTACAATGATTCCCATCAAGTCACTCACTTTTGTGTCACTTACCGATTTGTCCCTAGAGACCTTCTTGAAGATGACATGAGACTTACTGGTCTTTATATTGGCTGCCATGGTGTCTGTTCCTCGGGATGTATGTCAGGTGTCAGAGGACTAGAAGAAAAGATTCAATGATCCCAAAGCCAAGAACATTTGAATGTAAAATCTTGTAAGATGTCATATGTTCACTGGACATTTCTTCAACCTACTCCAATGCTCATGCCAATAATGGATGCCATTTTTTTTTTTTTTTGGTCATGGGGCTTGAACTCTGAGTCTGGGTGCTGTCCCTCAGCTTTTCAGTTCAAGGTGAGCAATCTACCAATTGAGCCACAATGCCACTTCCAGTTTTCTAAAGTAGTTAACTGGAGATAAGAGTCTCACAGACTTTCCTGCCTGGGCTGGCTTTGAATCATGATCCTCAGATCTTAGTCTCCTGAGTAGCTAGTATTATAGGCGTGAGCCACCAGCACCTGGCTAGATAATTTTTTAAAGTGTTTTATTTTTCTCAGTAAACTTAAACGATTCTTAGTAAACTTCACCAGGAAGTCCAACTAGATTTCAATACTTTTTTTTTTTTTGAGGCTTTGGACTTTAACTCTGCTTTTTTCATTCATGCTGGTGTTCTATCACTTGAGCCATTGCTACCAGCCTGGCATTTTGCTTGTTAATTAGATGTAGTCTTGTGAACTTTTCTGCCTAGGCTGGCTTTGAACGGTAATCCTTCTATCTGGACTTTCTAAGTAACTAGGATTACAGGTGTGAGACACTGTCTCCCAGCTCAGTGAAAGATTTTTTTTTTTTTTTTTTTGGGTTGGTTGTAGGGTTTGAATTTAGGGTCTAGGCACTGTCTCTGAGCAATTTTTACTCAAGGCTAGCACTCTACTAATTTGAGCCACAGCTCCACTTCCAGTTTTTGAGTGGTTAACTAGAGATAAGCATCTTGTGGGGACTTTTCTGCCTGAGCTGGCTTTGAACTACAACCATTAGATCTCAGCCTCCTTCCTGAGTAGCTAGGATTGCAGGCGTGAGCCACCAGTGCCTAGCAAGGTTCTACTTTTCTGATTAAACTTTGGGAAGTATGACATATTTATTCAGTTGAAATCTGAAATTCTAACACAGGTGGCTCACGTCTATAATTCTGCTTTTTTTTTTTTTGGGTCCGGTCGTGGGGCCTGAACTCTGGGCCTGGGCACTGTCCCTCAGCTCTTCAGCTCAAGGCTAGTGCTCTACCACTTGAGCCACAGCGCCACTTCCGGCTTTTTTCTTTTTGCTTATGTGGTGCTGCGGAATCGAACCCAGGGCTTCATGAATGCAAGGCAAGCACTCTACCACTGAGCCACCTTCCCAGCCCACGTCTATAATTCTGTATACTCAGGAAGCTGAGATCTGAGAATTGGCATTTGAAGTTAGCCTGTGCAGGAAAGTCTGTGAGACTCTTACCGCCAGTTAATGACCACAAAGTCAGAAGGGAGCTGTGGCTTAAGTGGTAGAGTGCTAGCCTTGAGTTTTAAAAAAAGCTCAGGTACGTAGGTACCCAGGCACTAAGATCAAGCCCCATGACTAGCTCCAAAAATAAAATTCAAAGCCGGGCACCGGTGGCTCACGCCTGTAATTCTAGCTACTCAGGAGGCTGAGATCTGAGGATTGCGGTTCAAAGCAATCCCAAGCAGGAAAGTCCGTGAAACTCTTATCTTCAATAAACTGCCAGAAAACCAGAAGTAGCGCTATAGCTCAACTGGTAGAGTGCTAGCCTTGAGCTGAAGAGCTGAGGAACAGTGCCCAGACCCAGAGTTCAAGCCCCACAACTGACCAAAAAAAAAACCACCAAACTATTCTATTATAGCCATGTCCCTTTTTTTTTATTTTTTTTTTAAATGTAGCCCGTCAGGCTGGCTAACCATGAACTCATGATTCTCCTGCCTCGGCCTCCCCAGTGTGTTTACAGGTGTGCCAACCCAAATTGTCATAAGTCTTACAACAAACAGAAAATGTTCCTGCACCCCACAATACAGTCACTTCACAAATGCACCTGCAATAAAAATCCTCTCTTTGCTGGGTGCCAATGACTCACGCCTATAATCCTAGCCACTCAGGAGACTGAGATCTGAGGATCATGGTTTGAAGCTAGCCCAGGTAGGAAAGTGAGACTCATTATTCTTTTTGTCAGTTGTGGGGCTTGAACTCTGGGCTTGGGTGCTGTCCTTCAGCATTCCAGCTCAAGGCTAGTGCTCCAGCACTTGAGTCACAGCCACTTCCAGTTTTGGTGGTTTATTGGAGACAAGAGTCTCATGGACTTTCCTGCTTGGGCTAGCTTTGAACCGCAATCCTCAGATCTCAGCCTCCTGAGTAGCTATGATTACAGGTGTGAGCCACCAGCGCCCAGCAGAAAGTGAGATTCATCTCCAATTAACCACCAAAAGTCAGAAGTGGAGCTGTGGCTCAAGTGGTAGAGCATCTGAGAAAAAAAAAATTAGGGGCACCATCTGGGCCCTAATTGGGATGTGCACACATACATAGACACACACTCCTTTCTCTTTCAGCATTATTCATAAGCTCAATTCATACTTAGTGGTGTTCCTTTTCCTGCAGCCTCTGTTCCCTCTCCCCAGTGGGACAATTAAAAGCCTCCCAACATCCTTGCTGTTCCCAGTGCCTGCCCTGGGTTTCTAACATGGCTTGGGTTGCAGTGGCCACATACCTGTGATTTGTCACCCACCAGAAGGGACGGCCTCGACAATCAGGACAGAGTCCCAATCCTGTAGATGGCTGAGCAGGCAGCCCTAGACCAGAGTCAGTTGGTGCCACTCTACCAGAGGACCCTGCCAGGCACAGGTGAGACCCAAAGCTGGAGTGAGGATGCCCAGAACCTGGGTCTTAGGAACTAAAAGCCAACCCCTCGGAAGAGGATGAGACAGGATTAGTGGGTGGGAGGACTGGCAGTTTCAGCAGTTCTGCGCATTAACAGGGTCCAGTCTCCTCTCACAGCGGCACAAGCCGTCCAGCTCATCTGGGAAAGGTGGTGGGAGGAACAGAGCACAGAAAGCTTTTTAGCCTAAACCTCTTTGGGTTCTGGAAATAGACTGCTCATCCCTTCCCTCCTCCAGATCATCAAGACAGGGGATTTTCAAGTGCTGCAAGAGGCTTGATTAAACTCAGCTGCAACTGTGTAAACAAGAAGTCAGGGGAAGGTCAGGCCTCAGATGAACTTGGTATTACGCAAGCTAAGCTGCACCCCTCCCTCAGGTGCAGTCCAGGTCTTGTGGATTACATCCTATTATCATCCCAGCTCCACATCTGCCCACGTGGGCCCAGCGAGGCCTTCAATTGCCACGGCTACCTGGGCTGTCAAGGAACAGGTGACCGCACACACACCCCCTCTACCTTCCAGCCCCTCCAACCCATCCATTCCACTTTTCTAGCCAGGCCCTGACACATTGACACAAATAACCAAGGGCTCCTGGTTGCCATAGGCATTTGGAAGACTAGCCCACAGATCCCCTCGCCTGAGGGAGAGTCCACCAAACCAAACCCTTCCTAAATCCCCACCTCACCATCTTCGTAAAGCCAGACAAATGAGGCTTCATCCTGACAGCAAGGATGCTCGCTCAGCAAAACAAAATTTCCCTCAAGGGGTGCAGCCGCAGTGCCCAAGGGAAGCTGTCCTTAAGTGAACTTCAGGGGAATCCTCTAAGGCCTGTGCACCGTGTGCCATTAATATAACAGGATGCAGTGGGAATGGACAGGCACAGTTGGGAAACTGTTCCGTCACCACATGTCACTCAAAAGCTGCCTGCCTCTCACCTCAAACCAACCACACATGGTACTTCACCTAGTTCCTCGGGATCTTGCAGCTCATTTGCTCAGACATTGCTTCCACAATGTAGTACATATTCTTTGTTTTTTGGGTAGTTTTTTTTTGGGGGGGGTCAGTTGTAGGGCATGAACTCAGGGCCTGGGTGCTGTCCCTGAGCTCTTTTTACTCAAGACGAGTGCTCTATCACTTTGAACCACAGCTTCACTTCCAGTACTCTGGTGGTCAACTGGAGAGGAGTCTCCTGGACTTCCCTGCCCAAGCTGGCCTTGAACTAAGGATCTGCAGATCTCAGCCTCCTGAGTAGCTAGGCTTACAGGTGTGTGCCCGGCTGTGATGCTGATGCATATTTTTTTTTCTTTTTTTTGGGGGGGTCCGGTTGTGGGGCCTGAACTCTGGGCCTGGGCGCTGTCCCTCAGCTCTTCAGCTCAAGCTAGCGCTCTACCACTTGAGCCACAGCGCCACTTCCGGCTTTTTTCTTATGTGGTGCTGAGGAATCGAACCCAGGGCCTCATGCATGCAAGGCAAGCGCTCTACCACTGAGCCACCTTCCCAGCCCCTTTTTTTTTTTTTTTTTGGTCAGTTGTGGGCATGAACTCTGGGCCTGGGCGCTGTCCCTCAGCTCTTCAACTCAAGGTTAGCCCTCTACCACTTGAGCCACAGCGCCACTTCAGGCTTTTTCTGCTTATGTGGTGCTGAGGAATTGAACCCAGGGCCTCATGCATGCAAGGCAAGCGCTCTACCACTGAGCCACCTTCCCAGTCCATGCTGATGCATATCCTTGCTCCACTCTCTTTACATGTTTCACTTCAAGAAACCTCTGCTTTTCTTATTCAGCTATATTTCGCTCAGTTCTTTGAGACACCAAGAACCATGGATGGCACCTGAGCAAGGCCACCATCCAAACCACACTACTGCTCTTGGGTGTAGCAACACTTCAAGCACACACAAGTCCCACCTGCTTTCAGTCACTGCCTGTGACCCCAGAACTCTCTCCACTTCCCACTCTACTCAGCCAGTCGGAGGCTGACCAAGAATCACCTCTAGGTCCAAGCTAGACACAGTGACCTCTCTCTCACTTCTACTTGGTCTCTTGTCCATTGACTAAAAACTCCATGAGGTGGAGCCCTGGGGACATTATTCCTCTCACTTTCTAGGGGAGAAGTTATGTGCTCTCACAAACACTCATGGAATGAATGGATAGGGTACCGTGGCCACTAACCTACTTCTGTTGTGGTCTTATCTGCAATCAGAATAAAGCAATATAACCGGAAGGCTGGTTGTGGTCGAGGTGTTAGCACCTATCCAAACACCAATGACTATAGCTAGGTGCTGGTGATCCAAGCCTGTAATTCACTACTCAGGAGGCTGAGATCTGAGGATAGCAATTCAAAGCCAGCCCGGGCAGGGCAGGAAAGTCTGTGAGACTCTACCTCCAACAAACCACCAGAAAACTGGGAAGTGGTGCTGTGGCTCAAGTGGTAGAGCGCTAGCTGCTAGTCTTGAGCTGAGGAGCTCAGAGTCAGGGCCCAGCCCACAGTTCAAGCTCCACGAGGTGGGGAGGGGGTGGAAGAACCCAGAGACTGCTATCTTGCTCTGGATGTCTGCCAGATTCTGCATGATCAGACCCATTACTTATGTATGACCTTATTTCTTATTGCTCTCTTCCTTACCCATTTTGTTCAAGTCCACTGGCCTCTTTAAGCTTAACCCAGGGCCTTTCCACTTGCTGTTTCCTCTACATGAGGGGCTGGGAAGGTGGCTCAGTGGTAGAGTGCTTGCCTTGCATGCATGAGGCCCTGGGTTTGATTCCTCAGCACCACATAAGCAGAAAAAGCCGGAAGTGGCGCTGTGGCGCTCAAATGGTAGAGGGCTAACCTTGACCTGAAGAGAGCTGAGGGACAGTGCCCAGACCCAGTTTAGGCCCCATGACTGGCAAAAAAAAAAAAAAAAAAAAATAGGCACATGATCAACTCATTAAACATTTCTTCCCTGTATTCTTCTATTGTATTTGTCATCTAACAGAGTTTATTGCCTATCTCTTGTACCTTTCTGGAATGTAGGTTCCAGGAATGTGATGTTTTGGCTGTTTTGTACCTGTCATCCCTGCAAAACAAAGACTTCAATATACTCAAGGTGAGTTGGTCATTGGATCACAACAGTATATCAACAGGTGATTTTTAGTTTTACCTAAAATTAATGCTTATTTCTAAGAAAAAGGCTTTTTAATTCTATACTTACTTGAGACATAGTCCAGGCTGGCCTTGAATTCATGATTCTCCTATCTTAGCATCTAAGGTGTCACAGTTATATACTACCAGGCCCAGTCACTTTTTGTTTTTGTGTGCTGATTCAGAGCTTTGAACTCAGGGTGTGGGCACTGCCCGTGAGTTTACTATGATAGGCTACAGCTCTCCATCCAGCCAAAACTTAACACAAGTACTGAGCCATTCCAAGCATTTGTGACCCATTATGTTCTTAAATTCTTTTTTTGTTGTTGTTGGTCATAGGGCTTGAACTTTGGGCCTGGACACTGGCTCTGAGCTCTTCAGCTCAAGGGGAGCACTCTACCACCTGAGCCACAGCACTACTTCGGGCTTTATGGTGTTTAATTGGAGATAACAGGAACTTTTCTTCCCAGGCTGGCTTTGAACCGTGATCCTCAGATCTCAGCATCCTGAGTAGCTAGGATTACAGGAGTGAGCCATTGGCACCCAGCTTCTTGAATTGTTTTTAGGCAGAACAGAGGTTTGAACTCAGAGACTCATACTTGCTAGGCAGGCACTTTACAACTTGAGGCATACACCCTTCAGGTCACTCTTATCCGGTCCTGGACACCTCAGGTAGAGCAATTCCCTACTCTCTACAGCCTGCTCAAACTATCCCTACTAGCTCATCCTAACCTGGGCACCTGGCCTGCCGACTTCTTCCCGTGTCAACTCTAAGAAATTCTTTTCACTCCCCTAACAAATCCTAGTGCCACTCCAGCTGCTCTGCGTGACAGGCCATGCCCCTCTAGGAAACTGGGTGACAAGCTGCCTTTATAACAGGATTTCACCTCCTGATCCTTTGTGTCATACATAAAAAACAGTAAACTTAAAACACAATTATTATTCACTGGTGTTAAAACCAGTAGGTGACAGGTTGATGAGGGAGCGGTGGTCCCCCTAGTACCCAGTAGTCCACAGGATCACCCAGTGAGCACAAGGTACACTACAGAGCCAATGGAGAACCTTGGAATGGTAAAATGCATCAGTTCCGTGTTCTTCCTGAAGTAACCTGAATTCACCCACTTCTTGCTCCAGAAAACGGAGGAACAAAGATCAGAACCACCTGGTGTCTTGCCTAAGTCAATTCACTGAAAAGGAACACTTAGGAGACTCAACATCTGGACATACCAGGTGGTTCCAGACTGGATATTCATTGGACAAATAGAGTGCAAAGGCTACTACTTCCTTTTGGGAAAGTATGGATGTGGTTAGAGGAAAATTACTGAAATAGAATGGTAGATACTGAACTACAAAGGTTGTACATAGCCGTATACCTGGAAAGTATTAGGTAGTTATGCCTTTATTTTTTGCCAGTTTGGTACTTGAACTGAGGCCTGGGCGCCGTCTTTAGCCTTTTTGCTCAAGTTAGGGCTTTACCATGTCTCACTGCTCTGCTTTCATTGTTTTTGGTCCGTCATGGGGCCTGAACTCTGGGCCTGGGCGCTGTCCCTCAGGTCTTCAGCTCAAGGCGAGCGCTCTACCACTTGAGCTACAGCGCCACTTCTGATTTTCTTGTGGTTTATTGGAGATAAGAGTCTCATGGACTTTCCTGCCTGGGCTGGCTTTGAACTGAGATCCTCAGATCTCAGCCTCCTGAGTAGCTAGGATTACAGGCGTGAGCCACCGGCGCCCAGCTTCCAGTTTTTGGTTAATTGGACATTATATTCTCATGGATCACTTTCCTGCCTGAGCTTGCTCCCAACTGTGACCCTTATTTCCCAGCCTCTTGAATAGCTAGGATTACAGTGAGCCACAGCTACCTGTGTGGTATCAATAGACTTTTAACACACTGTTTTGTGATGATCACATTTTTTCTTAAGGTCATTACAACAGAAACATTAAGGTGAGGAGCCGGAGGCAGGACTGGGAGTCCCAGGTAAGCCAGAGACAGTACATAACAAAGCTGACTCAAAATCACTAAAAATGTTTGCTGCTGGGCACCAATGGCTCATGCCCATAATCTCAGCTACTTTGGAGGCTAAGAGCTGAGGAATGTGATTTGAAGCTAGCTGAGGCAGGAAATTCCGTGAAACTCTTATCTCAAATCAACCCACCCTAACTGCCAAAAGCTGGAAGTGGAGCTGTAGCTTAAGTGGTAGAATACTAGCTAAGGGACAGAGGCCAGGCACTGTCCCTGGAGTTCAAACCCCAGGCACAAATTACACAACTGAATGGGTCATTCCTTTCCTTATAAGCATGCTTGCCTCAGATACCAGAGCACAATGGGATCACATCTCAAGCCATGAGCCCACGCTGTATGGCTATTTCTTCCAGGTGGTGATGGAGTTAGGCTCAGGCCTTAACTGATGTAGTAGAGGCCCAAAGGGGCCACAGTGGCTCATATAAACCAAGGGCTAATGTCTCTGTGGGGCGCAGGGGTGACAGACACACCACAGCTAACAAAGCTCTGAAGAACTTCCCCAGGGATAGCCAATATTATACAGGATGGAAGACTGGAATGCTGGTATTCCCAGGGCATGATCTCTTATGCTAGGAGAGAACTATCCATTATTCAGAAAGACTGAATACCAGAAAAACTAGTCCCTTCCTTTTTTTTTAATTTTTAAAATCAGTCAAGGGGCTTGAACTCTGGGCCTGGGCCCTGTCCCTCAGCTCTTTAGCTCAAGGCTCTACATGAGCCACAGTGCCACTTCTGGTTTTCTGAGTAGTTTATTGGAGAGAAGAGACTCACGGACTTCTGCACAATCCTCAGATCTCAGCTTCCTGAGTAGCTAGGATTACAGGCGTGAGCCACTGGCGCCTGGCAGTTCCTTCGCTCTTATGGATAAAAACAGAAATAACAAAGACACAGGAATTTGAAAAGTATATAACAAGATTTTTTTAATTTATAAGTTCTGTTGGGCCACATAATTAAATAAATAAAAGATGTGCCATGGCCTTTGAGTTCCAATCCCCTTTGCACACAAGGTATCTGGACAGCAAACGAGAAAGTGAGGAGCATGCAGAGAAGAGGAAGGATGGGGACAACGCCCCAGGCAGAGGAAAGGCTGCTTCAACCTCACCTCTCATCCCACTAAAGCCCTCAGGCCCCCGTCTGTCCAGAGGCCAAGTGTGGAAGAAAAAAATAAAGTGCAAATTAAAATATGAAACATCATAGTTTTTCAGACAGGTAAAATGATTAACTTTTTCCTCCAGCCTTCATCTCACTTCTTGCATCAAACATGGGGTCACTGAACACGGGCCTGGCAGAGAGCAGTGGCCAGAATCCCCACTGGCAGCCCATCTCCAATCCTGTTGAAGCACAAGTGTACAGTGGTACAAGCCATATTACATAACTCAACTGGGAAAGGCTGGCAACTGTCTTCTCAGAAAAATTTAAACCAAACAGATCTATTTCTTGCCCAAGAAACAGATATACGGAAGTGCTGGAAGAAAAGCCAGAAACTCTTAGACAAGCTTCAGCAGTAGTAAAACAGGATTGGATTGCAGGTGGTCCTGACTGCAATGTCAGCGCCTCTAGCATGAGAACAGGCTTGTATTTGGCATCTCCACTAAACCAATGCTTACAGCAAGTCCACTGGCAGAGGATCCCAAGCAAGGGGCTGTGTTGTGCAACAGTCCAGACCCCCCTTTGGAAGGATGGGAGCAGCACAGGGGAACCAACACCCTACTGTGGTGGGGGTGTGACTGGCAGTGGGGGGATCCAGCAGGGGGCCCTGTGCTCCCCAATGAGGTATGGAAGATCAAAGCTAGTAGTGTTTCCACACGGATCAAATTGAATCGAAGAACCTGAACCTCTGCCCAGTGAGGCAGAGTAAGGTGTTGATTCTTTGGCCATTAGAGACCTCAAAAAGTTCTCAGGACTGCTGTTCAAAATAAGGCTCCTATGCCACGAAGCTGGAGCTCTTCGCAAGGAGGCCATGCTGCTCACCAGGAGGGGCGGAGGGAGCCCACAGGCAGCTCCTTGGTGCCCTCAGGGTTGTGCCCACAGCACAGCTTTGCTGCCTTTATCCACACTGATGACATGCAAGCCGGAGGGGGCCCAGGCCACTGCGTTGATGGAGGAGCTGCAGGGAGAGCAGAGGACATCAATTTCAATTTCCAAGTATTCATGTTGAGATCTCAACCAGTCATGCCCCTAACCCCAGGTATGTGGAGCCCAGCTGTGCCTACCCAACAGCAGGGATTATGGTGGAGACTTTCATTAAGCAGGGTCAGACTAAAAGGAGCGTGGCTTTAGCAGCTGGCAGAGCCCTGGGATCAGGCACAGGGAAATTCTAAGCTTGGCTGGGCTGCTGCCTGAGGGCAGTGAGAACCTGCAGCTTCCAGGAAAAAAACAGAAACCCCACCAAAACCTATGCTTAACTAGCAGGTGGACTTGGGTGCACAGAACAAGCTGCGGAAAAAGGCCAGGAGCTGCCTGCCAGGTAGGAAGTAAAGGAGGTATACAATAACCAGTGTTTAGAACTTGTCAATTTTCTGGCAAAAAGGGAGGCTCAGAGAGGAAAAGGATGGAGGAGAGAACAGAAATGGATAAGGAAGGGCAGGGAAGCAGTTCCTCTGACCTCTTCTATTCACTGGCTCTACCTGCAGCTATCTATCTGCAGGCATTACCATCTGCTGTCTCCAAATGCCTTACTCACCCAGCCCAGCAAAGCGCAGGTGCTACCCTCAAGGAGCCCCTGGAGGGTTGAGCCTAATGAACATTAGGCCCTGCTCACCACTTTGAGGTGTGGGGCTGTGAGTGCCGATAGAAGTCAACTCACCTGTGTTGTTTAGAAAGAACCTTCTCCACCTTCCCTGTGAGCACATTCCAGACATAGAGAGAGCCTTCAGCTGAGCCTGCTGCCACATAACCGCCATCAGGACTACAGGAAATGGACAAAGAACAAAAGCTATGGAAACCTGCCCCTAACTCAGTATCCTAAGGTCCAAGAGGTAATGCAGTGTCCAAGACATAGAGGAAGTCAAGCAAACCTCCAAATGTGTGGAGACTGTGATAAACTATCATGGTCCCTGGCTCAATGAATGTAGAATGGAAAAGGAGACGTCATATGAGGCCCTTTCTCCAAGGCATGTCAGCTGATGCTGAAGTACACTGGGAGAAATCAGTACATGGCAGGAGAAAGGAGGAGAGGGAAACCTGATGGCTCATCCAGAACCAAGCAACCAACCATTATTTTTGGTGCAATCCATTTACGTTCATTAATGACAAACACTGGAAGGTACACTGCTGGGACCTCAAGCGTGACCTTTAGGTTCACTCCTGGGATGCTTTGTTGGAAAACTTCAGCTTCCCTAAGGGGGAGATAACCTGAGCAAGTTGGAAGTAGGGGGTGGCTACCAACCTGAAGACAACTCGGGTCCAGTCAGAGCCGCACTTGAATCCAGGGGCACTGAAAAACACAGCACACTCAGGGCACTCCCCCGGGACAGAAGTGGGTGGGGCCAGGCAGGAGCCTCCTGCACCCAGTTACCTGAATGTCTGTTTCACAGCATTTGTCCGGAGATCAATGATTTTTAGCAGGTCATCCCGGGAGCAGCTCAGGAGCTCTGTCCTCTCTGGGTTTAAATCCAAGGCAGTGATTTTCCCCAACAGCTCCATCTCCCGCACCACACTCTCTGATCTAAGAGATGAAAAAGCTGAAAAGCCTAGCAGGGAAAAGGTCAAAATGTCCCCAACTTTAACTAGGACAGTGTCATGAACTGCTGCCAGCCAAGAAGACCGTTTCCAAGGGTGGTAAGCATGGTGGCAGCCTCTTACTATCTCCCTATCAATAGGCCTACAGTTCTGAAAACAACTCAATCTTCTTGCCATCAGAAGTTCTGAAGTGGATACTAAGGCCACTAGTAAGGCAATTAGCATTACTTCTTTGCTGTAGAAGAGCTTAAGCCTCATGGACATGCTAACTAATCACATGCTCTACCACTGAGCTATGTATCGAGCCCCAATGGCTGCTACTTCCTTGGTGTTTCCCTGCAGCTTCAGCCCATACAGGTCAGCTAACTGCCCTCTGGATAGGCAGGGCCCTACTGATGACACAGCCAAAGGTCTTGACCTCTCCAATAGTGATTTTGCCTAAGTTTTCCATAAACTTTCTACTTTAACAAAGCAGTCTGTATCACTGTCACTAAACACAGACTTGGGGTCCTCAAATATGGGATGGACTTGTAACACCTTCCTTCAACTCTAAACTTCTTTATTCCAAGTCAGGTTCAGTGGCTCACACCTATAATCCTATCTACTCTGGCAGCTAAGATCACAGTTCCGGCCAACACAGGCAAAAATGTTCACAAGGTTCTCTCTCAGTGGAAGAAGTGGAGCATGACAGCACATGCCTGTCATTCTAGCTATGGCAAGAGACCTAAAATAGGAGTATGGAGGTTCAAGTACATGCCTGGGCAAAAGCAAGACCCAATCTTAAAATAATCAGTGCAAAAAAGGACCGGAGGTATAGCTGAGTATTAGAGCTTTCTGTACCAAGTTCAAAGCTCTGAATTCAAACAAGGAGGAAGAGAAGACAGCTAGCCTTGTTAGGCTTTTCTGGCACTAAGCTGCATTTCAGAGCATCACTAGAAACCACAGGTCCTTCACACACACACACCCTCTACCCTAGGGCCATCTACCTGGGTGTGATATATCAGCTGTTCATCCAATCAAATCATTAGCCCTCTATATGTGCCTCTTTACCACTTGGTTTTAAAGGACTTGCTTCTGACAGCTCTACTCCTCCCAACACTGGCACAGCAACAAGACTGGCCCGATTTCTTTCTACTTCTGGACACTCCTCCTTGGTTAGATCCCTTCTTCAGACTAGTCTTGTTTTATTATCATCTTTGCCTACCTAGCAGCTAATGGTCTATGGACATAACGTAAGGACAGTAAATGATGGTGAACTCTCCACAGTCTAAATGTGATTCAAAACAAACAGCTCACTGTCAAAATACAGCTGCCCTGGATCATTCTTGACATTGCCTCAGATTTAAAAATCAACCCACATAAAAATATCATCAAGCTGGGTGCTGGTGGCTCACTTCTGTAATCTTAGCTACTTAAAAGGCTGAGATCTGAGGACTGGCGTTCAAAGCCAGCCCGGGCAGGAAAGACCGTGAGACTCCTATCTCCAATAAAACCACCAGAAAACCGGAAGTGGCACTGTAGCTCAAGTGGTAGAGCGCTCGCCTTGAGCTGAAGAGCTGAGGGACAGCACCCAGGCCCAGAGTTCAAGCCCCACTACCGACCAAAAAAAAAAAAAAAAAAAGAGCTGAGGGACAGCTCCCAGGTTCAGAGTTCAAGCCCACGACTGACCAAAAACTAAAAAAGAAAAAGTATCATCATTGTTTATTGTATAGATTCCCCTGCATCCCTACCAAGCACTAGAATGTCATACCGGATGTCCCAGAAACGAATTTTCTTATCAAAATGTCCACTCATTACACATTGTTCTGTGCAGACAATATCGTTGCAACTGGACCCTGCAAACACCGTCTTGATGCCTGAAAGAAAATCAAACATCACTAGTCCAGCAGAAGCACCCATGTGGCTGTGTGTAGAGCAGTGCTACTCTCTAACCACCAAACTATCCAAATTGCAAATCTAAATGCAAGAAAGCTACCCTCAGCACCTGACTAACTGAACCCAAATTCAAACTATCACATGCAATAAGCTGAAGTGGAAAGAACAACTTCACAGCTAATGAGTATGCAAACACAAAGGCAGAGACTGAATTTCCTCACAGACTTTGCTGCGTAGATCCCAGAGTTTGAGGGTCCGGTCATGACTTCCCGAGACAATCCGTGCATTGTCCAGCAGGAACTTAGCAGAAAGCACTTTCCCACTGTGTCCGGTGAGTGTGTGCTAGGAGAGAAACAGCCAGGGTGAGCCTGGGGCATGGCACACTGCTATGCTGGAGGAGTGGCCAATGCACCCAATAGTGGAGAGCCAGGACTCCAACAAAACAATGAAGTCAGGGGAAAGGGAAGCAGTTTAAACTTAGCAACATTTCTGGACTGCAGAGGGAGTAACCTGCAGGAACTTCTAGAAAGTCTGTCTTGTAGGCGTTACCTATAAGTAAGGTATTACTCTGACTCAGACCTTGAATGCCCTGCAAAGACCCATGTGTGGAAAGTTTGGTGTTCTGCTTGTGGCACTAGTGGGCAGTGGGGCCCAGTGGGAGAAAATTAGGACACAGAAGACATGCTCTTGATTCTGCCCCTTCCTGCCTTGCTCTTTGCTTTTCTGCTACCATGAGGCCAATACTCTCCTCTGCCACACATTCCTGTCACAATGAATGTGTCACCCATGCACAGTACAAAAAGATGGAAAAAGAACCAAAGGCTGAAATCTTAAGCTAAAACCAGTATTTGCTGTATCAGGTACCATGTCAGTTATGGAAATCTGACACCAGTAGAACAAGAGGAAAAAGCCAGGCATAGTGGTATACTCAAGTAATCTCAGCAGTTGAGATGTTAACGTGGGAGGGTCTCGTGAACTCAATAGTTTAAGACCAGCCTGGGCAATATAACAGCAGGATCCAGCCTCAAAAAAAAAAAAAAAAAAAGACAAAGATACTAAAAGTAACATTAGACACAAACCCAATACCACTAGCCCCAAGCTAATGTCCTCCCATCCTCAGTAAAAAAGGAGGAGCCGGGTGCCCAGAGCTCACACCTGTTATAGCTACTCAGGAGGCTGATGCCAACCCAGACAGGAAAGTCTGTGGGATCTTATCTCCAATTAACCAGCAGAAAACGGGAAGTAGAAGTTGTGGCTCAAAGTGGTAGAATGCTAACTTAGAGCAAAAAAGTTCGGGGAGAACACTCAGGCCCAGAATTCAAGCCCCACAACTGGGGGAGAGGGGAAGCGCAAGTACAGCAGCAGGCTTTGAGTTCACCCTAGAACCAGGGTAGCTCAAATGGTAGAAAGCTCAAGGCTCTGAATTTAAGCTAAGGGTTTCAATTCTTAAAACATATGGGAAGAATGATATTGAAAACTAGCTCCTATAAAAATACATGTACTACACCTCCCTCTAGCACTACTTGCTATATCCCACTGTGCTTTTCTTCAAGCTATTTATTGTGATATAGTCTCTCCTTCTATCCCAAGGGGACAGAAACTCCTGTTACCTCCAAGGCCTTCGATTTCTGAAAAATAGTCTACAATACTCAAGTTTAGTAAATATTGGCTATATGATTGGGTATTTCAGTATTTTCTCCATCATAAATATATTTTATATGATTAAGTTGGAGTGGTGATGCACACTTGTAATACTGAAACTTTGCGAGCTGAGGTGTTATATAAACCAGCCAGGATTACATAGGGAGACTTGTCTCAAAAAAAAGGTGGGGGAAGGTAGATAAACATACAGCTCCTAAAAATGCCAGAAAACAAAGGGGTGGTTAATTAAGTTACAGTTCAACACAAGATGGACTATACTGCAACCATTATTACTCCTGAGTGTGTTTTCCACATTTAGGGTACAGCACTAGACTTCAGGGGAAACCATACTCAAATGTTTGTGCATGCAGCCCATTGCCCTGGTCCTCCCTGAAAAGAATGTAAGGCAAGTTGTTCAGCATTTAAACACCTATTTCTGCTACCTCCAGGGTTCAGGTTCATGCTTTGCATGTTCAAATCTGAATCTTCTTAGCTTGAGGTACTGGGTAGCACAGTACTGCGATTCTCCAGTGCAGTTCTCTCAGGAAAACAAAGGTCTAAGTAGTAAGTTAACTTTTAGCTTCATCCTTGTATCACCCAATCAGACCACCACACACCCAGCAACAAACCATCCTAACACAGCTCCCAACTCCTCTAGATCTTTATCTCTGCTGGTATTTTTTTGAGTTGACACAAGAAAAGCTACAGCCAAAAAAGAAAAAAAAAAAATTTTTTTTTGGGGGGGGGGGCGCTTTAGGCAGGTTAAATGCCACTAAGAATCACAATTCCCATGGTAGTAATAACATCTGTAATGTTAAGCTAGTTCTTACCCGTAACCGATAATCATCCACAGTCCAGATTCGGCTTGCAAAATCATTTGAGGCAGCTAAGAGATAAGCTCCCTACAGGAATAAAGAGGAAAAATGGTAGCATAATACAAAGACCTTTGTTCACTTGAAATTTCCCAAAATTCAAGTGCTAGAAGGTACAAAGATGCCTACAACCAAACATGTAGAGCCAAGTACCAACTATGATCAGCTATACTGTCAGTTCACCCCATCTCCTTAGAGTTCAGATCTTCCTCCTGAGCTCAGATTTCATCGGAATGCTGCAAACATCAAGCTCAAAATGGAAGTCTCCCCTGCTCATTTTCCCCTCACTCCCTTCCCTTAAAGTCTCTACATACTGCCTCAGCCATAAAGTCTGGGAGCATCCTGCTCTTCCCACATACTCTCCCAAACACCACTCTGAGGCTGTTCATCTTGTTCAGCATCACAGTCTTAGTCCCAACGTGGGCCACTGGAGACCTGCTGCTTCAACACTGTCAGTTACCCCATCCCTGTCATTAAAGACCTCTCAGGCCAAAGCTGCAGCTCAGTAGTAAAACACTAAGAGCATGACGTTGGTGTCACCAAGCTGCGTGAGCCCTCAAATTACCAAACAAATAAGAATTCCACATGGCCTCCCTGAGGTCTAAATCTTTTCCTTATTCCTCAATTAGATGTAAGGTGCTATTCCTAAGAAGCTAATGGAACCAGGCACTAGTAGAGGCTGAGCTTTCAGGATAGACCAGACAGACAAATCTGTAACACTCTCATCTCCAATTCAGCAAAAAAAAGCAGGAAATGAAAGTGTGTGACTCAAGTGGTAGGGCACCAGCTGTGAGTGGGGAAAAAAAGTCAAGTACAAGTTGAGGGAAGGGGATATGAGACATGGGCCAGTGGCTCATGCCAGATGGAACACAAGTCCATTTAGCCAACAAAAAGCCAAAAATGGAGCTATGCTTCAAGCAGTAGAGCAGTAGCTTTGAGTGGAAAAAGCCACAAGCCCACAAGCGAAGGGACATTATCAACTGCTGAGTACCGGCAAGCACCAAGATTAAAAAAAAAAAAAAAAAATGCTGGAGATGCATTTATGACTATGACCCCATGTTCCTTCTCTGGGGCTGGGTTCTCAGCTTAGTCAGTGAAGGAGACACACACAGTTGCCTCTCCCAGAAAGGGTTGGTCTAAGACATTCCAGGGGAGAGGACTGTCATCTAACAGGGATTTGTGATATAGGGACATTATTAACTACTGCACCTCTGTTCCACTGCCTGCATTGCAAGCACTTAGCCTTTTGTACCTGACCCGATCCTCTATTACCTCCAGGTCTACCTCAAATAGCTAATTGGTTTCTAAGTCTCAACCCAGAATGAATTGCTTCTACTTTATTACCTTAGGGTAATGAGCTGTAGTTCAACACTTACATACTACTCTCCTCTAAACAATTTCTCTAGGGTGGGTGGAATTGCACAGGCCCCTTAAGCATAGCATTTATTCACAACGCATCAGAAACTAAGTAACTTACTTAACTTCAACTATTCTATCTTAAATTATTTTTCAGAGGGCTGGGAAGTTGGCTCAGTGGTAGAGTGCTTGCCTTGCATGCCTGAGGCCCTGGGTTCCATTCCTCAGCACCACATAAGCAAAAAGAAAAAAGCCGGAAGTGGCGCTGTGGCTCAAGTGGTAGAGCGCTAGCCTTGAGCTGAAGAGCTGAGGGACAGCGCCCAGGCCCAGAGTTCAGGCCCCACAACCGGACCCCCCAAAAAAAAAAAAAAAAATTATTTTTCAGAAGCCTCTAAAATAGATACTCACAGCACTATCAAATTCAATGCTTGTAATTCCAGCATTACTGCCTGACAGTGAACCTTTGAATTCACACTTATCTGCATAAAAAGAAAAAAAAGAAGTTAAAGCCAAAGACTTTTAACAGGTAGGAAAAACACAACAGAAGTCAAAAATAGCTTTCCTGGACTTCTAATCAGACAACAGAATATGCTATAAAACACATTGCTAGTCTCTAAGAGCAATGAGCGTTCAAATGGACACAAACTCTGGTATTCTGCATGGTTTTTTTTTTTTTTTTTTTTTTTTGGGGGGGGGGGGGGGGTACGGTCGAGGGCCTGGGCGCTGTTCCTCAGCTCTTCAGCTCAAGACTAGCGCTCTACTCCTTGAGCCACAGCGCCACTTCTGGCTTTTTTCCTTTTTGCTTATGTGGTGCTAGGGAATCGAACCCAGGGCCTCATGCATGCAAGGCAAACGCTCTACCACTGAGCCACATTCCCAGCCCATCTGCATGTGTTCTTTTTTTTTTTTTTTTTTTTTTGGTCCGGTCATGGGGCCTGAACTCTGGGCCTGGGCGCTGGACCTCAGCTCTTCAGCTCAAGGCTAGCGCCTTGAGCCACAGCGCCACTTCCGGCTTTTTTCTTTTTGCTTATGTGGTGCTGAGGAATCGAACCCAGGGCCTCAGGTATGCAAGGCAAGCGCTCTACCACTGAGCACCTTCCCAGCCCCCTGTATGTGTTCTTTACAAAACATATCAATGGCAGTCAAGAATGAGTTTTTAAGTCCATTATTTTCAATATTCTAATTTACCCATATATTAAACTCTGGGTATGGTCAATATGTGCCAACTACTACTTCTGTAGAAACTGATGGACCAAATTTCCAGATTCTACAGTGTAGTTCGAAAACCATGCTCAATTGAGTTGTCAGAATTCCAGAAAAGCTTTATGTGTAGCTTCAATTCTCTCCACGAACCATAACACTGGCAAGTCAACTGACTCTCAGTACCCACCTTCACACACAATCCACTCACCTCCACAGGGATTTAATTACTCAGTTACTTTCCTGCAAATCAAATGGTGCAACAGCCAAGGATAGTACTTTTCCAATTGTCTATTCTAAACAGAGATTAATAGGCTGTTCTTGTTCTATCAAACATCCAAAGTAGTAACTAATGTGTTTGTGTGTGAGAGAGAGAGGAAGAGAGACAGCTAGAGAGAGAGAGAGAAAAAAAATATGCGAGCTGGTCCTTGGGTTTGAACTTGGGGCCTGGGCACAGTCCCTGAGCTTTGTACTCATGGCTGGGCACTCTACTACTTGAGCTATGCTTTCACTCCTGGCTTTTTGTTGGTTATTCAAAGTTCAGAGTTTTCTGCCCAGGCTGGCTTCAAACTATGACTCTTAGATCTCAGCCTCCTGAGTGGTTAGGATTACAGTCATGAGCCTCTAGTACCCAGCTCCCATGTCTTTTCAGTTCCCTTCAGCCTAAAGAAAGTTTCAGGGTTACAAGTATGGGATTTTATGTACAGCATTTCATGCACTTGCTAAGGCAAGAGGATCAAGTGTTCACAGCTAGCCAGAGCCACAGTCCCATCTCAAAGAAAGTCTCATTAATTTTTTCATCTGCCAAATGAGTAAAACTTTTCTAAGAATCACAGAAATTAAAACAAAGGAACTTTGGGCTAGTGGAGGATGGTGAAAATATAAATAAAAAACAGAAACCTAAGAAGTGCTCTCTACTACAAAAACAAAAACACAAAAAACAAACCTTTGGTCTTACTCAACATCCTTTTGGCAGTATATGCATATTTAACTGAATTTAAGAACATCAGAATGAGGTTTGCTCAATATACATGGTTTTCTAGGCAATATTCCTTGTCCGTCAGACTTTTAGTTTCTTTTCTAGGCCACTGCTATTATTAAATGTATCAACAACAGTTTGATGTACAGTTTCAGTTAAGAAATTTATTTTCCTTACAAGATTAGTATATATGAAAAAAATAAAACACTAACCTAAACATTATTTATTTGTTTTCTAGTTACTACTTGAATCAGCTTAGATATAAAGAAGAACATGCTTTGCTCAGAGATTTTTTTCCCCCTAGTCCTAGGGCTTGAACTCTGGGCCTGTGTGCTGTCCCTATGATTTTTTTTTTTTGGGTCTGGTCGTGGGGCCTGAACTCTGGGCCTGGGTGCTGTCCCTCAGCTCTTCAGCTCAAGGCTAGTACTCTACCATTTGAGCCACAGCACTTTTGCTTATGTGGTGCTGAGGAATCGAACCCAGGGCTTCATGCATCCAAGGCAAGCGCTCTACCACTGAGCCACCTTCCCAGCCCTGTCCCTATGCTTTTGTGCTCAAGGCTCCTGATCTACTTCAAGTTTATTTATTTGTAGTTAATTGCAGATAAACACATTCCTGAACATTTCTTGCCAGGGCTGGCTTCAAACCAAGATCTTCAGATCTCAGGCTCCTATGTAGCTAGAACTACTGGCACGAGCCACCAGTGCCCAGCTCAGATTTTTTCTTTCTTTCCTTTTTTTTGGGTCAGTCTTGGGGCTCGAACTCTGGGCTTGGGCGCTGTCCCTCAGCTCTTCAGCTCAAGGCAAGCAATCTACCACTTGAGCCACAGCGCCACTTCTGGTTTTCTAGTGGTTTATTGGAGATAAGAGTCTCTCGGACTTTCCTTGACCAGGTGGGCTTTGAACAGTGATTCTCAGATTTCAGCCTCCTGAGCAGCTAGGATTACAGGTGTGAGCCACCGGCGCCTAGCCCAGCTCAGATTATTTCTTAAATCTAAAACATTTCATGAATGAAGGACCAGATAATACTACACAAAAGGAAATGTACTTAACACCTGACATATGTATGTCATCTCTAAAACAATAAATTAAAAAACTTTTTTTCAAGAGATTGGGCATTGGTGGCTGAGGCCAGTAGTCCTAGCTACTTAGGAGGCTATGAGCTGAGGACAGGTGTTTGAAGCTAGCTGGGACAGGAAAGTCTGTGAGACTATCTCCAATTAATCACCAGAAAAACAGAATTGGAGCTGTGGCTCAAAGTAGTAGAGCACTAGCCCTGAGCAAAAGAGGCTCAGGGACAGCACCCAAGCCCTGAGTTCAAGCTCCATACCTGTCCAAAAAAATAAATAAAAAATAAAAAACTCACGAAAACAAGGTCAAAACAGATGCTTACAGAACTCTTTGTACACCCACAGACTCTTACCTCCAAATGCTTCCCAGAGCTTAACCCTCCGATCCATGCCTCCTGTCGCCAGTAACCGGGAACCTGGACTGAACTGCACAGCATTGACTTCTCCATCGTGTGCCTCCTGCAAGACAAGCACCCATCATTGTCATCTATTAGTTCAAAGGCACAGGCATGCATTTTGAATGCCCAACTCAGGCAAAACTCTCATCCTTAACAGGTGGATGGACCTCAAACTAAAGTGGACTTGTAGCTGAATGTCTCCTAAGAGCCGTGTGTGTGTGTGTCTCTCTCTCTCTCTCTAGGTCATGTGTGTGTGTGTGTGTCTCTCTCTCTCTCTCTCTCTAGGTCAGTCCCAGGGGCTGGAACTCTGGGCCTAAGAACTGTCCCTGAGCTCTTCAGCTCAAGGTGAGAGCTCTACCACTTGAGCCACAGTGCCACTCATGGTTTTCTGGTGGTTAATTGGAGATAAGAGTCCCATGGGGGGCTGGGAAGGTGGCTTAGTGGTAGAGTGCTTGCCTTGCATGCATGAAGCCCTGGGTTCGATTCCTCAGCACCAAATAAGCAGAAAAAGCTGGAAGTGGGGCTGAGGCTCAAGTGGTAGAGGGCTTGTCTACAGCTAAAGAGCTGAAGGACAACACCCAGGCCCAGAATTCAGACCCCACGACTGACAAAAAAAAAAGAGTCCCATGAACTTTCCTACCCAGACTGGCTTTGAACCCCCATCCTCCTCCTGAGTGGGGAGGATTACAGGCATGAGCCACCGGTTCCCAACTACCAGCTCAACTTATTCTTATAGTTACAGTTTTATTTATCTATTCCTTCAATTATCCAGTGTCTCACTACATATCTAAGGCTGACCTACTTCCTTATACTCTTTTTTTTTTTTTTTGTCGGTTGTGGGGCTTGAACTCTGGGCCTGGGCGCTGTCCCTCAGCTCTTCAGCTCAAGGCGAGCGCTCTACCACTTGAGCTACAGCGCCACTTCCGGTTTTCCGGTGGTTTATTGGAGATAGGAGTCTCACGGTCTCTCCTGCCCGGGCTGGCTTTGAACCGTGATCCTCAGATCTCAGCCTCCTGAGTAGCTAGGATTACAGGCGTGAGCCACCAGCACCTGGCGTTCCTTATACTCTTGAGTGCTGGGATTACAGGCATGTGCCACCCTTACCCAGCCTGTTTTTTTTTTTTGGGTCCGGTCGTGGGGCTTGAACTCTGGGCCTGGGCTCTATCCCTTAGCTCTTCAGCTCAAGGCTAGCGCTCTACCACTTGAGCCACAGCGCCACTTCTGGCTTTTTTCTTTTTGCTTATGTGGTGCTGAGGAATTGAACCCAGGGCCTCAGGCATGCAAGGCAAGCACTCTACCACTGAGCCACCTTCCCACCCCCCCAGCCTGTACTTATTTACAGTGCAACCTTTTCAAATAAAATTCAGAGTTAGAGGATGGGAATGTGGCTTAGTGGGTAGAGTGTTTGCCTAGTATAAATGAAGCCCTGGATTCGATTCCTCAGTACCACATAAAACAGAAAAGGCTGGAATTGGTGCTGTAGCTCTAGTGGTAGAGGGCTAGCCTTGAGCAAAAGAAGCTCAGGGATACCACCCAGGCCCTGAGTTTAAGACCCAGGACTTGGGAAAAATATTCAGAATTAGTGTAGACTGAAATTTTAGACTGAAGTTTATCTGTTCATTTATTTCTTCTAAGAACAATGGTAGGGCTGGGAAGGTGGCTCAGTGGTAGAGCGCTTGCCTTGCATGCCTGAGGCCCTGGGTTCAATTCCTCAGCACCACATAAGCAAAAAGAAAAAAAAGCCGGAAGTGGCGCTGTGGCTCAGGTAGTAGAGCGCTAGCCTTGAGCTGAAGAGCTGAGTGATAGTGCCCAGGCCCAGAGTTCAGGCCTCACTACTGGACCCCCACCCCCAAAAAAAAAAGAACAATGGTAATTTGACTTATATGTTCAACTTTAAAGTCTAGAATTAAAATAGTCATTTTTTGGTGGGCACTGGTGGCTCAGGCCTATGGTCTTAGCTATTTAGGAGGCTGAGATCTGAGGATCATAATTTGAAGCCAGCTCCAGCAGGAATGTCCATGGGGCTGTTGCTCGAAGTAGTAGAGTGCTAGCCTTGAGCAAGAGGCTCTGACAGCGCCCAGGCCGAGTTCAAGACCAACCACGAAAAATAAAATGCCTATTTTGGTCCTGATTCCTTCTTACATTTACTCTTTATTATTTACTACCAATAAATGTTAAAAACTACACATCTGGTAATGTATAGCACATGGTCTCTACAGTAAGCTTTCTCAATAAGTCCTAGTATAAGCAGGTGCTGATTCTACTGCTAGACATCAATCAGTATTACAATGAAATTCTATGTGGTTCTTTCTGGAAACGTTATGGCACTGTGACATCTTCTAAGTTTTTATCTCCTTAAAGTCTCAGAGAAGGGTCTGTAACCAAAAATTGTGCCTAAAAATGAATGGATCATCAGTGAAAGTATCAGCTGTTATTTTGGAAAATTCTTCATAGGTTCTAGATGAGAAGGGTTATAGGTAACATAAGCATGCCGTCTGTGTGTGTGCACTTGCACTCATACACATATGCGCATGTGTATATACACTCGGGCTTGAACACAAGGCCTGGGCACTGTCACCTAGCTTTTTGACTGAAGGATAGAGCTCAGCTACTTGGAACACAACTCTATTTCTGGCTTTCTGATGGTTAATTTGAGATTAAGAGTCTCGCAGACTTTCCTGCCCAATCTGGCTTCAAACTATGATCCTCTGATCTTGGCCTTCTGATGGCTAGGATTAGATTTGAGCTACTTACTAAGTTTTCTGGTGCTAGTCCTGGGGCTTGAACTCAGAACCTGGGCACTGCTGCTGAGCTTTTTTGCTCAAGGCCAGCAGTATACCACTCCACTTGAGCCACAGTTCCACTTCTTGCTTTCTGATGTTTAATGAGAGATTAAGAGTCTCAAGGACTTTTCCCACCCAGACTGCCTTTGAACTGCAATCCTCAGAGCTAGGATTAGAGAAGCATGAGCTACTAGTGCCCATCTTTTTTTTTTTGGGGGGGGACACACAGGAAGGGGTGTGAGTAACTCAGACTGGCTTTGAACATACTATATTCCTCAGGCCGACTTCAAACTTTCAATCCTGCTTTAGCCATCCCAGTGCTGGGATCACAGAAGTATGCCACCTGGCCATCTACTCTCTCAAAAGTAATTTGGGATGAAGTTGATGTATGGCATTTACATCAAACCCTATAAAGTGCAGTAAAGTGGATAGTACTGAAATATCAGTGGCAATCAATGGGAAATTAGCATTTTGGTGATTAGATTTCCCACTTCCCTCATGTCCCATCACTGAAAGTCTGTACCATGCGATCCCCCTGTATTTACAAGAGATTTCTTTCTCGAGGTCTCAGATTGAAAACTTGAGATCATGCACTGTCACATCCTTCCTGCCGCTCCTCAGGCTCCTGTGAAGCTGGTGCTGTTGGATATACCCATCACTGTGAACCACTTACTCTTGGAACACAGAATGACAGAATCCCAAACTATCAGCAGCTCACTACCTATACACATGACTTCAATGTGCAAGGGAAAAACTAGGCTGCTGGGAGTTGAGGGCAGGAAGGAACTGTGACATTCAGTGCAATCAGACCTTTTACCAATCATCATTGACCTCTGTGAAGTGCCCAGGCCCAACATGGAATCATAGGAGCAAGGTGAGAAGAGGAAGGGGCTCTGCCTTTCTCCAGACCAACTCCTCCTCCGAAGTGGCACTCTACTCAATATCTCATCCCCAGAAGTGAAAGCTCAGATCTAAATACCACCTCCTTTTTAGTGCAGATCTTGCCTTCCTTTGAGAGCAACTTTGTTTAGCCACCATCTGCTATAACAGTTCTTAACTGAAGTTCAACTTTGGGTTCTGCTAATTTTTTTCTGTTCCAGTAATGAGGCTTGAATGCAATGCCTCTCATTTTGGTTGGCTTTTTCCACTCAAAGCTGGCACTCTACACTTGAGCCAGAGCTCCACTTCTACCTTTCTCCTCTCAGCCTCCAGAATAACTGGGTTCTACTCATGTTGTTCCTCTTCAGTCCTTTACCAGCCCTGAGCTAACTCCATGCTTCCCTATGCTGGCTCAATTATTTAGGTGGGATGCTGATCTGATCAATGTCAGGATCCTGCTCTAAACTTTAGACAGTTATGGTATCAGAGTGGCTTCTGCATAGCATTGTTTCTGCATCCAGTTACATTCTTATGGTTAGAAGTCATACAAGTAAGGGTTTAACTTACTAAACCAACAGGTGTCCTGCTACACTCACTCTAAATTGGAGCTAACTGGTTACAGCAACTGTAACTTTCAGATTTCTCACCATTCCATTTGTTTTTCCTTTTCTGTACCCCTGGTGTTACCAATCCTTTCTCTTATCCCACTGTTACACAGGATGGCTAGAACAAATTCTCTGCTCTGAAGCTAACTATGCACAATGTAGTCATTCTTCACATGCAACAGAGCCTGCGGGTCTAAGTGAAGCAACTCTAAGTCTAGCTGTAACCCTAGAAAGGATTGGCTAGTTTCAGTCCCTGCTACCACTGCACACTTAGAAGGTATGAACAAGAAGTGCACTCACAAAGACACACACAGCAGTGGTTGGTACCCTCGCGTCTTTACCAGAGGCAGGATGAGCATCCATATTGTCCTGGGGGACCGGGAAGGAAGAGACAGAACGTCTCCTAAGGAACAACACAAAGGCAGACATTAGACGGGACTAAATTCAGTTTAGTGTTCACCAGCTTCCAGAATGGTCTCGAAGATAAACTTGCAAAATCAGAAACATCCCCAAGTAGTAACAGGAAAGAGAGCCAGAACACCTTACTCTCAGGCTCACTAAGTCCTGGGCTCTGAATCAACACTAAAAAGCAATCCTGAACAAAATCACTTACCCTGTCTGTAAGTTGCTAGAGAATATTTTCAACAGGTAGCTCAGAGATGGTTCTCTGACGTTTTCTAAACTTGTTTAACAATTGCTTTTATGCCTAGTTATCATCGCCCTCTGCTTGTATTTGTGGGCAGAGTCAAAAGCATGCCAAGAGAAAGCGTGCCAAGAGCATGATGACTTCACAAGGGCTCAAACTGTCCAGACTGCCTGACTTTGAGAGCTACCAGCATTCATTCCTGGAAGCATGCAAAGCGCCCTGGTTAGCATGTGGACACCTGATGATTGCAGAGAGTGCAGTGTGATCAGCAAGATTATCAACAACCCACACTCACATGCTGGGCTAAGAGAGGGTAATATTTTCACCTGGCAGCATCAGAAGAAGAATGATGTCCCAAAAGGGGAGACTCGGACAGACTAAAGAGAAAGGCCAGAGATCAGCACGCAGCGAGATTAAGGAAGTTGCAGAAAAAAGGAAGCTAAATGAAAAGCCAAAAAATAAAAATAAAAAAATAAAAAAAAAAATTAAGGCATCTGTATTTTCTGCACCACTGAAATCCTGGAGTACACTTACATAAACAAAACACGTACATATACTTAGGTATATTTATACACATTTTAAAAGGGAAAGGAGAAGGTCTTCTAACCTACCCAAAGATATTAGTGATAGAATCCAGAAGGCCTCCAGCAGGCTGCGAGAGTCGCTTACTAAAGAGGAGGGAGGATAGGTTTACAACCTTAGAAACATTTTGCCCAAATAATCAAAACAGCCCATAAAAATAAGTACCCAGGAACATATTTCCCACTTAGTTCCCAAATCCCAGCTGAGAGAAACTGAACACAATATTTGAACCACCAGGGAATAGTGGGAAAGTAGAAGGGAAAACCCAGTCTCAAAGTTTTAAACAAGGTTCTCTAGGATAAAATTAATTTCACTGGGGGCTGGGAATGTAGCTTAGTGGTAGAGTGCCTGCCTACCATGCATGAAGTCCTGGATTAGATTCCTTAGTACAACATGAACAAAAAAAGCCACAAGTAGCCCTGTGGCCCAAGTAGCGTTGAGCAAAAGAATCTCAGGGACAATGAATGCCCAGGCATTGAGTTCAAGCCCCAGGACTGGCAAAATCATCATCATCATCATCTCACTGGAAATAAAGTCTCAGACAAGGAAATTCTAACTACCCCAAAAAAGTCCAAGTGTTAAAACCAAATACCCATTCTTTTCAATACTGTTTTAGCAAACTTAAAAAATCCTTAAGCCCACTCTTAGTGAATGGAGGGGAAATCAGGAAGACTGGCCAGAAACCTGGCATAGAAGAGGAAGGATTTCATCAAGAGGATTCAGGGTTGTATGCATCTGACTATGCTCCTCTTATGGCTGTGTGTGTGTACACTGCTGTGTGAGCTTTCCCGACCCAACCTGTCTACTCACGTGGCTGTTCTGGTGACAGTTCGCACAGGAGAAGTCTCCTCTGGGTGGTCTGAGGTTTCATCTACTATAACTTCAATGTCATCATCCCTGGAAAAATCAAGAGTCAGTCTCTTAATCCGCTAATAGGAGCTTGTGATTAACCGGTTTTACAAAGGTCAGTGTAATTTTCTACTGAGACATCCTATGAGACTAGGCATGACAGCAATGGTGAAGTTCACTGAAGAACAATAGCAAGACGAAGAGGTGCCATTCCAGAGAAACTTGAAAAGGTGGCTCAAGTGGAAGAGCACTATTCTTTTTTTTTTTGGGTCCGGTTGTGGGGCCTGAACTCTGGGCCCAGGCGCTGTCCCTCAGCTCTTCAGCTCAAGGCTTGAGCCACAGCGCCACTTCCGGCTTTTTTCTTTTTGCTTATGTGGTGCTGAGGATTGAACCCAGGGCCTCATGCATTCAAGGCAAGCGTTCTACCACTGAGCCACCTTCCCAGCCCATAGACAACTATTCTTGAGTACAAAAAGGCTCAGGGACAGCGCTCAGGCCCTGAGTTCAAGTCCCACACCGACCAAAAAAAAAAAAAAGAAATGTTTCCTCTATCTGAGAAGGCAGGATACACCCCTACACTGACATCCAGAGCAAATATTTGACAAAGAATTTCTGTTTCTGCATGTGTTGGTGGAATACTCTTAACTAAATCATTCTCCATTTAAAAACAATCAGAAACCTAAAAAGAGAGCCATATTCACATATTATATGCCAAAATACATTTCAACAGAAAGTATAGCAAAGCGAATGCTGTTATTTAAAAACCTACCACAGGGGGCTGGGAAGATAGCTCAGTGATAGAGCGCTTGCCTTGCATGCCTGAGGCCCTGGGTTCGATTCCTCAGCACCACATAAGCAAAAAAGAAAAAAGCCGGAAGTGGTGCTGTGGCTCAAGTGGTAGAGCGCTAGACTTGAGCTGAAGAGCTGAGGGACAGCGCCCAGGCCCAGAGTTCAGGCCCCATGACCGGACCCAAAAAAAAAAAAAAAAAAAACCTACCACAGGAAGGTGGCTTAGTGGTAGAATGCTTTCCTAGTATGTATGAAGCTCTGGGTTTGATTCCTCAGTAGCACATAAGCAGAAAAGCCAGAAGTGGCACTGTGGCTCAAGTGGTAGAGTGCTAGCTTTACGCACAGATAGACTCAGGGATAGTGCTCAGTGCTCAGGCCCTGAGTTCAAGCCCTAGGACTGGCAAAAAATAAAAAAAATAAAATCACATAGTCAGGTACCAGTGGCTGAGGCCTTTAATCATAGTTGCAAAAAGAAGAAAAAAAAAAAGCCGTAAGTAGCACTATGGCTCAAGTGGTAGAGCGCTAGCCTCGAGCTGAAGAGCTGAGGGACAGCGCCCAGGCCCAGAGTGCAGGCCCCATGACCTGACCCAAAATAAACAAACAAACAAATAAATAAATAAAACTGAACCCCTGCACAATTACATGATGACAGGCTCCATTAGAGCTGGAAGCAGTGAGGTGTCCCCAGCACAGGAAGTGAAGAGTCAGACTCAGCTGAGGAGTTTACGCAGGAAAACTTCTGAGAGGCAATTTGGTAATACATATTTGAGAATGTATTAAAGTTTTGGCCCAACAAATTTTACTTTTAAGAATCTTTCCCCTTGCTGGGCGCTGGTGGCTCACGCCTGTAATCCTAGCTACTCAGGAGGCTGAGATCTGAGGATCGCGGTTCAAAGCCAGCCCGGGCAGGAGAGACCGTGAGACTCCTATCTCCAATAAACCACCAGAAAACCGGAAGTGGTGCTGTAGCTCAAGTGGTAGAGCGCTCGCCTTGAGCTGAAGAACTGAGGGACAGAGCCCAGGCCCAGAGTTCAAGCCCCACGACCAACAAAAAAAAAAAAAAAAAAAAAGAATCTTTCCCCAGGCTGGGAAGGTGGCTCAGTGGTAGAGCGCTTGCCTTGCATGCATGGGGCCCTGGGTTCGACTCCTTAGCACCACATAAGCAAAAAGAAAAAAGCCAGAAGTGGCGCGGTGGCTCAAGTGGTAGAGTGCTAGCCTTGAGCTGAAGAGCTGAGGGACAGTGCCCAGGCCCAGAGTTCAGGCCCCATAACTGGACACCCCCCAAAAAAAGAATCTTTCCCCGAATCATATAACTGCAACCCCTCTGTACATCATCTTTGTAATAAAAAATTATATGAAAAAAAATCTTTGTGTACTTAATTTGAAAGATGGCCAGAGGACATTCACTATTGCAAATGCCCAAAAAAGCATAGCTAAAGCAACTGCCCAGATGTTAGGTCACTTATCTCTACTTACTGTTCAACTGGCAGAGGCTCCTTTGCCGCTTCTGCAAGCTCTTTCTGTAGCCGGGCTTGACGCCTCCTATTTGAGAAAAGGCACATCATTTACCTCTGCTTACCAAAGGCACAGGGTTTTCACTCTCAATAAACAACTCTGAGGAGTCTGAAAATGTATGTGAATATCAGTGTATTTAAAACACGCTCAGTACAAACACTAATTGTTTTCCTGAATACTTAAGTCCACAGGTGTGTGGAGTCTATCAGTCCCAGAGACAACTGTACACTATTCCTCATTCTCCTGTCCTCAGCCATTTCACTTCTTTATGAAGACCTCCTTAACTCCATCTTAAACTCAGCATTTGAGTTCCAATCAAGACCTGGGCTCTTTAGTGACAATTCTCAAATGTAGAGTTGCTTGAGAATTTGGGGGATGAGGGTATAGCTAAAAAAAAAAGTACATTACACTCTTTAGTAAAGGACTCAAATTATCGGCTGGGAAGGTGGCTCAGTGGTAGAGCGCTTGCCTTGCATGCCTGAGGCCCTGGGTTCGATTCCTCAGCACCACATAAGCAAAAAGAAAAAAGCCGGAAGTGGCGCCATGGCTCAGGTGGTAGAGCACTAGCCTTGAGCTGAAGAGTTGAGGGATAGTGCCCAGGCCCAGAGTTCAGGCCCCACGACTGGACCAAAAATAAAAGACTCAAATTATAAATTTTACAGGACAAATAACACCAAAGTCCAATTTATTCAGATGTTCTTATAGCAATCCTCCCCTCCCCCCACCCCCCCCAAAAAAAGTCAAATGGATTGGGAAGAATACCTTCCTGTAATCCAAGTTACTGGAGGTGAGGACTGACACCTTGCATGTATGAGGCCCTGGGTCCGATTCCTCAGCACCACATAAGCAGAAAAAGCTGTAAGTGGCGCTATTGTTCAAGTGGCAGAATATTTGCCCTGAGCTGAAGAGCTCAGGACACAGTTCAAGCCCTAGAACTAACCAAAGAAAAACAACTCAAGATCCAGTAGGTGAGGTGTTCAGGCCTGTAATCCTAGCTCCATGGGAGGTTGAGATCTAAGGATCACAGTTTGAAGCTAGCGCAGGCAGAAAAGTCCATGACAAGAATTTTATCTTCAATAAACTACTCAGAAAAAAGCTGGAAGTGGCACTGTGGCTCAAGTGGTGGAGCCCTGAAAAGAAAGAGGCTCAGGGACAGCACCCAGGCCCTGAGTTCCAGTTCCAGGACTGGCAAGAAAAAAAAAATTCAAGATCCTACAGGAGGGTCAATGTCCAAGACCAGCCTCAGGGCAAATTGAGGCAATCTAAAAATCAGGAAGGGGCAAAAAAAAAGTCCAGTCCAGGCAGTGACATCTGTTGAGAGCTCATCTCTAATCAATGAAGTGTCACTAGAGCAAGGCTCAAGTGGTAGAGCCCCAGCTGTAAGCAAGAAAGCTGAGCAAGAAGAATGAGGTCTTGAGCTCAAGCCCTAGTACTGGCCCAAAAAACAGGTATCAATGAATATGATTTAGAAATTTTCTTCCATGTTTTTTGTTTTGGTTAGTTGTAGGACTTCAACTCAGGGCCTGGGCACTGTCTCTAAGCTCTTTTCACTCAAGGCTCTACCAACTTTGAGCCACAGTATGACTTCCAGTTTCCAGTTTTCTAATGGTTAACTAGAGGTAAGAGGTTCGGACTTTTCTTCCTGGGCTGGCTTCAAGCCACAAATCCTAAGATGTCAGCTTTCTGAGTAGCTGAATTATAGGCATGAGCCACCAGCACCTGGCTCAGTCCTGGTTTTAATTTTTATTAGTTGTGAGCTTGAACTCAGGGCCTATGCACTGTCCCTTAGCGCTTTTGCTCAAGGCTAGCATTCTACCACTTGAGACACAACTCCACTTCCAGTTTGAGTGGTTAATTGGAGATAGGAGTCTCACAGGAACTTCTCTGCTCAGGAAGGCTTTGAATCATGATCCTCAAGATCTCAGCCTCCTGAGTAATTAGGATTACAGGTATGAACCATTTACTCCCAGCATTGTTTTTCTTATGTTCTCCTTCATAAAACATGGAGCCTACTGACTACAGCTGGACATCCCACCTGGAGTCTTTCTCATTCTCTGCATTGAGGCGATTGGCTTCTTGGGCCTTCTCAGCCATCCACCTAGTGACCAGCTCCTGGTTCTCTTCTGTAGTTTTCCGCAGCTTCTCCTCCAAGGCAGTAAAAGTGATCTGCAGGGCGTCATATTCGTCCTTCAGGGTCTGGTTGGCTATCTCAAGGTCCTGCAGCTTGCTGCGCAGGTCCAGGCATTCCGTCTCCAGATCAGAGATAGTCTGCAAACACTCAGCAATTCTGGAAACACAACATGAAAGAATGGTGCCTGGCCAGAGGCCTACACCACCTCCAGAGAACTCCACGTGCCAAATGGTTGAGCTCAATTCAGCAGCAGGAACAAGAATCACTATGCTAGGCCTAGCCCAATGGTGTGCATAACAATTCCACTAGCAAACACCCTGGATAAGAGTCCTCTTGACCATGAATAACTAGTCTTAGCACCATTCAAGACAGAAGGACTGGAGTAAGGGAAGCTCTGGGTGTTTAGATTGGTGAAGGGACTTGTAAGGCCCCCAGCTGTAGCATGCTAGACTACCATTTCTCTGATGGCTGGGCTTCTCCCTGATCAAACACATTTGCCACGTGTGCCAAGGTTCATGCACTCAGGCATCACAATGTCTCCCCTCCCCACCACAGGAAGACACTACCATCCCCACACAGTGGCCATGGAGAAGAGTTAAGTCTCCTAGGACACTCACCTGGCAACTGGCCCAGTTCCTTCCAGTTAGTTATATTAGGGGCTTACGGGTTCTGCCTTTGATTTTCACAGGAAAATATCCCAAAATCCGTGTGAAATATGTAATGAAGTGCTTGTTGTGTGCACTATGGCTACCAATTGGTCTTACTCAAGAGTATAGCAAATCAGGATGTGTGACCCAACAGGCGGGCCTCAAGTAGATGTGATATCTACTCACTTTGCTTCATTCATCTGTATCTCCCTGTCCTTCTGCTGCATTTGGTTATTCAAGTCGATCACCAACTGAGCTAACTGGAAATAAAGAACACTCTCATAAGATTTTAGGATCTCACTTAGAAATTACATACTGGGTGAATTAGGCAATTCATAAGAGTAGGGGTGAGGAAAGGTAAGAAGAAAAGTGCTGGTGGCAGAGAGAGAGGGTCTCATGGAGATGTGGCTTGTTGCTATCTTCTGCTCTGTGGAGAGAGGCATGGGTAATGGTGAACAGTTCTAAGTGACCTCCAGCTTCTGGCTGAGGACACTATCTTCAATCGAACCGCAACTCAACTGAATCGATGACAAGACAGTATTCCCTCAGCTGGAGCTCTCCCTTAAGACCACCACCTTAAGACCACCTAAGCCAAGTGCTGGTGGCTTACATCTGTACTCAGGAGGCTGAGATCTAAGGATGAGGATGGTGATTCAAAACCAGCCTGGGCAGGACAGTCTGTGAGACACTCATCTCCAACAGACCACCGGAAAACTGGAAGTGGCGCTGTGAAACAAAATGGTAGAGAGCTAGCCTAGAGCAAAAACAAAAAGGTGAGGGACAGTACCCAGTTCAAGCCCCACAACTGGGAAAGAGGAGGGGGGCGGGGAAGATCACCATCCAGGTTACACATAGCTAGAACTCAACTCCTTGAACTGTCCCCTTCTGAAACTGGAGGGTTCACACTCAAAAGCTTGATGAGGCTTTAATAAGAACTCAGAGATGCCCAAGCAGTCAGCTTTTTTGCTCTTCTAAGCTTCCTTTCTTTGTCACACTGGGGAGCACAGCAGCAGTGTGGTCTGGCTCTAGTAAACACTTGCTGGGACCTCACAGTGTCTAGTGGTTTCTTTTCGTTTTCCCCACTTACACTCTCAAAGCTTATATGCAGAATGTAGCAAGATTACTACCAATCCTCAGAAGTGACTGCCCACCCTCCCATTCCCCATAAGACCCTGGAGAGAGCAAAGGACAGATGGGCAGAAGGGCTATTTTACCTCCCCACGTTTCTTGTGTAGTTCAGTCAGTTCTTCCTGGTGCTTAATCCGCAGCTGGGACATCTCTTGTCGAATATGGTCACTCCATGTACCATCTTGTCCGGGGCTAAACCACCAGACAAAATGTAACTGGTTCTTATCATTACTAAGTGCAATGTGCAAAAAGAACATAGGTTTTTATAGTGGTAAAGGCCATTGTTCCCATATAAACCTACCAAATATGCAAGCATTAGGACAAACCCACCTAAGTTATTTTGATAAAGTATAGCTTTCAGTTTGGTTTGTTTTGAGGGGTTCCCAAGTGTCTGACCCTGAGTTCTTTTTGCTCAAAGCTTATGCTCTACCACTTAAGCCACAGCTCCACTTCTGGCCTTTTTTTTTTTTTTTTGATAGTTACTTAGAGATAAGAGTCTCATGGAAAGCTGGACATTGGTGGCTCACACCTGTAATCCTAACTGTTCAGGAGGCTGAAATCTGAGGATCAAGGTTCAAAGCTAGCATGGGCAGGCAAGTCCAACTCGTCCCTTTAACCACAAAAAAGCCAGAAGTAGAGCTGTAGCTCAAGTGACAGAGCATGAGTCTTGAGCAAAAAGGACTCAGGGACAGGGCCCTGAGTTCAAGCCCCAGGACTTAGGGTAGACTGCTTGCCTAGTATGCATGAAGTGCTGGGTTTGATTCCTCAGTAACACAAACATACAAAGCCAGAAGTGGTGCTGTGGCTCAAATAGTAGAGTGTCAGCCTTGAATAAAAGAAGCCATGAGAAAGTGCCCAGGCCCCGAGTTCAAGTCCCAGGACTGGGGTAGGGGTAGGGGGAGTAAACCCTGAGCTGAGTACTAGTGGCTCATGCCTATAATCCTAGCTACTCATCAGGAGGCTGAGATCTTGAGGACTGCAGTTGGACACCAGGACTGGCACAGACAGTATACAAATGTGCAAGTGAAGGTATGGGTCAAGTGGTAGAGTGCAAAAAGCTCAGGAATAGTGCCTATGCCCTGAGTTCAAGCCTTAGAACAGGCATGCAAACATACATTTACATGTGCTAACACACACAGAATGAACCGTAGTTGGTTAGAAGTTAGCCCAAGGTTGCTATATGAACTGGACTTAAGAAATTTCTCGGGGCTGGGAAGGTGGCTCAGTGGTAGAGCACTTGCCTTGCATGCATGAGGCCCTGGGTTCGATTCCTCAGCACCACATAAGCAAAAAGAAAAAAAGCTGGAAGTGGCACTGTGGCTCAAGAGGTAGAGTGCTAGCCTTGAGCTGAAGAACTGAGGGACAGAGCCCAGGCCAAGAGTTCAGGCCCCACGACCGCCCCCCCAAAAAAAGAAATTTCTCATGCTGAGCAGGCACTGGTGGTTCACACCTATAATCCTTGCTACTCAGGAGGCTGAGATCTAAAGATTGTGGTTCAAAGCCAGCCAGGGCAGAAAAATCCCAGAGACTCATCTCCAATAAACCAATCAAAAACTGTTAGTGGCACTATGGCTCAAGTGGTAGAGAACTAACCTTCATCACTAAGAGGCTTAGGGATGGTACCCAAGCTGAGTTCAAGCCCCACAATCAACCAAAAAAAAAAAAGACATTTGTCAAGCTGAGAACATTGCACTGATAAAGCCATTTCAGTTACTTTTAGCAGCCCTTTTTTAAAAGGAACTGGCAAAAACTAAAGCACAGAAAAAGTATTTGCTTTCAGAGAAGTGACAACAGAATCAAAACAAATTTCAATTTCAAACAAGGAGAAACTAAACGGGTTAGTTTGAAAATACCTTATCTCATGCCTGTTTGGTGTGTCATGCTTTTCAGGTTGTAGCTTCTGGGCCAACACTGAATGAAGATCTGACTTCTCCAGCAACTTGTTATCTATAAATACATAAATCAAAGTTATCACAGCATAATTATAAAACTTGAGCTTAAAAATTACCATAGGATGGGCTGGGAAGTGACTCAGTGGTAGAGCGCTTGCCTTGCATGCATGAGGTCCTGGGTTCGATTCCTCAGCACCACATAAGCAGGAAAAAAAAAAGCCAGAAGTGGCGCTGTGGCTCAAGTGGTAGAGCGCTAGCCTTAAGCTGAAGAGCAGAGGGACAGCGCCCAGGCCCAGAGTTCAGGCCCCACGACCGGAACCCCCCCCCCAAAAAAACAATTACCATAGGATCACCTGGGTAGGATTCATTTTTATTACGTTTTTAAATATGAAGTACTTTGTCACCTACCGTAATGATGTAGGAACACAAATTTCTTGGTTGATTCTTAGCTTAACTTTGGGCAGCCTAGTCATAGTCACCTGTAAGCACTTTCAAGAATGACCTTCTATTAAAGGAGTTGAAATTGCTTTCCACTTTCAAAATCATCTTTTCTGACTTGAGAGTGAAGCAAAACACAATGACAAAGTGAAATGCTATGTACCTGTAAGTAATATACTGCTTTACAGTACTTTGATAGCTTTAACCATTTTCTTTCTTTTCCTTCGCCTCTTCCACTCTCTATCTCTCTGGTGCTGGGTATTAAACCTGAGGTAATGTATGTACAGGAAAATGTCAACCACATGAGCTATATCCCTGACCTCTTTATTTTCATTCCATATTGCTTTAAGACAGGGTCTCATTACTGCTGTAGCCTACGTCTGGCCTTAACTCATAATCCTTCTGCCTGACTCTCCCTTATGGCTGGGAATACAGGGATGGACCATGCAGTTTCAATATTGTGTTTTGTTCACATCAGGATACTACAAACGGAAATACAACTCAGAGATCCTAAGTTCACATCTATTGAGGCTCATTATTAAAAGGCAAAGAGTAGAATGACTTTTTCATTTTTCCTGTGGCAGTGTTGGGGTGTGAACCCTGGGATTCATGCTTGCTAGGCTCTATGCTTAAGCCATAATGCCAGGGCTGGTAAGTTGGCTCAGTGGTAGAGTGCTTGCCTTGCATGCCTGAGGCCCTGGGTTCGATTCCTCAGCACCACATAAGCAAAAAGAAAAAAAAAGCCGGAAGTGGCGCTGTGTCTCAGGTGGTAGGGCACTAGCCTTGAGCTGGAGAGCTGAGGGACAGTGCTCAGGCCCAGAGTTCAGGCCCCACAACCGGACCAAAAAAAAAAAAAAAAAAAAAAAAGCCATAATGCCAGTGGCAAATTTGGCCTGTTTTTTGAATGTCATTTTCACAGAGGGTTTCACAGGCAGTGACATTAGAACTAGGTTTAAAGGAAGATGATGGTCCAAGCAATAAGAAAATCAGTTGTCTGGGAAGTGACTGGAAATGAAATTTGGAGCCAACATATCAAAGAGCAGGACAAGAAATTCAGACTTTTTTAATTGAAGTAAAAGACTGTAGAAACAATCACATGGACAGATTTGAACTGATAAATAAATAGGCAGACCTTCCTTGCTCAGGTAACTGGGTAGATATTTACCTGCCAAACATAAGACACCCAAGAGTCAGAAAAAAGAAAAAGTTCACATTCTAAGCATAGGAAACATGGCAGGGAAATAGTACCAGAATTCAAAAGAAAGGAGGTGTGCTTATGAAGGTGAGGCACACTGGCCAACAAGGACAGCTTGCAAAGGGTCAGCCCTTTCCTGCAATCATAAATGGTCATGGCTTGAAACAAGAGAAAGCATGCTAGGCCCTGCGGCTCAGGCCCGTAATCTTAGCTACTCTGGAGGCCCGAGATCTGAGGATCACAGTTCAAAGCCAGCCTGGGCAGGAAAGTTCTGGGGACTCTTATCTCCAATAAACCACCAAAAAACCAGAAGTGGTGCTGTGGCTCAAATGATAGAGTGCTCACCTTGAGCTGAAGAGCTGAAGGACAGCACCCATGCTGAGTTCAAGCTTCACAACCAGCAAAAAAAGAGAGGAGAAAAAAAAAAGCCTAACAAACTTGTTAATGTGGAGTCATACAAAGAAGCCAGAAGCTTACATTCCCTAATTCTTAGTGAAGGAAATGATTAAGGTGAAGCCAGAGAAGATATTTCCCAGGAAATCTCTAGAAAGTATCTCTAGAATAGATAAAGCCTCAATTCCCTTTTATAGATAGGAGCTTAAAACAATTGTTTTTACTTCTTTGGAAAATTTTTCTCAGCTGATAAGGGAACTCCACCCTTGTTGGGGGGTGGGAGGGAGAGGAGGAACAACAGAGGATTAGAGAGAAGTGTATATTTTGAATGGTTTTTCAAGTTCAGCAGGTCAAAGTGCCACCCTTTGGGCATCAATATCCCCAAGGAAAAAGGAAACTGACAAAAGGAGTTTAGCAGAACTGCCACATTTGAGGAAGGTCCATGCAAAATCATTCCCAAGATTACAAATGTTTTCTAACAACTTGTGCCTACATTTAAGCTAGTTCTGTTAAAAGCCCAGCTGATTTGATTGGCTGGCATTCTACTAATTGAACTATTTTCCAGCCCTGCTATTTGCTGGTTATTTTGGAGATGGAATTTCCTACTAAGGCTGGCTTTGAACCTAGATCCTCTGGATTACAGCCATGATTACAGGAGTGAGCCTCTGTTGCCTCATAATCTCATTTCTCCTTGATACCAGAAAATGGAAGTGCTGAGCACTATCTTTTCTCTGTATTAGTTGAATGGAAGCAAATGTGAACAGGGAAGTGTTCTGCCCTTGGATATTATGATCAAGAAAGCTTTAAAACTCAATGCCAAAGGGTTTTAGGATTTCCAAAATGTCCAGAGGTTGGTGGCAGGGGCCTATAATCCTAACTACTAGTAAGACTGAGATCAGAGGATCAGGTTCAATCAAACTTGGCTAAATTCAATGAGACCCTTATCTCCAGTTAACCATAAAAAAGCCAGAGGTGGCCCATGTAGTGGAGCACTAGCCTTGAGCAAGAGCGCTTAGGCCCTAAGTTCAAGCCATAAGATCAGCACCAAAAAGAAAAAAAAAAGTTCTAGCTAGATACCCTGTGAAAACTTAAGACTTTGAAAGATAAAGATCACACCTGTAATCCTAGCTATTCAAGGGGCCATTGGCTGACATCTGAGAACTGAGGTTCAACCCCAGCCCAGACAGCTTTTTATCTCCAATTAACCAGCAAAGAGCTGGAAGTGGTGGCGTGATACAAACAGTAGAGCACCAATCTTGAAAGGAGAAAACCAAATGAGAGCACAAGGCCCAAAGTTCATGCCCCAGTATTGCACAATGAATGAATGAATGAATGAATGAACGACATGACGCACTCAAAAGGCCTCTTCCCTAAAAGTTCTCCCCCCCCCCCACCCACCCAGAAGACTAGTCAGGGAGATGCCTCTATCCACACAGCCTCTTTTCATCTTTCCCTTCAAAATCAGGCAGGAAATCTTGGTTTGATGGAGGGTACCCAACCTAACTGGCTTGGAAGACTAGAATGAAGGGACCGTGGCATTTCACAAACTAGAAATAATTTCCCCAACTATTCAGTTCTCTGGCCTAAAGACTGTGTTCATGGGGGGGGGGGGGAGGGGGAAGAGGGGGGGGTGAGACCTGGCTGGGGGGTGGGGGGCAGAGGAGGGGGGTTCTTTAGATTCTTTCAAACAGTGGTCCTCAGATCTCAGGTTCCTGAGTAGAGTGGGCAGGCATTGTTCACTAATCCCGTGCTGATTAAGTATGTGTGCTCTCATTTTTTTTTCTTGTTTTTCCAGTCCTGGGGACTGAATTCAAGGGCTGGGCTCTGTCCCTGAGCCTTTCTGTGCTCAGGGCTAACCCTCTACCATTTGAGCCACAGCTCTACTTGCAGCTTTTTTTCTTTTTATGTGGTACCAAGTTATCAAACCCAGGGCTTCATGCATGCTAGGCAAGCACTCTACCACTAAGCTACATTCCCAGCCCGTGCTCTCTCATTTCCATTCATTCTTCAGCCCATCATTCATGCTACTCCATTTCCTGACTTATGGAACTGTAACTCTTCTATAGATCACCTTTATAATAATAAAAGTTTTTAAAAAAATCAAAACCACAATCCACCAGGGTCCTAATATAGAGTCCAAGTTGGCCTAGAATTCTCAATCCTGTCTCAGATTCTCCAAGTGCTAGGACTGCAAAAGTACTCTACAACAGCCTGCATGACACCCACTTTGAAATGCAAATAAACACTCAATTTGTGTTTATGAAATTAGCAGCACCATATCTTTACACACTATTATAAGTTTTCAAAGCACTTATAAAAACTGCACTGTTTTTATAAAGCAGACAGATAATGCTTCATTCTTGATTTATAGTTTATAGATACGCCCAACTAGACTCAGAAAGCTTTAAGTGAAGAGGTCAGTAAGGGGTTAGTCAAACCTCTAACCCAATTTAATTTAAAGAGTACAGATAAACCAGGCACCAGTGGCTCATGCCTACAATCCTAGCTACTGAGTTCTGAGGATCACAATCCAAAACAAGCTTGGGCAACAAAGTCCTGAGACTTTTATCTTCAATTAACCACCAAAAACCAGGACATGGGACTGTGGCTCAAAGATAGAGTGCCAGCCCTGAGGGAAAAAAAGATACAGAATATGGAATAAGCTTTGCCAACTGGAGTTATGTAATCTGGGAGGGAATGTTTTGAGCAAGTGAGACTTCCTCTGCTTCTGAAATACAAATAAGGAATAAATCCTAGAACGGGGTACTGGTGGTTCATGTCTGTGATCTAAGTACTCAAGAATCTGAGATCTGAGTATCGCGGTTCAAAGCCAGCCTGGGCAGGAAAATCCATGACTCTAATCTCCAATGAACCACCAGAAGACCGGGAAGTGGCACTGTGGCTCAAAGTGGTAGAGGGCTAGCCCCAAGCGGAAAAGGCTCAAGGATAATGCCCAAGCCCCACGACCTTTTAAAAAGTTGAAGCACAGAAATCTCACTAGACTGGAACAAAAGTTGTTTTTTTTTTTTTTTTTTTGGTATCCTTATATTTCAAGAGCATACGGGAAACCCTATTTGTCACTGAAAATTTTCAAATAAAGCAAAGTGGCTAGGTATGCACTGGAGGGCGTGGCTCAAGTAGCTGAAAGACAGCCACACGCGTAAAAAGCTGAGCTAAATAAAGCTCAAAGATCTGAGTTCAAATCCAAATGCCAGCGCACACACACACACCAGCAGCAACACCAATCATAAAATGGAGCAATCATGTCCCAATTAACGTTAAGATTCAGAATATATAGCCCAAGAACACCGAAGAGGAATCAAGGGAGAGACCTGAGAAATCAAAACCTCACATTCTATGACCCTTAGAAAATGTTAATTCTTCAAAGTAATTCCTGTCCCAACACGAGATGTTCCCGCAGCCAGTCTCACGGAGCGTAAGCACTGGGCGACATTTACTGGTAGCTCAGCAGGAGAACCGTCCACACTCGCGCCCGAGGGCAAAATGAAAGAAGGTGGGAAAAAAAATCCTCATGACGCGCGGGGTGCGTCCCCAGCGCCGAGAGCCGGAGCGGCAGCCATGCGCGCGGCCGGCAGCGCAGGGGGCTCTGCCTCTGGCCCCCTCCTCGGTCGGGCTCCATGCCCGCACGGCGCCGGCCGGCACTCGGCCCCGCTCCCGGCCCGCCGGCCCCCACTCGGCCCCGCTCCCGGCCCGCCCGGCCCCCACTCGGCCCCGGCCCCCACTCGGCCCCGGCCCGCCCGCTCCCAGCGCCCGCCGGCCCCGGCCCCCACTCGGCCCCGGCCCCCACTCGGCCCCGCTCCCGGCCCGCCCGGCCCCCACTCGGCCCCGGCCCCCACTCGGCCCCGGCCCGCCCGCTCCCAGCGCCCGCCGGCCCCGGCCCCCACTCGGCCCCGCTCCCGGCCCGCCCGGCCCCCACTCGGCCCCGCTCCCGGCCCGCCCGGCCCCCACTCGGCCCCGGCCCCCGGCCCCCGGCCCGCCCGCTCCCAGCGCCCGCCGGACCCGGCCCCCACTCGGCCCCGGCCCCCACTCGGCCCCGCTCCCGGCCCGCCCGCTCCCAGCGCCCGCCCGGCCCCCACTCGGCCCCGGCCCCCGGCCCGCCCGCCCGTGCGCTCACACTGCAGAATGATCTCCTCGAACGCCTGCCTCTGCAGCCGGTCCCGGCGCCGCAGCTCCTCCGCGATGTGGCGCTTCCACCGGGGGAAGTCGGCAGCTCGGAGGCCCGACGACATATCGAACGCTGCCCTGGCGCCTTAGCGCCTCCAGTCCTAGCGGCGACGGCGGGATGCTCCTCGCTGCATGAGGGGGCCGGCAGGCGCCAGGAGTCAGCCGCTCGGTTCCGCACCTCCACGCGCGGGCCGCCTGAGGCCGCCGAGGACTTCTTCCGGCGGCTGCAGGAAATGGTTTTGGCGAGGGCAGGAAGGCCCGCCTTCCGGCCCGACGTAGAGTTCCGCACGCACTCACGTGGCTGGTGTGGTCTCCGGGCGCTGGCTGGTGACGTCATCCAGAAGCCGGAAGTGTCGGGAAGTAGCGGCGGCCGCAGGGAGGCGTCCTGGCCCCGCAGTTAGTCCGACGTTGAAGTTCTTGCAGGGGAAGGGGTTGCTTATGTCAGCCGGTGCCACATTTATTGGGGGGGGGGGGCCTTCCTAAGGCTTGAACTCGGCGTGGGCGCTGTCCTTGAGCTTTTGCTTAAGTGGGGCTTGCCCTCTGGGCCTGGGCGCTGTCCCTCAGCTCTTCAGCTCGAGGCGAGCGCTCCACCTCCTGAGCTACAGCGCCACTTCCGGTTTTCTGGATGCTCTATTGGAGATACGAGTCTCACGGAGCTTCCTGCCCGTGCTGGCTTTGAACCAATATCCTCAGCTCTCAGCCTCCTGAGTAGCTAGGAAGAGAGGCATGAGCCATGGGCTCCTAGCAAGGCCCTTGGTTTTGCTGTGTGTATTTATCAAGCTCTCTTAGTTCCTCTGAGTTTATTTCCCTGTTAATTCTCAGTTCAAATGTCACTTTCTTACTACTTGTAGGTAACAGACCTTCACAACCAAGGCAGCTCTCCCTCTTACAAGTGTACCTTTCCTTTATAGTGTTCATTGTTATTTGTAGTTGAATGTGTCCTATGTACTTATATCCCTAGTTGATTAAGGACTATGTCACTCTACTAGACTATAAACTCCATGAATCAAGAACTATATTTTTTTCTCATTGTTTCTCCAACAAGGTCATGAAACTTTTAAAATATTACATGTCGGAGCCGGGCGCTGGTGGCTCACGCCTGTAATCCTAGCTACTCAGGAGGCTGAGATCTGAGGATCGCGGTTCAAAGCCAGCCCTGGCAGGAGAGACCGTGAGACTCTTATCTCCAATAAACCACCAGAAAACCGGAAGTGGCGTGTAGCTCAAGTGGTAGAGCGCTCGCTTTGAGCTGAAGAGCTGAGGGACAGCGCCCAGGCCCAGAGTTCAAGCCCCACAACCGACAAAAAAAAAAATATTACATGTCGGGTCCGGGAACATGGCTTAATGGTAGAGTGCTGCTTAGCATGCATGAGGCCCTGGCTTCAACTCCTTGGTACCACATAAACAAAACAAAAAACAAAAAAAGGAAAAAAAATTACATGTTGGCTCAGCCCTGGTGGCTCATACCTATAATCCTAACTACTCAGAAGATTGAGATCTGAGAATTTAGGTTTGAAATCAGCACAAGAAGACTCTTGTCTCCAATTAACCAGCAAAAAGTTAGAAGCAGAGGTTGTGCTCAGTTGGTAAAGTACCATCCTTGAGAAAAAGCCAAGAGACTGAGGTCTTGAATTCAAGTCCCATTACTGGCACTATGTTAATGAATTATGATTAATGAATTAATTCACTAATTTAAAAGTATTAGGTGGGGCTGGGAAGGTGGCTCAGTGGTAGAGTGCTTGCCTTGCATGCATGAGGCCCTGGGTTCAATTCTTCAGCACCACATAAGCTGAAAAAAACTGGAAGTGGCTCTGTGGCTCAAGTGGTAGTGTTAGCCTTGTGCTGAAGAGCTGAGGGACAGCACCCAGGTCCGGAGTTCAGGTCTCACGACTGACCAAAAAAAAGGGGGGGGGGCTGGGAAGGTCCCTCAGTGGTAGAACACTTGCCTTGCATGTATGAGGCCCTGGGTTCGATTCCTCAGCACCACATATGCAGAAAAAGAAAGCCGGAAGTGGTGCTGTGGCTCAAGTGGTAGAGCGCTAGCCTTCAGGTGAAGAGCTGAGGGACAGTGTCCAGGCCCAGAGTTCAGGCCCACGACTGGACCCCCCCCCCAAAAAAAAAAGTAGGGGCTGGGAAGGTGGCTCAGTGGTAGAGCACTTGCCTTGCAAGCCTGAGGCCCTGGGTTCGATTCCTCAGCACCACATAAACAAAAAGAAAAAAGCCGGAAGTGGCGCTGTGGCTCAAGTGGTAGAGCGCTAGCCTTGAGCTGAAGAGCTGAGGGACAGTGCCCAGGCCCAGAGTTCAAGCCCCACGAACAGACCCAAAAAAAAAATAAAAGTAGCCGGGCGTCGGTGACTCTCACCTGTAATCCTAGCTACTCAGGAGGCTGAGATCTGAGGATCAGGGTTCAAAGCCAGCCCGGGAAGGAAACTCTGTGAGAATCTTATCTCCAATAAACCACCAGAAAAACCAGAAGTGGTATTGTAGCTCAAGTGGTAGAGAGCTTGCCTTGAGCTAAAGAGCTAAGGGACAGCACTCAGGCCCAGAGTTCAAGCCCATAACCGACAAAAAAAAAAAAAAAAAGTATTAGGTGGTCTGGGAATGTGGTTTGTGGTAGAGTGCTTGCCTAGCGTGCATGAAGCCCTGGGTTCCATTCCTCAGTACCACATAAAAGGCTGGAAGTGGCACTATGGTAGAGTGATAACCTTAAGGAAAAGAAGCTCAGGGACAGTGCCTAGGCCCTGAGTTCAAGCCCCAGAGGGAGAAATAATGTGGGAAGTTTGATTCACCCTTATGTACTCCCTTATGTACTTTAGTTTACATTGCAACTTAGTTTACCCAGGATCCATAAAATAGATAATAATAGCTGGGCACGGTGGCACATGCCTATAATCCTAGCTACTCAGGAGGCTGAGATCTGAGCATCTCGGTTCAAAGCCAGCCTGGGAAGGAAAGTTTGTGAAACTCTAATCTCTAATAAACCACCAGAAAACTGGAAGTGGTGCTGTGGATCAAGTGGTAGAGTGCTAGCCTTGAGCTGAAGAGCTGAGGGACAGCACCCAGATCCAGAGTTTAAGCACCATAACCACCAACAACAACAAAAATCTTTCTGGGACTTTGCTGCCCATGCTGGCTTCAAACTGTGAATCTCAGATCTCAGTCTCCTGAGTAGTTAGCGTTACAGGTGTGAGCCACCAGTGCCCAGACTATTATTTTACTATTTTAAGACAAGGTCTAGTTGAGTCTTACATGGCTAGTCCCAACTTGGTGATCCTCCTGTTTCAGCTTCCCAAATTACTGGGATTGTAAGTACTACACAGACTGATTAGAGAATAAATTTAAATGGTATGTAATTCATTTGTCAATCAGCCAATAGCAAGGACATTAGATAACTAGCGGTGATTCAGAAGCCTTAGGTGTATTCCCAGGCCTGCTCGGAGATAATGGCTGGATGAAGGGAGGAGGAAATAAGGTTGCTTGAGTATTCTAGTAATTAGTAATGACATGAAGAGCTTTTATCTGTTCTTGTAAATAATGAGTCCAGCGGATTCTTCATGCTTTGCAGGGAAGTCGTATCTGTGAAATGGACTGTGACTCCCTCTAATGGATATAAGATCATTTAAAAATAGCCTGACATTCTTGTAGCAATATATTAATCACACAAATTTGCTCACAAGAAGAGCTTGCTAGAAAGTCTTCGTTGCACTGAAACAAAGCATTACAAGCTTTAGCATAACAGCATCTCCATTGTAGCATTTCCATGAATGAAAGCTTCCAGAAGATTACTGCCTTAAGTGTGGATACCTCAAACCTCATCACTGAGATCCTCTAGCTACACTTCAATTCATAGGAAGTAAATTATTCTATTCCCTCTTTTTTTTGGTGTAGCAAATTATGTTTTAAAGTGTTTATTGGCATGCATTATTCTTTGGGTAATAAGCTCTATTTTCCTGGATATACTCATGGTACTTTTCTACCCCATCTTTAAACAATTTAGTTCCAGGAGTGGGCATGGCATCCTTTCTCTGACCCCAGAGGAATTTTTTTTTGCCAGTCCCAGGGCTTTAACTCAGGGCCTGGGCATTGTCCCTGAGCTTCTTTTGCTCAAGGCTAGCACTTTACCACTTGAACCACAGTACCACTTATGGCTTTTTCTGTGTATGTGGTACTGAGGAATGGAACCCAGTGCTTCATGCATGCTAGGCAAGCACTCTACCACTAAGCCACATTCCCAGCTCCCCAGAGGAATTTTTAAGCTAGATCTAGTAGAGAACCCCTCTTCCTTGTTAGATTAAAGTTTGAGGATATATCTATACATCTACAAAGAGCCATGCCCTCTATCTCTAGAATAGGCCTAACTTGGTGGAGGCAGCATGCAGGTGGGGAGTTATCCCTAAGGGATAAGCAGAGAGGAGAAGGTCAGAATTTCAATGACAGAAGAGTCCCAGGGTCCAGCCATTCCTGAGACTGACCCAGGACTTACGCCCACATGTTCATGTGTTTCACTTAACCTGCTTTATTATACAATAGCATTTGGGCTTTTCTTTTTCTCTGTCACCCAACACAAGCATACTCACAAGCCAAGACAGCATGGCAGTCACTAAGTCACACCTTTTACCACTTTCAAATAATGACAAATACTTGGCCCCTGTTCTTCTCTCTGCCCTGGTGTGAAGAAGAAACCTCTTTCCAAACTTGAGACATTTCTGGGTATGAGGACTCTATTCTAAATAATAGTGCCTGTTGGTGAGAGACATTTTTTTTTCTGCCAGTTCTGGGGCTTGAACTCAGGGCCTGGGCACTATCCCTGAGCTTCTTTTGTTCAAAGCTAGTACTCTATCACTTGAGCCACAGCGCCACTTCCAGCTTTTTCTATTTATGTGGTACTGAGGAATGGAACCCAACACTCTACCACTAAGCCACATTCCCAATCATGGCCAGAGACATTTTGCATGAAAAAAATTGTAAGCCCAGAGTTATAATTAGAAATAAAAGACTGGCTCTAGAATATTAGAAAACACTGTGGTTACCATATGTTGGGACTATTTTCTCCTTTCTCCTAAACAGAAAGTGAAGGGACAACATTTCAAAATGGGCTGCTCAAGTGACTCATGAGATATTTATGGCTCTGCAGGGCGTCTCACCAACACTGCACACTCGTGTGCAAAATAGGAAAGCAGAATAGGATTTTACCAAGTCAG